TTAGCTTATTATAAAGCCTATTTTATTAAAGTTATATATATTTTTATTTTAAATACTATACTTAGCTTTTATATTTTTTATAAGTTAGAACTAGCCTTGTATAAGCTTAAGATTTTTATATAAAAATTTTTAATAATTGTATTTTTAAAAAGTTTTAGTACTAAGTTATAAATATTATTTAATAAATATACTAGCTTAATTTCTACTAATAAGTAGTTGCCTATATTTAGCTAGCAAAATATTAGCTATATTATTTATAGCAGCTAGTTAGGGCGGAAATTTTTAGTCTTTAAAGTAAAATATATACTAAATAATTACTTTTTTTTTTATTAAAAAAAGCTTTATTTTATTAGGCTTAGTATTGTATTATAAAAGCTTTCTTTTTAATTAATTACTAAATATTATTTAAAAAACGCTATAAATCTGCGCAGCCTTTTATTAGAAAAAATTTGCATTATATTTTAAAGCCTAAATTATAAACTATATTTAGTTTTTTTTTTAAAAAAATTGTATATTATTATGTTAAAGCATTGCGTTTAATAGTAAAAAACTACTAATTTTAGTAGGGTTTTAGTATTGTAACTAACTCAACTAGGCAACTAACTTGCCTGTGTAATATATTATTATTATTATTATAGTTTCCTGCGAAGACGGGACCTAATATGTTATTAATAGCTTACATTATTAATATTTTACTATATATTGCGTACTTTTATTTGTAGAATTGCTAAGTAATAAACTTTTAATTCCTAATATAACTTTCTGCTAAAGCGCGGCTTTTTTAACAGTTTCTAAGTATATATCTAAATATTTAGCATAATATTAGCCTGCCGCTAAGTAACTAACTAATACTAGGCTTTTAGGCAATAATAGTAATAATAATAATAATAATAACTTTTCCTGCAATATTAGCTTTAATACTTAACTACTTTTTTACTCCTTTCTTTTGCCTGCGCAAGCTATTATTTATAGTATATTTAAATTATTATTACTTGTTCTTTTTTACGTCTGCTTACGCACTAAGTTAACTATTTTAAAAAGCTATATTTTCTAGTTATTGTACTATTAGTAACTATAATTTATAAAAAACTATTTTTAATACTCTGCAAATTTTATATTACTTTTAATATCTTCTGCAAGCTGCAGAAGCTTATTTTTCTAGTTTTTAATAAAAGTAGCCTAGTTATAGCTAAAAGAAAGGTTAAAGTCTCGTATTATTATATAGCAGCTAACTATAAAAAAAATTGTGTATTACTACTGCTTAGTTATAACTAGCTTATTATAAAAAAATGCTAAAAGGGCAAGATTAACTAGGCATAGTAAAAAAAGCCTACTACAAAAAAAAAAGTTAACTTTAAAGTATTTATATACCTTTTTATAGTACTAGCAGTTACTATTTACTAGCTTAAAATAGTAAAAAAGCAGTATTTTGTACTAACTAATAAAAGCTGCTTTAACTAGTAATATAGTATATATAAATTTAATAGCGTGTTGCTAGCTAGCATACATAAGTTTGTTTATTAGCGTTATATTATTTATAATTAATATAGATATAGAAAATAAAAAACTTAAAAGTTAGGATAAAGATAAGTTTTAATTTATAAAATAAGTACGTAAATATATACTTTGCTGCTTACACATTTAAACTTTTACTACTTAAACTTTTAATTTCCTGCTTATATACAACTATAAAACGCGCAATAATACAACTATACAATAAGTAATAATATATAATTATAAGCTTTAATTATAAGTTTTACTTTATTTATTTTATAGAAACTACGTCTATTGCGCAAGCTATTACTAATTATAAAAAAATATTAGCTATTAAAGCGCAAGCTTACTACTAAACTAAAGCTTGCTTAAATTTTAGTTTAAAAATTTATTTATGCTTTAATAATAGTTTATAGTTAAAAATTAAAGCTGCCTAATAATACCTAAACAACTTAGTTACTGTTAAAAACTTATAGTTTTGTTACTATAATTTTTAGATAATAACATATTAGGGCTGCTAATAGCAATTGTTAAAAATTTCTTAATAATCTATTTAGCTAACTTAGTATTATATAAACTTTACTGCCTTAATACTATATTAAAGTGCTGGGTATAGCGCTTAAACTATAATTTTTATACTAATTTCTTTTACTACGTTGTATAATCCGCTCTACTGTCAACTTTACTTTTAATTATAGAAAAGAAATTATTATTATAGTTAATTAGTTAATATATTACACAGGCAAGTTAGTTGCCTAGTTAAGTTAGTTACAATGCCAAGATCCTATTAAAATTAGTAATCTTTTACTATTAAACGCGATGCCTTAATATAATAATATATAATTTTTTTTAAAAAAAAACTAAATATAGCTTGCAATTTAAGCTTTAAAATATAATATAAATTTTTTTTAATAAAAGGCTGCGCAGATCTACAACGTTTCTTAAATAATACTTAGTAATTAATTAAAAAAAAAGCTTTTACAATATAATACTAGGCTTAATAAAATAAGGCTTTTTTTAATAGAAAAAAAAGTAATTGCTTAGTATATACTTTATTTTAAAAACTAAAGATTTCCGCCTTAACTAGCTGCTATAAATAATATAGCTAATACTTTGCTAGCTAAATATAGGCAACTATTTATTAGCAGGAACTAGGCTAGCATATTTATTAGATAATATTTATAGTTTAGTATTAAAATTTTTTAAAAGTATAATTACTAAAAAACTTTATATAAAGATCCTAAGCTTATACAAAGCTAGTTTTAACTTATAAAAAATATAAAAGCTAAGTATAGTATTTAAAATAAAAATATATATAACTTTAATAAAATAGGCTTTATAATAGGCTAAATATTATATAAAACTATTATTTTAAGTGCTAATTATTAAGGACAGCCAAAGATAGTACAGCAAAGTAATTAAAAGTAAGTAATAGTAATCTAAAGTATTAATATAATAAAGTAAGCTATTTTACTTTTTATTATTTTTACAGGCAAGAACTACCTTTTAGCCTAGTATAAAAAAAATAGCCTGCCTTATAATTAAGTTATTATAGTTTTTAAAAATAGCTAAATAATAAATAAGTTTATTTTTAAATAGTTAAAGCACTTTAATAAGTATACTAAAAGAAAGGTTATTAGTATTTATTATTTATTTATTATTAATAGTTATAAAAGCTATATATTAGTCTAATTCTAGCAGTACTGCAAAAAATAAAAAATTATTACTTTTTATATGCCCCTGCATTTGTCGCACTTACTATAGCTATTTAATATAAATTATTTTGCGCTTTTAAAAAAAGTATATAAATGCTAAGCTAAAAAGCTAATGCGTAACAGCATTAATTATATTACTAAAATTAAATTTTTACTATACTTTAAACCAGCTTTTAATACTACTATTATAAAAAGCAATATTTTAAGTAGCTTTAAAAGCGCTAGTCTAGTTTTTTTTAATTTTAAAGCTATAATATTAAAGCTTAATATTTAGTTGCGTATTCTACTACTACTTATTATTAAAAACAGTCCTTAAGAATTAAAAATACTAAGTAATATTTTAAAATTTAAGTTTTAGTTAATACTAGTTAAAATAAAAATTTAAAAGTACTTAAATAGTTTTCTTACTTTAATAGTTAAAGCTTTTAAAAAATTTTTAAAAAGTGCAGCTATAATTGCGCATAAGCTTGTATTAGCGCAAAAAAAAATTATTAAATTTTAAGTAGCTAATAAGGCTGCTATATAATAAAAATTATATAAAAAAAAGCAAGTATAAAAAAAGAAAACTTTTATAATAAAAAATAGTTTTTAATTAATAATTTTAAAAGAGTTTAAGGCGCGTAGTAATAAAAAAAAGGCAAAAAAGCAAATATATATTAAAGCAGGTAAGCCTTTTTAAAAGCGCTATAAATACTATAATAAAACTAGGTATAATACGCGAATATGCAAGCAAAAAGTAGAAGTAATTTTTAAATAAATTAGCTTATTATAATTTACTGCTACGGTTTTTTACGGTGCTATACTATTGTATATAGTACTAATTTTAGTAAAATTTTAGCATTATAACTAACTCGACCGGGCGACTGACTCGCCTGTGTAATATGTTAGTGCCTGTTATTATTAATTTATTTAATTAGTAATAATTAATAAAGTTTCTTGTAGGGAGAATACAAATAATTAACACAAAATTTGGTTTACACGAGCGGCTTGGGCCGGACTAACCTAACCTATAACACGCAACAAGTCACCCCAAAATTCACAACACGCACCTAAACCAGTATATTCCATCCGATTCACACGAATACCCCTATACACGCTTACAGCCGAACATGCATCATTCAACGGCTGCAGTACAGGTCCTGAATCGCATTCCAACGCGGAGAAAACGTTCACTATACGCATAGCACGCACGCATTAGCGATCACCCTCTTCTCTACTGACTACGTACGGCTATTATACCGCAACCGACCCTTCCAGTGTATATCATCATGCCACACTGCGTGCAGTGAGTTTGCAGCTCGGCCTAGTGGGCTGCATGTGTTCTTTTATAGGGCGAGTGAGTGCGACGTGCCGGTGCAGTCAGTCGATGAGTACATGTGCAGTTTCACTAGCGTGGTGGCGTTGTTGGTGGTCGTAGGTAGGGCGGCGGTGAAGGTGAGGTTCGTGAGGGTGAGGAGGGTGAGCTTTGTGGACGACATTGTCGAGTCGAGGGTGGCGAGGACGTTCGAGGTACGAGGGGTTGAGTTGAGGTGAATGTTGCGTTGAGAAGAAGCACAGGGAGTGCGTTAGATTCAGGTCTATCAAACCTCCGAGGCTGGAATTGTCAAGGTGGTGGCAGCAGGAAAGAGCCAGGTGAGCTGAAATGCTGAGCACAGTGAGAGTAAAGCAAGTGCGGTAAAACACATTGGCGTCCACCAGGTGCGCGAGCACCCACTACTAGAGCAGCAAAGCACAGTCTGCTAACCTCTACAGAGAATCGAGGTCCGCAGCTCGTCCGCAGCTCGTCAGGGCTCAGAACAGCCTACCTATCCAAGAAGACTCAACGTATTCAACATCACGTCCGCGCGCGATCACCAACTGGTGAGCGACAATCGAGGAGAGTCACCAAGAATAAGACGAACGCATCAGGCGGGACAGGCGAATTGGTGATCGATTCAATAGCTACGTCACCGTAACCACCCTACGATTCAAAGCGCGGTACAACATATTGATCCGAAGACCCCTACGAGCACGATACACTAACGCTCTGGCTCAGCCACCGGTTTCGCCCCTACGAGACATTAGTATCGACATAAATCGGAACAGAATCAGACTTACCCAGCATCCAACCAAGGCCAGAAGCGAGGGCTCCACTGCCACTCGCTAGGGCACCAGTGGCAGCACTAGCAACCATGTCCCTCTTCCTTACCCTCTCGTCGTGGCCACTCATACTACCCGAATCGCTAAAGTCCAAGCTGACACGGCTGGAGCTGCGCATGCTGCCCTGCTCAGTTTTCGTTGCAGCTTGCGCACTACCGTGAAGAGGAAAGGCAGTCTTTGAGAAGGCTGCTGCGGCGCCTCGAGCAACGTCGAACAACCCCATCGGCGCTTCCTCCACCGCACCGCGCCCAACTTCTCGTCGTTGCGGCTGGACAGTGAGCGTGTCGAGATCAAATGCGCCAGGCAGTTTGCGGTCGGCCGCGTCGTTGAAGCGCATTTCTACCGCCGTCTCGTGGGCGAGTAAATCCGTCATTTCAGCTTCACACTGTTGCCATACACTAAGCACCTCTTCAAGATGGTTTGGTGGGGCAAGCAAAAGAGCCTGTGATAGCAACTCCATGCGTTGCTCTAGTCTCCGGAGATCGGGTCGCGGCGTTCCAGCCTGGGACCATGAATTGGAAGTGGACAATGATGAACTGTAGCGGCCAGCGCGTAGAGCGGCCCTCCATGCAACATCTTCAGCATCATCGTCTTGGTTGTCCGAATCAAGTGAGCCAAAGGAGAAGCGTTGAGAAGATAAAGAAGGTGTGGATGAAGGTGTGGGTGATGGTGTGGGTGGCGTGGCTCGATTAACGACGTACGAATACGCAGTCTCGAAATCATCTTCCTCCAAAGCAGCTTCGATGGCCATGCCAATAACTCGGCGTTCGGCAGCGGCTTTTTTGCGTTCGACTGTTGCTGCATCAAGCGGCATGATTGCTGAGTTTTCGTCCATTATCGTAGATGGCATGGCAACGACCAAGTTCTGGCCGATGGAGATAAGGTCATCTAATTTTGTATAGCTCCCTCTGTTCTGTGATAATAGTTTCACTATTAAGGACAGGGGATTCGAGCTGACTCTGATGTTTACCGGTTGAAAAGGCACGCCGTGCTGAAGTATCAACGAGTAGAACGACATAGCATGTGTTGCGGCAAGCAACGCCTTGGTTCGCTGAAAGCGAGCAGATGAAGGGAAGTGAGGAGTAAAGGCCGTGAAAATATCAGCAGCGCGCTTCATGCCACCTCTAGTGCGATTGCCGTTGCTCGCATTGTCGTAGTGGTGCATTACTGATGATAACACGACTTCCTCCACGTCGGAGCTCAGGAGCGGTTGCTGGCCAAACCCGGGCTTGATGTAGAGCTCAACGGCGAGAGGGTAGTGGCTGCTTTCCAGCAACGCCTTCAGTATTTCTACTTCAACTGTTTTGCTGTCGAGCATTCCAAATATGCCCTGCGCTTGACGGTCGTTGTCGTGTTGGTCTGTTCCCCAGTTCCACAGCCATAAAAGCTTGGACCTGGTAGCCGTCCACTGATGGCTGTCTGTCTTGGGGCCACTGCTAAGTGTGTGAAGAATCTTCTGAAGCAGTGAAAATTGCTCAGAGTAGTCGTCTCTCAGAGACATCTGCGCTACCTCTCGGACTGACATGGGGTGTTGTAAGGTTGTCAAGACGCAGGCCGAGAATACAATAAGCTCCAGGATGCGGACGCTTTCCCGCCCAGGCTTTGTAATGGCATTTTCAGATTCTAATAGCCGTTCTTCTCGAAGGAGGGATGTTGTAGAGTCCTGTAACAGCGGGTCTTTGAGATTGTACGATGGTAACGAATCAACGCCAACGTTGAGGTCTGGTGGAAGGTCGCAGTTGAGTAGTTCAGATATCCGTCTCAACAATGAGTGCGCTGATTGTAGGGAGTCGACGTCGCTCTTATCTATTAGATAGAGACACGCGAGGGCAGTTTGCGCGTACTTCATCTCAAGTCGGCCCTGTTGTTCGTCGCCAACGTAGTCTCGCCCTTCCTCGTAACCGCCCAGGTCCATGTCTTCAGGCCCATCCCATTCGGTGAACGCTGTTGTGACCAGGGCCAAGTCGTCTTTCGATGTATATAGCAGCCATTGAAATAGGCACGCCCAGTCATCTGGCTCTTGCGCTTGCTCTTGCGCTATTGTGCCCCTCCGCCCGTCGCCTGTAATTCTCCGTCGCTTGCGATCGTTGGCTCCACATATCCACGGTGCTACTACGCCTTTCAAATCTCGTGCTACATTGTGTGTCTCTGCTATGCCGGCATGGCAGACATTCGAGAGCTGGTAGTCTATCGCGCGTTTCCCTTTGAGGCGTGCGAACTCATCGAGCGAGCCTGTAGCGCTCTGCGGATAGTACTCGTAGCTCAGGCGGAGCAGAGGGAGGACGGTTGAAATGAACCATGTGCGTAGGTACTCAGAGTGGCCGAGGAAGGGTACAAGAAGCTGGGGGAGGACATCTAGCAGGCCGGTTTGCGAGTCGATGCGGTGGGCGCGGTGGATGAGGAAATGGGTCAGCAGGTCAAGCTCTGTCTCTGCTGCATAGAGGGGTTGCACAACGGGTAGGAGCTCTAGTGCACGTCGCCTCTTCTTCGCTCGTGAATTTGATAGCTCATCAACCGGAGACGTGGCTATGGGTGCAGCGGGGTCGTCGCCAGGCGTTCGCGAGTCGGTCGCGAGCTCATTGAGGTATTCGAGATACGACGGCGGGTCTGTTTCTTCCGGAAGGTACGTTAGAAGTATGCTTAGGACGAGCTCAAGCGGGAAGTCGGCGTCTCGTAGTGCTGTCAACGCTCGCAGAGCTCCCATGTTCGCCTCGGCAGCATATTGAACTGCTAGAAGCACACAATGCGGTGCGGAAAGCGCCTTTAGCTTCTGAAGAGTGGCCATTTCGTTGCGGGTAAAGTGGAGGTTATCGTGTGCGATTAATCATAGTTGCTGTGTAAGGTGGTGGGACTCGACAAGGATAAGCCCGCGTTCGTGAATCGCTACGTCAAGCGTCAAGCGCCAAGCATCTCGGGAGTCCGCTGCGCTCCTGTACTGCAGACCACCAACGCTATGCCACCGATGTTACAAACGCTAACAACAGAGCATCTCATCACCACAGAACCTGAACGTCACACCACGCAGAGATTCTCCAGAGACAACGCCAATCTTACATCTCACCACCTCGTAGCTCCTGCCCTCGTATAGCCCCAGCGCGTCCTCGTGCTCCTTGCTCTCAACCATGTACATCACTCCGTGTACAACGTCCGTCTCACAACCATCGACCAATGCGCGATATCTGTGATCACACATCTTGATCCTCCCACCGCGCACCACGGCAGCCTTAAGCATGGACTCTCCGCTCAGGCCCAGCATCGCCATCAGTCGCGCTGGCTCCGCGAGCGTACCGTAGAAGAAGTACGGAACAGGATATTCATCCTGCTGCGGCCTAGGTATCGTATCCAGTCGATATTGGGGGAGTGTAGCCTCGATGCCCAACGTTGGTGCTATGGACGTGTCTGACAGTTGTTTCTCGGCGGCAACTTGAAGCGCTATGAATGTCGGCGTGGTTGGCTTCAGATACGTCTCAATGGCCGCTTTGGATGCGCTGTCGATCTGGACAAATTGCGCCGTCCCAACCTCTTCGTCTATAAGAATCTCCAGTGGATGTGCTAGGTGTGCAACTGCTTGAATCTTGTCTGATGAATCGAGGGGAAATGTTAGCCTAAAAAGCCATCTCTCCTTTGATAAATGTTGCTTCTTCACGACATTCTTCTCCTGCGACTGTCGACTTAGTCGTGCCTCGTCGCATTGTTGCGATAGCGAAAAAGCATAGCTTTCTTTATCATGTCCAAGGGCTTCTTGTTCCTCGCGCACGATAATCCAAAGTTCATCGGAAACAGTGAGTCGTGAAAGGTTGTTGTAGTGCGTTTCTAGAGCGTTTTCGGCCTGTGCGCGGTTGAAGTGGAAGATGTGCTCCCAGCGCTTGATAGTCGTGTCGGAACGAGAGTGACAGTCTTCAGATGGGTAGGTTTGAGATAGTTCTTCGAGTTCGGTAGAGAGAGCGTCCATGGCGCTGAGCTCAGGATGTTTGGGAGTTCCTTGCTGCTGCGGTCTTGAACACACTTAGTATTGCTACGAGGTATACCTCGTGTGTTTGTAAGTCAAACATGGTTGCACCGCCTAGTCGTCGAGTTGGTCCAATCTACTGATTGGATATGTCAGTGCCCTAATAGCTCTAACAACATTCAGGTGTCGTTGCCTGCAATGGAACCCACAACTGAAATTTGTTGTATGTCTCGACCTCGACATTCGGAAAGGGTGGTCACGTGATTTGGCGTGTTGCTAAGATTTCGACGACGCGCGACTCACATCAACCGTGACTTCGACAACATCGCCTTCATCTCACACCGAACTCATTCGTTTCTATCCGTGTATTAATAATCTACTTTTGTGTCTCGACGCCATCCTATTAAGCAGCTTGCAACATGCCCTGTCGCATCTCATTACAAGTACTAGCCACCAGGTGCTCGCCTAGCCTCGGCGTAGCAGCGCCACGATCATTCCGATTTTGGAGTCCCCAGAGCCCAGTATTCTCCATCTCCACGCGTTCTACATCAAGCTCGTCACCGCAACCTAGCGCAGAAAAACACTCGTCCAGACGAGGTCGGCGGAAGAGCGACTCGCCTTCTGCGAAAACTCAGGTCGATGCATCTCGAAAAGCTTCGTTGTTGCTGAATCGCTTGAGCAAGGCTGGCAAGAAACCCTCACAGAATATACCGATCGCTCCAGACTCCGAGCAGGCTGTCTCTGCCCCTGCAACGTTATCCCATAAGGATAGTCTGCCCGTAGAGCCTGACGGCGAAGAGCGAAAAAGCGTCGAGATTGATGAAAAGGAAGAAGCAATTCAAAAACTTATTCTTGGAAGACGGAGAAAGCTTCTCTGGCCGGGAGTATGGACAGTCTTTGCAGTCGCTGGCACATACGGTACATTGGCATACCTAGATATCAAGTACAACTCAGAAGCTGCATTTAGTCATGTTGAATTGCCCGAACGGAGTCAATTACCGCAATCCTGGTTCCTCACACCAACCGTCATCAAGGAAGGTCTGAGAACAGGCTGGAATGAGCTCGACAAACTCACAATCGGCATCGTTGTAGCGAGTGTCGCCATTCACTTCATGAAGAGGTCCCCACTACCATTCTGGGAACACCTTATTCACATAACCGGCGAGAAGAAGTATACGGCCTTCACATACCCACTCGTGCACAGCAACTGGGCACACATAGGACAGAACATGTTTGCGCTGTGCTGGTTTCTTCCGGGTGTTGTGCGATACTTCGACGGCGACATGTTTCACACAGCGGCTTTTTTCGCGAGCGTTCCGCTTATCACAAGCTACCTGCAGCACTTTGCTTTTCGGTGGGGCACGGTCAACAGCCTGCCGCTGAATATGGGATCAAGCGGGGCGATTGCTGCAGTGTTTGGTGCGTTCTGTATGGCCTATCCGGACGAGAAGGTGTGGATGCCTAGTTTTGTGATTGTGCGACTCGATGCTCAGTACTGGGGTGCCCTATTCGCGGCCTGGCAACTGGTCGCGATGGTGAAGACGCAAACGGGAGGGAATCGGCCGGCATTCATGGTAAGATCCCAGTCGGTATGGTTACCATCTGCTAATGTACATAGGTCCACCTTGTCAGCTTAGGACTGGGGGCAGCCTACGTCTATTTCGACGGGCAAAATCTGGTCTGGAAGCCATTGATCACGCGATTGTCAAAGGACGAGTGAACCTTGCTTAGCATCAATAACGAGCATCGCCACTTGCCATCTCCACTTAAAGGGCACGGACACGAGGACGCCGTATTGACCAGGTATCGGAGAACCCGTGCTACACAATTTGATAAGTCGTGTCAGAATTAGCAGCGATAAGCGGATAGCTAGTGGTACATGCATGCATTCAATATCCCGATGCGAATATCCACATCAGATGCTTAAGCTTGGGCATGTTCCACATGTCACTCGTCCTAAGTCAATGGACTTATCCACGATCAACCAACAGTAAATCCGACTACGGGGCCTCAAACGGGATATCAGATAGCATTCTTTCAGTCGTCCATCGATGAATAGCTCGTTAAGCATGTCCGTATATCCCTAGAATAGGAAGCTGCTGGTCGACAATCTGCGTCCTCAGGTATCACGCGTAATGAAAACCCCACCGGTGGCTAGTAAGTCGCCTAAGGTTGTGACACGCACGCTTGCCGTTGAATCGCCCGTTGTTGTAGGCTCCCGGTTTCTACAAGCGAAAGTGACAGGGGGTTGAAGGAGCACAAACAAATCACGTCCAGCTCCACAAACGATTGTATTCTATTTCGTTCTTCCGTATTCTTGTCAATCTTATCCCGTGCAGGACAGTGAAGACTGACAGCATGGATAATGCGCCACTTCTCGATCGAGAACAGAGAAACACTGGCGTCCCTAATGTGAAGAATAAGTACGATGAACACAATGCAGAGACTGAATAGAGAATCTTTGCAATTCGAACAGTACTGGTTGTCGGATCTACATTTTGAACGTGTGACGTAAAAAAAAGCTCGATGCTGGGCTGTAAACCGGTCAGCTGAACATGCAATGTGGGGGGAAGCGCAGTAGGCGAAATTGTATATTTGCTTTTTCGAAAACTGCGCTTTTGGTTGACGGGCTGGACACTGTCGCCCATCGACACCTGGCTTAGGCAATCGATCGCAATGACTTGTACTACCGTGAACTTTTATGGGTTACCTCGCTGATCGATCCTCTTTTCTCCTCATTACTCGGCATCCAACCGTCAGTTTGGGTAGACAATTAACAGAACGCTCCGATACATGTCGACTGATGAGACTTGTAGCCGCGAGATAAAACGAGTATTGGCCCGGCTTGCAGCCGTTGCATCCGCAATGCATAGAATGGCTCTATTTCTCATGCAAGCACCTCAGACACAACATATTGTGAGATGCTTGATTTCATCAATTAGGAATCTCTATTGGTGACGCGGAACTAAATTGGCTACGAAGGATGCGCAGTACATGAGAAGGAAGTCAAGATCCGTAGGTTGGGTCCAGTAAGATCGATGTCGGCCTTTGTCATGCAGCATGCACGTACAGTTGGCAATTATTGGCAACTAAGCTAGGGAACTAAGCTAGAAAGCTCAGGATAAACTAGACCAATCTTTCAGCTGTGCTAATGTGCCTACCCGTTTTCGAAACTGGATTGCATGTTGGCTCGTGGCATGGATCGCCTAGGCTTACTCGGGCGACTCAAATGGCATTTTTCTTGTAGACTAAAGTTTTCCTGGAGGTCGATGCGATGGTGGGAAGCACTACGACGTTTTTCAGCGTGTATGTTTGCTTGGAAATACCATCTCATACATGTTTTTGGGGCGCTCGCAAAAAGAGAGGAAATTACAGCTAGCGAACGCCACCAACCAAAAATGCCTCCGATTTCCTCTTCCAGCTGCGTCTGCTTCCGCATCGGTTACTGGGCGAAGATGCACGCTATGCATGATGCATGATGCAACGGTCGCTGTCTACTAAAGACGGGTGACAATTTCGTAGACATTATTCGGTACCCATAGTTTGCTAGACTGTCAATCTATAGTTGTAGCCTACTTGTCATTTAGATCCAAGTTTGACTTCCTGTCTTGGGAGTATGAAGAGTTTAGCAAGATCTTAGTACTTGCGTGCTCTGATCTTGACTCTTCGTGTTATACGTACGTGTCATACTGGATTCTCAGTATGAATGGTGTTGCGGACCATTCTACGTCGGCATGTTGTCCTTCGGCTACATACATTTGTTTTGTTTCAAGAGGAATCCTATTCCCTGTTATCAAACGAGGGGGCATTCAACAATTGGCTCAGCTGGCGTACCGAGCGCACATACCCGCCAACAGCAGATCAGATCCTCTCATGGTTAGCGTTTGTGGTTGCTTTTCGAGCCCCAATCCCTGCCTTGTCATTGTGACAACATGCGGTACGACACAAACGGACCAAATGAAAGTCTAGTGACACGTGATATGTCGTAAGATACCTGTCCGAGACGATGGGTTCTTGCATTGGCCTGTCACAGATGCCTGTTCCGTCACTCTTGACAGAGCTCTTATCAAACCATTGTTCCGCAAAATAATTCCCCCAGGAACTCGTTTCTACACCATCCAACTCAACTCTATACGCGCAACGTATTATTCGAGCGGTCATATCAGAGGGTTGCAAGCTTATTTCTCCCGCGCCTTGCTAGCTTTCAGACGCATCACCACTTAAGATGCGCAACTCGTTGCATTCGAATGCTCCCTCCAGCAAACGGAACTGGAGCGAAAGCAGCGACATCAGCTCCCCGAGCACCACACGACAACCAAGATACTCATACTCGTCAGTTATCACACCATCAGCGGTGGCGTCTTCTTCGACGTCCGCTACCCCTCCGATACAAGCATCCTCTGCGGCATTCTTTCACACGCCGGCTATAGCATCTCAGGCTATGCAACTACAGCCAAATCTGTCCCCCACACTCGAACGCCAGCGATCGCAAGCTTTGATATCCCACAACAATTTCAGTAAAATGCCCATCTCTTCCTTGCCCCATATAGAAAGCTCGGATACCGTCCTTGATGCATGCATGTTTGAACCGTTCTACCATAATCCAGCCAAAGACCACATCTCAAACGATCCTATCTACCATCCTGCATACATTAAAGCAGTAGAGCATGTAAAGATGATGATTGCGATATTAAGGAGTTTAATATCACCGGACAAACTGAGGGACCCTGTGTGGTTTGAGATTGCCCAAGATTTGGAGAAAGACCTCCACCCATACCGCTCCGCGGATGTGCGAGTTGCCGTCGCTGGAATGCTTGGCGAAGGCAAGTCCATGCTTGTCGGGGCCCTACTCGGAAACGCAGGCGTGACCAAGTCGGTATGTATCATTCCAACACATGAGATTTCTTTATTAACTCATCCAATAGAGCGAAAGTGGTCAAAGCTGTACGAAAATCCCCACGGAGTATTACTACCTCAAAAAGACGGAAAATGTGAACTATGCAGCGGATTTCATTCTCTTTGGCTGGAAGAAGAATGAAAGTAGAGTCATACGCAGTTTTGAGTTTATGGCCAACTATCTCAGCAGTGAAGACAGCCAAAGTCCTGAGGACTGTGAAGATGAGAAGTTCGAGAAATCAAGAGCATTACTTGGAGCTCTCTTCCCCGACAGCAAAAAGTTCAATTATAAAAAAACGCCAGAAACAGAAAATCAAGATAAGGCGGAGTTGAAAGAGTATCTTTCACAAGAAGACACTCTTAAAAATCTTCTTGAAGACACCAAGTGGTTTTACGACGAAGCCTCCAGTCAACTTAGCAAGGAACACTTTGCGACTAAAGAGCAGCTTTGGGGCCGACTCTGCCTGTTTACCCGCAACGTATACAGCGCTGGGAGTAGTCCTAATTTGTGGCCTTTTGTCAAACTGATCAGGTCAGTATGATACAACCCGTAACTAGCGGCTCGGCTAACACGCGTAGGATTGGTGGCGATTTTCCGGCTCTTCAACATGGTGTGAGAATTGCAGACCTGCCAGGTGGGTTTCCATGACCAAAATTAGCCAATGTCTCGCAATACTCAGCTTATTACAGGTCTGAATGACATCGACTACATAAATCAAGAAGCGACACATACATACTTGTCGCAATCCTCAGCCACGATCGTAGTCCAACGTATCAGTCGTGCAATTGATGGCATCGACGGACGAAGGGCTTTTGTGGAAATCATGAAAAGCTCCCCCAACGCCCATAGCATGGCAATGGTTCTGACACATTCCGAAGTATGCATCGTCAGCTGTTGTGCATACTTGTCTTTACTAACAATACTCTAGGATGTCGAACCTAGATCACTCGAGGCTCATGGACTCCAAGACGAAACCTTCAGAAAAGCAGAAAGACGCGAATTTGAAGAACTGGACTGTTATATTTCCGAAATTGATTGCGAGCGATCGTGGTGTCGCGATCCTCAGATGATGGCAAGGAACTCGTATGTGATCGATCATTTCTATGCCACCAAAGCTAATTTTCTATGTCAGGTTGAAGTTACGCTTAATTCAGCGGAGGTAAGTGCGCAGTGTCGATTAATAACCCCATCATAAGGTGACCCTGCTAATCATCATCCTGTTTAGGAAACGGGAGCTGTGGAGTTCAGAAAGGAACCGAAGAGTTGCGAGAGCCCTCCCCGCGGATAAAATTCAGAAAGTATTTCCTGTGTCGGCGAAAGATTACAAACGAAACATTGACGGATACACCCTCGACGGTCAGCTACCCCTCAGCCCGAAAGATTCTGGTATTCCTGATGTGTTGCAATGGGTAGCAACACGTGCTTCTAGCCGCCGTCAAGAAGACATAAAGAATTTCATCAAAATAATCATACCATCTCGCATTAACAGCATGGAAATGGCATGTAGAACGAGCAGGATTATCAATGGCATGGGCCCAATAGGTGGAATGCAGCAGCAAATTGAGGTACACTCCTAGCCATCTTTTCCTTGTAGTTTCTAATGAAACATTCAGATTTGCTTGAGGGCAGTTGAAGATGGGCTGGACAGGATGTTTGGCCATCGTATAACGGAGCTACTTAGAAGGATGAGTAAGTCGTACTGTTCAGCTCTCTCGCGCCTACTAACCCAGGCGATAGAAAGCTATCTGCCGGGGTGGATTGATCATGCTAAACATTGTTGTAATGAATGGGAGGGAGTTCACCCAGTAAGTCGATAACAGCTACATGTGAGCTTGAAGGTAACATGATGCAGTGGACTCATCGTCAGCACAAGGTGTGGATACGGAATCATGGTATGCCTCGTCTCTCCTTTAAGAGGATACCCAAAGCGCCTACCCCCTAGTTGAGCTATCGCTGGTTCTGTGAAAGTACTTTGAGTGCGGAGATGTTCGTCTCTCCTTTACCAGTAATACGCTGACCATCATGCCAATAGGAGATCATAAAACCATTTCCATAGGACCTTCTAACTGGAACATCAAGCTACAACGCGTCGTCTGTAGGGATATTAAGGCCGATTTCGACGAAATCGTTGAGAAGTTGCGAGATGACCTAATGGATACTGAGGAGAAAATATGTTCTGTCCTCGATGACATGATTGCTGAAATGCAAAGTAAAAGCTCTACTATGCGTATCAAATCACGGCTAATTCAAGATAGACAATCGTCCAGAAATGTCTCCCAGGGCTCTCGGCTACATAGACCGCTTAGAGTTAACGAAGAACGAGGTCGGTATCTTATTTGACAAGATTGTAGAAATACTGAAGGGTTTCTTTACGTATGTAAACCAAAATCGCATACTCAAACCTTAATAACTAACTACCTATAAGCCTACAACGGACGAACTCATGCGAATACAATGTGGAAACGAGTTATCTGAAAGAGGGTATGGACAAATTGTATAATTCAAGCAACCGGGCGCGTCCAGAAACCCGTAGTAAGACCTTGCATAGTGTACGGTGTCAGGTCTTCAGGGAAGGACTATGCGATGCGGTTAGGAGTCCATACATGGGCATCTACACTAATCTAGAAATGGCTTGTAACTCGGAGAAGGAAAGGATCAACAACCTCATCACAGGAGATCTCAGAAAAGTGTTCGCCCAACTGTCCGCCAATCTTGAGAATATGCGACCAACACACAACTGCCATGAGTCTCGGACCACGGCCAAAATGGAAGATACACTTCAACAGTTGAAGAAGTTAAAGGAAAAGAATTTGTCCATGCACAACGATCTCCTCGTGGAGAGTTGGTATGGATCTTAGCAGTTAATCAGGAGCTGCCATGTAGAGTTACGACTCGCTTATAGTCGAGGCTTCAGATGTATCTCATCGCTGGGAGGGATTGAACCAAAATCAGTTCTCTAAGACCATGCATCTGTCCATAATGGAACTCGCAGTTGCCGACTACGTCTCGGCGACAGCTTATATACTCTACAACACAGTTCACATATATATCCTACAAATCAAGGATTCCTTGTCTCCATCACTTGACTAAATCGTGCTACGGAATGCTGCCGCTATGAAGATCGCAAGATGCCTGGAGCTCAAAGAATACGAGAAGCGAGAGAGCGCACCGCCGTCAAACACCATAGCCTTGGTAGCTACCAAACTTGCGTGGCAGGCTCTAGTCCGATTCGATTCTCCAGAAGGACGAAGATTAGCTGACGTTGTGAAATCAGCAGTGAACGGTGTTTTTGAGCCGCCCTGTCTATACGAACAAGAGCAGATACACACTAGATTGATGGTACTAGACCAATCATTTTGCGCTCAATATGACGCAAAAGTTCCGGTCGCCATCCATGTGGGCGCTCTCAATGGCACAAATGATGCGGGCATCGGAATACGAACCGGACGTTATTAATATCGGCACCTAATTCATAGTCCTACGTAGAACTAAGAAACTCTGCAATCTATACGGGTTCTAAGGTCTACGATATGATATAGCAATGCAGTTAGGCATATAGGACGTAGTTAGGTCATCCCATAATCGTAAGCTGCTGCTATATTGTGAATTGGTCCACTAGCACGCGTACAAGAATAACACATGCCGAAGGCTAATACAAACATTGGTTTGCAGAGAGCTCTCCGAGCTTTACAAATTTTTTCTTCTCATGACGATGCACCCTCTAGTTCTCCAAGGAGAGCTATTGGAGAAGGCGGTAAATACATTAACGTAACTAACAAGAGTGCAAACACGACAAGCACTAGACTAAGAACAAGGCAGTCACACTCACGTAAAGCGTCCCTAGAAGGCAATAATACCCCGCGGCCGAGATTCGATTCTCTCTTCTAGCTAAATTTGATATGCGGGGAGTAACTTATGTAGGTTTTTCAAGTTATGTAGCCAAGCGATGGCGTCAATCTCGCAATGAATTCGTTATATGTTCCCATCCCAAGGCCAACTTCTGTGGAGTATTTGGGAGTCAAGCTATATCTGACAAACTAAGCATTCTAGCTTTACGTCGGGGGTAATACCGTCAATTACCATATCAACTTGCGGTAGGTCACGTTGAAGAAGACGCACCGAGTCCCTACATTAAGAAGTGCGATTCGCTAGCATGACACTCGTCATATTACTCGGCGCAAGAATAGAGCGAGCTTGAGTGAAAAATATTAATGTCATCAAGCACACGAAAAAAGTGATGGAAACATGCTTTTGCTGTGGTATCGAAATCGTAACCGTAGTCTAACATAATGCCGTGACGCCAGACTCCATGATTCTGTGTTTCCTCATCTGTGAGAACCTATGCTTGCTTTTCGAATTCATCGTCGTTCCACTCGAGAGCCGATCCCGAAACCATCCAGGCTTTACTCGTCGACGTCCATAGCGTCAACGCCACCGCCGACCTTCATCTTCAACTTCCTCTTGCTCTTGCTCTTAGGCAGCGTCTCCTCAAGATCGCTGTCCAGCTCACTCTCCTCGGCCGCAATCTCCTTCCTTCTCGCCGCGACCTTCTCCTTGACCTTCTGCAGGTCGACTTGCACGTCCTCTTGCTCCAATTCCTCCTTCGCCCACCTCTCACTCGGTGGCAGCAAGTGCTGGTTCTCCTCGACGAGTTTCCTGTCCTCCTCGCGCTGCCTCTGCTTGTTGCCGCGCATGCGGGCCTTGTAGAAGGCCCTCTCTCTCCTTGCCCTAATCTCGGATACCCGTGACATGGCCTTGAGCGTGGTGTGTACGAGGTCGCGGTTGTAACGCACGGGGATGTTGCGGCGCTGGGCGAAGGTGAGGGTGCTATCGACGGTCATTTCCTTGCCGTGGGCGCGGCGGAAAGACTTTGTCCAAGCGAGCTTGCGAGGGTTGCGCTTCATCTTGAAGTTCTTGTGGCATTTTGATTTGCAGAAGCGGAAGGCTTTTGCGTCGTTGCGGACTGCACAATCATGGTCAGCAGTATCCTAGATGAAGTGGAAGAGTCGCATACCAAATGTGATACCCTTGGACGGGTACACAGGCGCCGAGCAGAAATAGCACGTCTCGATCCTCATCTTGTCGGTTGGGCGCGATTGTCGTCGCTGTCGCCGAGGGGGAAAAGGTGAAGAGGTGGAGAGGTAGTATTGCCCGCCGCCGACATCTCTCGAAAATTGTAGCGGCCCGCCAAGATTTTGCTGCACTGACCAATTGGTGGAAGGAGCCAATGACAGAGCACGACGACCGCGGCTTCCGCCATTTTTCTTCCGAGGGACCATCACGACGACGACGACGCCATTCAATCATCGAATCTTCGCAACTTCCTTTCTGCGAAACGCAATAGCAAGCGCTGTAGGAAACAGTCATGTCTGCTTGGGTCTGGATTGCTGGTGCGGGTGCCGCTGCTTTCTTCGTACGCCTCCCCGTACTCTTCATTTCATTCCGGTGAAGCAGTGGAGAGCTGCACGCTGCAAACACTGTGTTGCGCACTCTTTCTAGTGCCATGTATGCTGACAGCATTCCAATCAGGGTCGTGCAGCACTCGTCGCATTACGAAGGTCAGGCGGTGGCGCCGGCCCATTGGGACGTAGTTTCTACAAAGGTGGCTTCGAGCCAAAGATGACACGGAGAGAAGCTGCTCTGATATTGGAAATGCCGTACGCCCGCCACCAACTCTTCACTTCGGATACGGGAATGGCAGAATGCTGACACGCTACAGCGAACGAGGCATTACGAAAGAGCTCCTACGAAAGAAGCACCGATCGCTCATGCTCTTGAACCATCCCGATCGAGGCGGCAGCCCATACCTAGCGACCAAAGTTAATGAAGCAAAAGAGTTACTGGAAAAGGAAGTCAAATAAGGTGGGAAGGAAGAGCAGTTGTATATCAAGACTTGTATTATATCATGGCCCGGATCCGCTGCATCAGCATGGCGTTGGTTTGATTTGGACAGGAAGCTACATGGTCATCTTTGAGGGCGACACTAGAGATTTTCGAATGTACCTGGCAGTAGGTCAGCTGTCAAGCTATTGTTAATACCCACAACTCCCCCATTTTCGTTATTCCATTGCTCATCCTATCCGCCAGTAATTCAAGCCATGGTCAAGCTCATGCATCTGTAAACTAGAAGAGTGGTATAGGTTACTAGCGGCAGTCCCTCAAGCCTTTTCCTACGCGGAGAACAGTTCACGTATTCCTTAATTCCTTCAGACGTAAGACTAGGGGAGCCACGCAAACACAGCCTCTACAGCCAGGGCCGGTAAACACAGGAAAGTCACAAACGATGTTAGCGTTACACTCGGACTACACCCAGACAAACTCTAGAATACATCCGTAGTCCTCAAACGACAGGGTTGTCATCCCTGCTATCTTGAACCTGAGCCTGGGGCTGAGCTTGGATATTTTCATCAAAGTGGTCTTTGTTGTTCACAATCATATCAAGGGCGCATTGTGCGCGCGACCAACTGAGCCCTCGACCTCCCCCTAGAAGCTTGTTACGAGGCTTACTCTGTCGCGTAATTCCTTTCATGGCATTGTTCAGCCTGCATCGCTGACAATGTTGCTGTTCGGAAATGGATACTGCAGGATCGCGGGACACACCATGGGAAGTCCTTAAGCGCCGAACGAATTGGGCCTGCCCTTGTAAATAGCAACGTGGTTTCGAGGCATGAGTTCCTGGAACCCGGAATGAAGGTGATCTCCACTGATGTAGTCAATGATAGGCTCATGGAACATTCCAAATGACCGGCCCATCATAAGCCTTGGCGATATCCAGCCACCATGACACTGACATCTACAAGGGCTCGTCTATCGGCGTTCGACAACTTGTCTTTGTGGTGACTATCCAACACAGGCTGCCGAGTGCAACTGTGAGGTAGGTAGGTTATTAATTTCCCTTCGGGCCTTGGGGAATGTAGCTACGACGCGGGGCAATGGTGGGGCAGCTAACGGCCTCAAATCACGTCCCACGAGATGACGGCCAACTCCGACGCTTACTGCCGGCTTGATGAATGACCGAGCGATAGTTCGCATGTATTCGGCTCTTTTTGACAACTTCACAGCCCTTTCAACTTCATACGCTCCCTAGAAAGGCTCTCCCACAGGCTCTTTGCTGTCACAATGACAACGGAAAGTACCGAAGGGCTCACGCGCGAGCAGCTCGCCTTCTTCAATGAGAATGGCTATCTGCTAATACCAGACGCGCTATCACAAGAGACGGTCAAAGAGCTTCTAGGAGAGACAAACAAATTGCTCAATGACTTTACATTGGATGACCATCCAATGACCAAGTTCTCAACTGGCGGCGACGATGGCGCAGACCATGTAGGCGACAAGTACTTTCTCGACTCTGGAGACAAAGTGCGGTTCTTCTTTGAAGAAGGTATGTAATGTCAACAAAGGCGCTTGAAATTCAAATAATGACGCACACCATAGATGCCTTCGACGCCACTGGTACCCTAACCAAGCCTAAACACCGCGCCATCAACAAAATAGGCCACTACCTCCACGAACTCTCCCCCTCGTTCCGCAAGATCTCACTTTCTCCCCGTAACGCCGCGATCGCGCAATCTCTCTCCTTCCGGGACCCGCGTGTTCTACAATCCATGGTGATATGCAAGCAACCTGAGATAGGTGGAGCTGTACCACCGCACCAGGATAGCACGTTTTTGTATACAGATCCGCCAAGCGCGGTGGGGTATTGGTATGCGCTGGAAGATGCGACGAAGGAGAATGGCTGCTTGAGCTTTGCGCCGGGGAGTCATCGACGAGCTGCTATTGATAAGAGGTTTGTGCGAACGGGAGAGGCAGGAAGTGAGGGGACGGGGTTCATTGACAACGAGGGTGCGAGATACCCGAAGGGATTGAAGACAGAGCTCAATGGGGCGGCGAATGGGGAGAAGGAGTATGAGGTCGTAGAGAAGGAGGAGAGATATGACATGGGTGAGGTCAAAGCTGGCACGCTCGTTCTTATCCATGGCAATATCCTGCATAAGAGCGAGAAGAACACGAGTGGGAAAAGTCGGAATATATACACATTCCATGTCATTGAGGGCGACCAAACCTATGACGCGCAGAATTGGCTACAACCACCTGAGCAGGGCTTCTCGCGACTGTATACGGAGAATAAGGCGGCAAACGGTGCAGACTCAGGTAGTAGACTTGCGAAGGATTGGTAGATTCAACAAATGTGATTGCAAGGCCTGTATTATTGTGGCTACGTTTTGCTCTGTACACATAGCCCAATGCCAGTAAGCACAAATGCCATGCCTATCCAGGTATCTAAACATAATCCAATTAGCCTTCTCTGACATCGAATGCGCACGATGTAGCCTACCTCGACTTATGACCTTCTTCTCGGCCCACCACTCCCCCAGCACCGTGAACAAGAAGGCCAGTGAGTTCGTGATAGGCACCGTGAGACTTAACTCGGCTTTCCCAATTAGGATGAAGAACCACACACTCCCCGTAACGTTCAGCAGGAGGGGTACTGCGTACGCTGGCCTTGAAAGCACGCCGATTACTGCGTAGACTACCCCGAGTATCTTCTTCTTGAGCCACGAGTTGTTGGGATCGGTGAGGGAAGGACGGTGCGGAGGTGTGTAGTTCCTATTTCAGTTTAGTCGAGTGTATCATGGAAGGGTGAGACTAGACGTACATGGCAGCTTTTCGCATGAAAGGAGTGGTCAGGCCCCAGCACGCGCCAACCATCAGAAAGCCCAAGATCCAGCGGAAGACTGAGGGCTCGGCTTCATCCTGTATTGGCGCATCAGGATCCATTGTGCGATGAAACTTTGCTGCTGAATGAAACTATGATGATGTCAAGATGTGAACACATATGACACATGCGAGAAGGATAGGCGGACGCGTTCCAAACGAGGGTCAATAATGGCAGGGTGTGCTGTCGTGCTCGGTGAGCTCGTGGAAGCCGTGATGCGGTTCCTGGGCCGCGAAGACGCATGACACGCCGTGGCACCTGGAGGCCCCTGCGCCGCAACAACATCGAAAATCAAAAGCCAACGCTGTTCCTTGCCTCCACTCATCGCAAACGGCCGCGATCGTCATGGAGCATCACCAAATGCTCATCTCTGGAGCGCCGATACAGAACAGTACACCCTGTGCCTGCTCTTGCGACAACAGCAGCAACGGCAAAGAGCCCGGGACTACGTACCTAGGACCAGCAGCAGGATGCAGTCACCCGATGGGCCCACCAGTGAGACCCTTCCGGATCACTACCATGAGAGGATATTGGCCCTCTCACGCCATCTGCTCATCCAAAATTTTCAAACTTCCTCGTCTCGACTCGTCTCGAGTAAGCGGAGCGCGCGATGCAACCCTCCAGCGAAATTTCTGACGCTCCATCGGATAGCGAGCAACATGGACATCTTTCATCCGATTTCCTGGGTCCACTGCTAGTCTCCATTTTTCCATTGAATACCCTCTATGACATCTCTTCTCTGCTCTCTCAATTCCGCTTTGCTATGTTTCTTAATTCCGCGGGCTGGGAGGCCTGCATGCGGCATGTGTCACCATCACATTCCAAACGGTCGGTATTTCCGGTGGCGGGTTTGTCCATTACGATGAAAATTTCTCTTCGTTACGGCGACATCTACGACAGCTTACGTCCGTAGGTCTCGATAAGGCTGCAATACCCTAAATGTTGCAAGCGAAGCCACTGTCAGGTTGTCTACACGACTTGATGACCAGGACGCCCACCAGCAAATGCGAGTCAGATGCACGAACAAAGAAAAGCACGCTAGTTGGCTGCTGTGTAACGGGTACCTGCGGCTGGACAACGGCCTCAAGAACGTAACCCTACATCCGGTATGTGGCTGCATTCAGCATGCCCCAACCCTCGTCACGGATTGCCCAACCACCCCGGAATTTCAGCATTTGTGACGTTTGACACTTTGGCGGTGCAAACGCCTCAAAATTTCCTGAAACATAAGGGTTGTGGCTTGGGTCAGCCTCCATTCCGCCCTGAGTCGCTAAGTTTAGCTGGAATGCACTCAATGTAGGAGAGGCTGGCAAGAACTCTCCCCATCTGGAATACCACAGTATATATCGAGTCTAGGTAGGTTTGTTTAGCATGTTTGTTTTCTGCATCATTGGCGCGCTACAAAGCTGTCCCTGCAGACTCGCAACCATTACCCATCTTTCCAGCAAGGCACACGTACGTGTTACATTCAGCGCGTTATCGTCCCCTCTTTTACCTCGTTGCAACACAACACCTCTCTACCAGTTACCTGGTTGCTTCAATCAACACGTGAAAGACAGGCCAAATGACCTCGTTACTACAACACTCTTCGGATATCCCAATGCGGCCAAACCGCAACAAAGACATGGACGTCGTTGACCTGGACCAGCTCTTTGAGGACTACGGTGAGACGGACCTGCTCCAACACTTCAACGATCCCACAGCCGACCGGTCCAGCTCCGACGATCTGGCACATCTCTTTGACCTCCCCTCGTCGAATGAGAGCGACTTGTTCGGAACTGAGACTATACTCGATCGGGAGGAGGCTGCTTGGCACAAGGCTCCCAGGAAGTGCGAACAAAACCCAGCCTCACCCATGCTTAATGATTCTTCCTCATTCTGCATTGATTCGAAAGCGCAGACGTCATTGAGCGACTCAGAGTTGCTTAGCTTTGAAGATCTGTTCGAGTTGGAGCGAAATCAACTGCGCTCTATCTCTCAGCCTTCCACACCACGACCCCACACCCACACCACACGATCAGTCAAGAAGGCTGTATCGTTCAACGATCGAGCAACCAGTCGCGGCGTTCAGAAATCCCTGAAGAAATCGCCTTCCACATCTTTCGCCAAAATGATGCAACCAATGTACTACCGTTCACCCATTCCGGATGTCTGGACACGCAAGATGGACACTCCAGCAGACGCCTTTCACCTTCGAGGACCTTCAAGTGGCATTTCCTCGCCTCCTCTATCATCGAAAATCGTCCAGCATGAAAATGGGAACGGCTTTTTCGCCCAAGAACATCACCAGGCTTACACCGACACCCATTCATCACGCTCAGGCGACGAGCCTCACACCCCAGGCATCGACTTCTCAAACTACCAATTAACACCGCAAGCATCACCTGGCATGGGAGTCTCAAGTAATGGCAGTAACCACTTCGACGACCATATGGGCCTGACGTTTAGCTCCTCAGCGTCCAGTGCGGCTCTTTCAGCCTTACAGACCCCGCCCTCCTCTCTCCGGCTACCCATGACAACTTGGGGCACCGACACCTCGCCTAGCCTGGACTTTGGATTCTCAGCCTCGCCAGAGTTCCCCGGCTCCAGTAAGACAGCAGGTTGGTGGAATGACGATGCCGCCAACCAGGGGTCAGCCTGCCCGGGTTACCGCGAGAGCAATTCCAGGTCGACAAGCCAAACTATGGGTCTTGTGAACGGAGGCATGAATGGCCTGGGCATTTCGTGCGACACAGCAGCTTTTGGCCACTTTTCCGGACTTGGTGTGAGCGATGGCTTGCCCGGAGCTCCAGCTCCGTCCTTTGACGTGGGGAGTTTCAACGCCATGTACCCCACGCCACCTCAGCAACACATCGTCTCTATCGGGCATCGCCCGTTGTCGCGCTCACCATCACCTTGCCCGCAACCAAGGTTTCATCGACGTAGGCCAAGCTCGCAGTCGCATGCGTCTCACCATCGCGCGTCACACTCGAGCACGGCATCCAGCAGAAGGAAGTCAAGTAACTCGAGCCAGCAGTCTTCAAGACAGCTTTCAAGCGGCAACGTGGGCTTCGTCAACTTCACACCAGACGATAGCCGGAAGATCCTGACCGGCGTTGCACCGAGTGGATCGAGCAAGACCAAAGCGCGGAGAGAAAAAGAAGCCGCAGAGAAGAGAAGGAAGCTTAGTCAGGCTGCCATGAAAGCGGTCATGGAAGCTGGCGGCGACGTCGATAGCCTACGCCGTCTGGAGAGAGAGGGATTACTTGTCCTTGAAAATTGAGATTCGTTTCATTTCAGGTCAAACCGGAGTTTGGAGCACGTATAGGAGGCACATGTTATTCCTTTGCCAACCTTAACCTAATTTGGACGACCAAAGTAGCGTCACCACATAGTTGTATGGGGATGTAATGTGTCTATAACACGGCGAAAAGTAAATCGCACCGACAGAAGAATTTTAATACCACAATTTAGCACTATAACTCGTTCCATTTCAGTGACATGTTGCTTCTGATTCGAGCGGGCATTCCCACATATCCTATTTTGCGCCAATGCTTACAGTGAGATTGTCATGACATGCTTCTTATCTTAGTCTACGCCTTGCCTCGCCGACAGCCTTGCCTCCCCGACGACCTTTCCTTTATCAAGCTTAGTTTATCACGCCAACTCGGCTGAGCCCGCCTGGGCGTTGCTTGCTAGCAGCATGTTGAGAGAAGTTTCAAGTTCCCTTATCGTTGAGTCGTGATAATACATACCCCAATTGCGCATTGTCGGATTTGATCTCTCGTTGCGATATATCCAGGTAGTTCATCCTCCCGCTTCGAGCTCTAGCCTCGCTAGTACAGTTTCAACGACACCCTTTGCTCCCACGCCTGTCTCCACACCACCCAGACTCTTCTCTTCTGCCTCTAGTTCCACAGCACCTTCGTAGACCTTTACAATCATGTTTTCGTCGACTTTTGTCCCACATGCTACCAGACCCTTGATCAATGTGCTGACCCTTGTGATCTCGCGCATGACCGCTGGCTCGATCTCGTCGTTCTGGCTCGAATACAATGTCTCCGTAACACTCTCGTCTAGCCTGTTGATGCCGACTTCCTTCGGATCCGCATTGGTTGTGATGTGTTTCGAGATGAAGATGTACCCGTTGACACCGAGGACAACATCGATCTCGCCGGCTGCGGTGTTGAGCGTGAAGACTTGGCGGCGTGAGCGAACTACGCCTCCTCGTCTCGAGAGAATACCTCCCCCAGCACCGGTCAGGCTTGTAAAGAGTCCGTTCCTCAGCTTCCCGTACTTCAAACTCCTCGTATGCAAACTCGCTGTGTTATCCTGATGCAGACTCTGCACTTCGGCAACCAATAAATCACCCTCGGAAAAGAAAGTCCGTATGTTTAGCTCATCTACCGCCGTCCTGCGCCTCAGTATGCCACCCGGCAAATTTATGCTGCTTAGTGGTAGGTTGGCGAGCATAGGCGCTGCGATATCGACGCTCCACTTTTTGGTTTGCACAGAGACTATGCGGCCAACGACGAGATCACCAATCTCAGGCTGATACCGTGCGCGTAATGGCTGCACCGACAATAGCTTATTTGTCTTGTGTAAGTGGCCCGCGACAGTGGATATTATGGTGCTGTCGCCAACGGGGACGTATGTGCCGTGGCCGCGCATCCATTGTGGGTCGGACGTTATGTGCTCGCCGGGTGTAACTATGGATTTTGTTTGTGACGTGGGGAAGTCGTCGTCGGACATGTCGACATCGGAATCATCGTCGTCTCTGGCATCGCGACGGGGCGGGAGAGGTGCGCTGGGTGGGAGGATGGAGACGGGCATTGTAGCGAAAGCTAGCCTTTTGGGGCACTGAGAGAGACTTTGTGTGATGCTGTATGTAAGCGACTATCTGTGGAACAGCCTGTTATAGGTGAAAGGTAGGTTGTAAGTATCACGGACGGTGTATCGCAATGTCGTTTTGTCTCAGAGCGAGCTTTGGAAATTTTGGCGGGGATTCAAGATCCCCGTCGACGCCATCCTAAAAAGGCTTAGCCCGTCACGTCCACCTTCTGCAGTCGCGACCGTCTCTCGACGTCATCTCATCAACAATATTGCATCTCAACCCATAGCACATTGAACAGAGGAGATCGGACGGAGGCCATAGTTTCTACAAAAGAAATGCCGCCAGCCTCAGCCTCAGCAAGCTATACCTACTTCAACGACCCGTTCATCTCGGCCCTTGATGCAGCCTCTCCAGTCAACGCCCGTGATGACCCAAACTACTACTCACGCTATCCACGCTCGCTCATAACCACCTCAAACCTCCATACGTTCATGAATGGTACTGGATCCGCGGTGTACGACTCACTGGCCCCTTTACTGGAATCAACGAACCACGAACTCATCCTCGTAACCTGCTTCTGGGCGCGGTCCGCATCGCTTGAAAGGCTCAATCAAATCCTGCGTACACTATCTGAGAAGGCCATAACGAGGGGGACAGAGAAGATCCGCGTGCGGCTGTGCTTTTCAAGTTCATCGTTGTTTCAAAAATTATTCCACAAGCAATCCGTCACCGGACAACCATACCCGCCTTCAGTATGGACGAAATCACTTGGCCTCCCTGATCCCAGAGAGCTCGGTGGTCTGGACATACGAATCAAGTCTATATTTCTCTTGCCGTTCAGCGTCATGCATCCCAAGTTTATGATCATTGACCGGAAAACAGCGATATTGCCAAGTTGCAATATTAGTTGGGAAGAGTGGTTTGAGGGCGCTGTCACTCTGAGCGGACCAGTTGTGGATCAATTTATAAAGTTCTACCATACTTTCTGGGAACAGCGGGACGCGCCTGTGCTCCAGAGTGCGAGCAGCGATCAGAATGCGAGAGGCCACTCAAGTCACGAAGATGGCATCGATATCGACAGCAGTCAGAAGAGCTTGCTCAAATCATCGGTCCAGCTATCAGCTTCCGGTATCCGTACAGTCTTTCTACCGAGCCCGCACCGCAGGAATCCACGCCTCCGCCCTTTCGCTTCTCCGGATGCCGTCCTTGCCCCTCCGACACCGCTGAATACGTTCCTGCTGACTCTGTTCGCAAAAGCAGAGAGGAGTATACGTATCCAGACACCAAACATCACCGCGCCGCCCATCCTGTCGGCACTCTTCAAAGCACTCGGCCGCGGCATCGATGTGCAGATTCTGACTTCTGAACGACTAATGGTTCTCGAACAACTCGTCACAGCTGGGACCACAACGTCACGCTGCATCAAGAAACTGATTAGGCGTTACCAGTTATTGTCCTCAAGTTCACGCCGACCATTGAGCGACGAAGAAGCAGCTATCTCGCCACCAAGACCTGGTCGACTACGCGTGTCCTACTTTGAACCTCTCAACGGACCGAAGAAGAGAGGCCAAGAGGGTGGCGAACCGCAGCAATCGCATCTGAAGATGACAATCGTGGATGACGAAGTGCTTGTCCTAGGGTCCGGGAACTTGGATCGAGCGAGCTGGTTCACGAGTCAGGAGCTGGGAGTTGCGTTCTTTGATAAGGACTTGGTGAATTTGGTAGGAAGCGCAGTGAATGAGGGTATGCAGGGGAGGAGTAAGACTGTCTTTGATAGTCACGAATAATTTTGTGGGTAAGATACGTGTACAGGCCCGGTCAAGAAGGCCGCGGCCACACAGTAAAGCATACGGTATATCGCTATTGTTGAAGTTTTAACAAGAGCTAGAGCTGAATATTATTACACCCCATGGAGTGATCTCCAATCACAGACACAGCATTTCGGACATTCCATATTTCCAGTGAACCACGGGTATTCAGACTTCACCACAAACCCATTTGCTTAAGGCATCACAATCGCATAAGGGAAGGAATGGAAAGCTCAAAAACACAGACAAAGTTGGTAGTGAAACTCTAAACTCGAACGAAAGCGAATGCTTACAAAAATTGCCTCGGGCCTTTGCGAAGTCGATGAGAGCGTACCCTACTATCAAACGACTCGTCCTAAAATCATTGTTTGCGTCGCGACCTTACCTAAACGCACCATGGGACCGCACTGGCGAGGGAGGTTGCACCATTTGGTACTCCTCCCGGTTGAGCCTCTGCGCCTCACTCATCCCACCTTGGTCCCTGTTGCTTTCCCACCCTACTCTCGATCTCTGTGTACCCTTGTCCAACGTATCCAACAAGAAACCTAGGCAGATATATATCGCAACCACCAAGAACTCCTCAATAACCGACATCATTACAAGCACCGCCACACTTCCTGTAATGAGGTTGAATAGATGATTGTGACCAAACACCACGCACGCCGAGTATACCAGTCGAACTAGAACCAGTGGCAGTGCGAAGGCGATGGCAACTGGGACTCTGCGCTCTTTCTTTGGCACCACGGAAATCTCTTTGACGGAAGTAAGGAAACCGATGACGATACCGGCGAACGCGATGATAAATAAGATGACGCCTACTTTGCTCGTTGTAGGAATTTCTTGGGTGCCATCAGATTGGTAGTTTCCAGTTGTACCGCCGACGATACTGAGGATGAGTCCGACTGTAATGAGGAGCAGTACGATGCGGAAGTGTTTGGTAGTGGACAGTGTTGTGGTTTTTGCGTTGACGACATATACACTGGGATTGGTTAGTTATCATGAAGAGGTTAGAGAGAAGTGATTATAGTAAGTACAATCTACCCAGCATCCCCAGCGTCGCTAACATTAATGGCGTGAGGCCAATGGAGTCAATGACTATTGTGGCTGTGATTAAGCCCGTGGAGTGGTTGTTGTGCGATATAAACTGGCATATTGCGCCAGCGATGCGGACGGTGCAGAGAATGAGCGTATAGATCCAACCCGACGAACGATTAAAACCATGCCGGAAGCAGACAAATAAAGCAAGGATGGCAGTGGGGATATAGAAGATCAGTTCAATGACTGAGACTATGTCGCGGGCGTACAACATACTGAGGGGATATCAGTGTGGACTGTTGGTGTGTTTTGCGAGCGATGAAAGGCAAGGAGAGGAGTTTGCGGGCTTGGTGAGCAAATTAGATACTCCATGTTTACAACTGGTCCTTATATGGAGCTCAATGTGGCTGCGCACACTGAAGCTGGGTCCACTTCACGATACGTCTTCCCGAAGTGGAAGTGTCGATCAACTCGGCTATGGTCGTCCTAAACAGGAAACCACTTCGTTAGCGCGCCGCGCCGTCATGTCGTGCAAACCTCACACTCGTTCCCCATCTCGATCCACCTCTAATCTCACTTGCATCAACAAGCTCCTGACTCGAATTTGAGTCTAGCTTACCGCCTTTCGGAAATATTGCGTGCGCGGCGCTGAATCAGCCGGAGATGGCGATGCTTGCACAGTCATAAGCGTTTCTGCCGTTGGGACAGGCGTTGCTAAGCCACGACAAGCTTTTAGTATACCGACGGGCTGTGCCATCATTGGTTTACTTATTGTGCTAGGGGCGTCGCAAATGACAGACGAAAATGGGGGGATACAGCGACGAAACCTCACCTCTTACTAACATCCTCTCTCTCTGCTCCAATCATGTACCGAGGAAAGCCTTCAGCTGCATGTTCTTCGTGCCGTGCGCGGCGCATTACGGTAGGTTCATTGACTCAACTTCTTCTTCGTATTGGTAACGTGTTTTGACGAGGATACGTAGTGCGACAAAAAGAAGCCCCAGTGCACACAATGCACACGTATGCGCATCGACTGTACAGGCTATCGCGATCCGTTAGACCAAAACTTCCGCGATGAGAGCGAAAGTGTCGTAAAAAGAGCACAGAAAAGCTACAAGAAAGCCAGTGGTGTTGGTCAAAGCAAGCGATGCGCGCAAAAAGACGGCAAGGCCTACCACTGTGCCGACTCGTGCGACATAGTCCCGCTCAAACTTTACCAGGACTGTGCTATTCCCAATGCTCCCATGTTGCTCAACCTTTCGCAATCAATTGAAGACGTAGCCGTCGCTCACTTCATGTCCTCTTACATCCCAGGAAGCCATTTTGACTATTTGCCGGCCATGTACGGGCAACTCAGCACCGAGATGGTGTTGACCGCAGCCGTTCACGCAGCTTCAATGGCATCGCTGGGGCGGGAGCTAGGGCAGCCTAGTATCATGGCCATGGCTCGTCGCTCGTATGGGAAAGCACTGCAGAAGATGGACTGCGCCCTGGCAGACCCCTCGATCGCCGCCAATGACACAACACTAATCTCAGTACTGCTATTGGGCCTCTTCGAAGCAATGGTTTGGGCATCTCCCAGAACACCGCATAGTTGGACAGCTCACACCCGAGGCGCACTCGCACTCATCAAACTTCGTGGGCCTCAACAAGTTGAAACGCCAGTTGGGCGGACACTTTTCGTCCAGGTCGCGAACATCATTTGCGTTAGTAGCATACAGCAGAAAACACGTATACCACCGGAACTGGTGGCTCTTATCAAGACAGCCATGCACGACGAATGTGGAGCTCCGAGGTATGGGCTCACGCGTTTGACTGGCGAGGTCTCAAACCTGATGGCCGATATAGACGAGGGCGGCATGACTGCAGAAGAGATCATTAGAGCCACACAAAGCGTAGATGAAAAATACGTTTCGTTCTCTAAGAGCATTCCACAGTCATTAAAATACCGGGCGATTACAATAAACAAGCCGCGACCGGAAGTGTACAACCAGACGGTCTATCAATATCCTAGCCATCGCGCAGCCCAGCTCTGGAACTCCTACCGCATGACACGAATCCTACTCAATGAAATCATCCACGGGTACGCTGCCTATGTGTCCCCTTGTTCGAGGGCCGAGATCCAAGACCATGCGACGGAGAACGTACAACAAATGGCCGTTGAGATATGTGCAAGCATCCCACAGTTCACCAACCCTTTAGAATTTTCCGTCCCCCTTGGACGTCACTTTCCAAGTTCCGCAGGTCTTGCCCCCGTTTCTAAACCCGAGTCTCTGTCGCTGAAAGCCTCAGCTGCATCATTACTATGGCCTCTATCTGTGACCCGGAGCGCGAGTATCGCTAGCGAGGACGTGAGAGCGTATTCCGTAGAGCGATTGAAGTTCGTGGGCCGCGAATTTCGCATGCCACAGGCGGAGAAGGTTGCACTGGAGATGGGCGAGTTCGATTCACTACAGGACGGGCTGCATATGTTTTATGTTTCGTGAGAAGCAGCTTGTGTTGCGTCACCTTATTGACAGCCTCATCGACCTCAACACTTGTTCATCACACCCCAGTGAGTGCGTCCTAGTTGGCGTCGAACAAGGTATCGCGGGCGTCCCCTGGCTCACCAGGACTATCTTCACCTACGAAGATTGTGGCCACCGAGACGTACCCGACATCAGTTATTTTAACAGACAACCATAGGGTAATGCCATATTGTAACTAACAAGGATGACAATAACGACATTTGTGCCCCACCGAAGGAAGATGATATGATAGGGTTAGAGTTTAGATGGTACTAAATTAGATAGGCGAAAGTCAGCAGTATCATTCTAGTTCTGCCACGATACTCTTCTCACCTCTCTTCTCTCCCCACCTATCCATCACTCCTAGCAAACCTTCACAACCTCCTAACGTCCACGCCCATCGCTTTACACCCCTCACTCAACTCCCAGCCCTCCCAGCGCCGCGGTGTCTCCCACAGAGCACATTGTACTAGAGAAGTATGCCGAGGTGGTCTGAGAGTAGGCATGCTTGTCGCGGCTGCAACGTTCATTAGTAGTAAAGCCATTTTCGACTGTTGAGAGGTTGGTATAGTGCGCAAGGGTATATCTGCCTTTTTCTCTTCGACCTAAGATAGCTGCTGTCGTGGTTGGGACGACGCGCCAAGCGGTCTCAGGCTTACGTTGCCCTAGCCAGTATTCTATGACACTATTCGGACGACAATATGTTGAACCATACGATAGGTCCTGAGATTGAGTCTATTTTGTTCCTCCGAGAGGTTGCGTCCGTAAGCCCAGTTGGTGTCTGGGAGGGCTATGTTCGAAGGTTTGCCCGGGGCCTGGTGGAACTCCGCTTAAACTACCTAAGCTACAAAGCGTTAGCGTCATACCTGGCCTTCCCTTTTAGGCCACAGCCTGTCCAGCTCATGCAGGTAAGGACCAGCAATCCAAGGTAGCAGCGATAATATTTCGTCCGAAACCAAGTTCAAGATGCCGCTCGTGCAAATATAAAAAGAGATGGATTCCCAAGTTTGTGTGGCATCACACTCAAAGTACTTTCACAGAACCAGCAATAGCTTCTACTAAGGCGTAGACACTTTGGAAATCCTCTTGTGTGGCATTATTCTCATCATCCAGCCTTTGCTTTCAGAAAAACACAATGACGTTGAATCCTGATTCTCTTCCCGACCTCACTGGCAAGGTATACATCGTGACCGGCGCGACGTCCGGCATGTAACTCTCCGTCTTGTTCCTATTCGGCTCGTTACCCACCACTGACTCTACACAGAGGCTACTCTACAGCATCCCGCCTCGCCCAAAAGAACGCACATGTCTACATCTGTGCCCGCACAACCGAAAAGGGCAATGCGACCATTTCAACCATCATCTCCACTCATCCTCATGCTCAACTCAGCGTCCTGGTCATGGACCACCTACGATTATCTTCCGTTGTCACAGCAACGCAGCACTTCCTGTCCAAGGAGACGAGATTGGACGGGCTAGTGAATAACGCAGGGATCATGGCGACGCCCTTTGCCATGACAGAAGACGGTTACGAAGCACAATGGCAGACGAATTACCTCGCGCACTGGGTCTTCACATCGCATCTTCTACCGCTGCTGCGTGCGACTGCGACGCGTGCGAAGGCAGAAGGTAGTCCGGCGGGTAGCGTGCGCATCGTGAATCTCTCGTCGTTTGGACATTTCTCTGCGCCGACAGGCGGGATTCATTTCGCAGATACGAGTCTAAGAGATGGGAAGAATATGCAGCGATACGGGCAGTCGAAACTTGCTAATGTCCTACATATGAAGTCGCTCCAAGAGCGCTTCGGACCTAATTCACCGTCCGTAGCTGCTGGTGACGAAGAGATCTGGGTGTCAGCTGTACATCCAGGTCTGGTGAAGAGCAATCTAGGAGATAGAGCTGAGTTGCCGGGCTTGATGTGGGCTCTAATCATGCCGTTTCAGTGGATTGGAGGAATGGTAGACCAGGACAAGGGGAGTTGGACGAGCTTGTTTTGCGTTGCAAGCCCGGAGATGAAGAGGGAGGATAGTGGGAAGTACTTTCAGCGGATTGCGGATCCGAACGGGTGGCAAAGTGGGATGGCGAAGGACGAGAAGCTTGCGGAAAAATTAGAGGATTGGACAAGGAAGGAAATGGCAAAGGGTGGTTGGATCAAGGATAATTGATGGAGTTGGTTCGCGTTTTATGTTGTTTTACTAGATTAATGTAGATTTACGATTTATGCAGACCTGGACGTTGTCTGAAACTTAAATAACCCCCTCATACTGCCTCGATGCCTTCTATCGTCCCATCGTCCATTCTTTCAGGGTCGCTGTTGTATGCACTACTAACTGACCAGATCATGCTTCAGCGCTTCTTCGCACCCTTGCCCGCCTTGGCTTCCTGCACCTTCTTCTTCTCTTTTCCGGTCTGCGGTGCTTCCATGGTCTTCGAGCCAGCCTTGGGCAAGAATTTGCCAACCCGCTCCTGGTAGACTTTGTACTCGGGGTACTTCCCAGCACTCAACAGTTCAGTTAACCAAGTGCTGCCCTGGAAGAGGATGAGGTATCCAAAAGCACCTGCACCAGTCCAATTAACGTACGTCAAGCTCTGCATACATCCCCACTGATACAAGCACACCCAGAACGCCTGCTCAGCGGCAAAGTTGGGATGACGCGACCAGCCCCAGAGGCCAGAAGTGTTGAAGCCACGGTCGAGCTGCTCGCGGGTGAACTTGTGCTCAGATGGGACCTTGGCAGACTTTTGGTAGACGCCCTTGGCATTGTGGTAATTCCATTGCTGTTGGTCGGCGAAGAATTCGATAACGACGAGGAAGAGCATGGCTCGGCCAAAGAGGGTATCATACGAGGACGTCTCGTTCCCGGAGATACGGGACGAGAGGAGGAGGATGTATGTTGGGGTGGTGATGAGCCAGAGGAGGATCTATTTCTGTGTCAGCTAACATGTCTCGCTTTTGTTCACATCTAGGATAGGTTACATTCTGGCCAAGCGATATAAAAGTCGCGTTAAAAATGAACATTCCTGGCCCCCCAACGTAGTTCTTTACAGTGACCCATCTGTAGTCCTCGCTTCCTACCTGGTATCCGCCCTTCCGCCAGTAGTTGAATGTCAAACGTGTACCCCAGATGACGGATACTGCCAGAACATGGTTCAGGCGTACCGTGGGCAGCCCATTGATATGCGCCCACACGCCATAGTGTACATTGTAGATGACAGGCAGGATACTCCAGAGGCGGTCGACTTGTGAATAGTTGCGATTGAGCTCGGACACGGTGAGCACAACGGGCGTAACAAACAGCGCAAAGGCTAGCGCCGTCATCAGCGGGTTCGTCGTGGCATAGATATTCTGCAGCGCCCGAGAGTCGGTTATGTGCGCAGCGATCTTGTAAGGGAGGTCGTAGAGCTGCGGCAGGAACGGCTGCACGGTTTTGCTGTAGTCGGCGCACTCTTCAATCGTCTTCACGAGTGGGAGGGCCATGTCGAGGTAGGTGCGGGGGTCGGGCATCGTGGAGTAGGTGATGATGGAAAGGAGGTACTCTAGTACTCTCCAGAAGGTGGAGGGACTGTTTGCTATAAAGTTTGCTAGAGAGCACTTGAGACGCAAACGATGACGATGACCTCACGAGTCGTTGTCCACAATCGGGTTGCCTAGCCGGGGTCCGTGCATCCTCATACGCGCTTTTCCTAGTCGACGCGTCTTCACATGACGGCCACAGCTTCGACTTGCTATATCTCTCTCTCTACTCGCTCCATGGACTCCACGACACGTCAAAGTCATGGTTCGAGTGTTGTGCGTCGCGGAGAAGCCGTCGATTGCAAAGGCAGTAGCGAACCATCTAGGTGGACAGGCCAGAGCTGTGAGTTTCCGAAGCTCTCCAAGTGGAGGCGTATATGAAGTAGATGGGATGAAAGACTCACATTGAATAGGAGAGTGTCCGTGGTGTTCAGTGGGTCAAGAATTACAAGTTCGACTTTCGTTTTCAGCAATGGGGGCAATGCGATGTAACTTTTACCTGCGTTGCCGGGCATATCGTGGCACACGACTTTCATGAACGGTTCAGAAAATGGCAATCATGCCTGCCAGCAGCGCTCTTTGAAGCTCCCATAGAGTCCCACATCGCGCAGGTCTGTCCATCTCTACTTATATACTTGCAAAGTGGACTTACAATCATCAGGACAAAAAGGCTGTGGCAAGCAACATCGAGTCGCAAGCCAGATATGCGTCCATTCTGTTCATTTGGACCGATTGCGATCGCGAAGGCGAGCATATCGGATCCGAGATTCGAGACATTGCACTGAAAGCGAATCCAAACATGGAGGTCTGGCGAGCGCGGTTCAGCAACATTGAGAGGGCGTCTGTATCACTGCCCCCTTGCACCTCGCTCCATACTGATGTTCTCCTAGACACGTTATTCAGGCCTCACAAAACCCCGTTCGACTAGATGAAGCACAAGCGCAAGCAGTCTCAGCCCGCATGGAACTTGACCTTCGCCTCGGTGCAGCCTTCACCCGCATGCAGACGCTAGCCCTCCAGAAAATGATTCCCCAGCAAGGCGAAGAGCGCGGGAAGATTATCAGCTACGGCTCTTGCCAATTTCCTACACTAGGTTTTGTGGTTGACCGGTACCTGCGTGTGCGGAACTTTGTGCCAGAGTCTTTCTGGTATATCAAAGTCGCGCACACAAGGGATGAGATTGATGTCAAGTTCAACTGGCGACGAGGGCATCTGTTTGATCGCATGGCAGTCACCATCATCTTCGAACGCTGCCTGCTTTCGAAGACGGCGAAAGTGATCAAGATGGCGAAGAAGCCTACCAAGAAATGGAAGCCATTGCCGTTGACAACCGTGGAGTTGCAGAAAAATGGAAGTAGGTTTCTCCGCATGACCTCGCAGGATGTTATGAAGGTTGCGGAAGACCTCTACACCAAAGGATGGATCAGCTACCCGCGTACCGAGACAGATCAGTTTGACCGTGGCATGGATCTCCGAACCATAGTTTCGAGGCAGACGCAGGATGGTCGTTGGGGCCCATTCGCACAGAATCTAATGAATGGCGGATTCAATCAACCTCGCAGTGGTCGAAACAACGACAAAGCACATCCACCCATTCATCCTGTCAACTATGTTGCACCTACCCAGCTTAACGAGAATGAGCGAAAGGTCTACGAGTTTGTGGTCCGCCGCTTCCTAGCCTGCTGCTCTGAGGATGCCACAGGTGAAGCTACAGATATTGAGATTGATTATGGAGGCGAAGTCTTTCATGCGCATGGTCTCAGCGTCATCGCCAGGAACTACCTGGACGTATACCCCTATGATAAGTGGGAGAGCAGCCAACAGCTCCCGAAATACACTGTGGGGGAGATGTTTGAGCCCACAGAGGCGAACATGCTGGACGGAAAGACTACAGCACCAGGATATCTCACCGAACCCGAACTCATTGCGCTCATGGACGCGAATGGTATTGGCACGGATGCCACCATGGCTGAGCATATTGCCAAGATCAAAGAACGCGAATATGTAATTGCGCGTTCCGGCACAGGGGGCACAGCAGCTGGGGGCACAGCACCTAGCAGAGGGCGAGGAAGAGGGCGAGCAGGTGGCGCAGGAGGAGGCCGTGGAGGTCGAGGTGGGGCAGCAGCAGCAGCTCAAAACGGCGGAGGAGGAACTGGCGGGGTGCAAGAGTTCATTCCGACAACGCTGGGCATAGCGCTTATTGAGGGATACGATAATGTGGGATTTGAGACGAGTCTCAGCAAGCCGTTTTTACGGAAGGAGGTAAGTATTCCTTCATGTTGGGAGGGCTGGGGTTACAGTGGCTTTTGCTAACACTCTGGGCAGATGGAGGTTCAGATGAAGGCGATATGCGACGGGCACACTACGCGCAACGACGTGGTGCATCGGAACCTCGAGCAGTACCGAGCCGTGTTCAATCGCACGGTGCAGCAGATCAATGTGCTTAAATCGGTAGGTCAATATTACTCGGGACTTCTTTGTGTAGTGGCATCGCTAATGTCAGGTCCCCCCCTCAGGCCGTGACGAAGTACGTTGTGAACGCGAATCATGGCTGAGGCTTTGTCCACGCGGGTGCTCTCGGTTCGAGGGCCCACGTCACTCTATGGGGACTCTATGGAGACGGACGTCATGGGCGGGGTGAGCGTCTGGGCAGGGCGGCTGACTGTGGTTTGCTGCAAGACAAGAGACATACACACGTGTGTTGACGGGTGTTTCTTCTTCGCAGTCCATCAGTCGCAGCGCCTCATCCCGTGTCTGGGCGACGGGCAACGTTAGGTAAGGGAGTGCATGGCATGGGCGAAATCGGAGGGTTGGGAGGAGACCCCGCTTCGCGATAACGCCAATAGTGCTGTTGGGGCAGCAAATGCACGATGGAGGGCGGGATGTAGAAGTCGGTATAGGTCTCGATTGCGAACGGAACGAAGGGAGTGTCTCAGTGCAGCATCAGCGTGTCATGCGATCAGGCGGGTGGGTGAATGACGCTGGCTTTGGGCATAGGCATAGGCATAGGCATTGAAATGTCAATATTAACAAAGCCGCGATTACAACTACAACATGGGATAGACAAAGTGCATAGGCCCCGATGACGCCCGGTTCCCACCGACGCGTCCTGCTGACTAGAGGACTTACTTCGCAGCGGGGCGATGTGCGATGACGCCCGAGCGAAGTGTGGCTGTCGTCGAGAGGGTCAGCTGGCTTCGGGCCAATGGGAAGGCGCGCTGGGGCACGAGCCGTGGCTTCCCGTCCTGGTCAGTTGCGCCTGCCGTTGTCCTCGGAACCGGGAGTGAGTCCCTTATCAATGAAGCAGCCCAGCCCGTCGACGGCCTGACCAGAGCACACACAACAGTCCACCACCACCACTGCGCACCGAATTCTGTCCATCACCCCGCTGCTATACTGCTGCTGCTTGTCCTGCTGCTTCGTTGTCGCAAAATTTGCTCGTCTAGACGCCCCTAGAGCCGATCAACCATCCTCCCGTCCTCCTCGCTGATCGCCTCGCCGATCGCCAAACATCGCGCAACGAAAGAAGGGTCAAGCTGCATCCAACACACGCCAACACCAACAAACCGCGGCCCATCCATCCCATCTCGATCCTATACATTGCTCAGACTGCCGTGTTGCTGTCTGACGAGGATTTGATCAACCTGTTTCGCCGTGTCGCTCGAATCTTCACCCGTCAGCTACGCTTAGTCTAGGCTGAAGGCCTTCCAAGTACGTTCGCAAACACCCAAGGAGAAGCGCATCGCACTGCAGAGCCATCCAGGCTCTCTCGTAGCGCTCCTGCTCTGGACACAGCAAGTTACTGACTTCCCCAGTCGACACACGCCTCTCCCCCTTTGTGCGGCTGCTCAGTCAGATCGCGCCTCCTTTGACTCACCACGTCAGAATTTGCCTCGTCCCAGTCGCAACCGCCATGGCTGCCATCGCCTACAAGCCCGTGTCCAACATCGCCATGGCCTTTGGGCGTATGCACGATGGCGGCCTTGCACCCTCGACGGGTACCCTCCCCACGCCTCCGAGTTCCATCTCTCCGACGCTCCCTGCTCACAAGCGACGACCCATGCCCATAGCAGGGCCCGTCTATACACCGGAGGAGTCGATGGATATTGACCTCCAGGATGCTGTCGAGCATGCTGCCGCGCAGGATCAGCCCTCGGCCCTGTCCAAGGAGGCGCTGGCTGGCCTGGACGCAACGCGCCAGATCACCGCCCTGATGCTGGCCAAGCACTACTTGCCCGACATTATCGTCGGCCACGGCGCCATGCCCATTCGCGAGATGATGGCGCATCTAACGCACTCGGTGCCGGGCTTCTCTGGACTGCCGCCTGCCAAAGCGCGCAGGCTGGTCGTCGCTGCGCTGGAACATCGCGCTGGCGGCGGCCTTCAGGGAGAGGTCAAGTTCGAGAAGGTCGGCTGGGGGCGCTGGAGCGTAGCAGGTGCTGACACCCAGGCCCAGGGGCTGCCTATCGGTGGGTTGCGCACCGGAAACGGGCAGACACCACCCGCCAGTGTCGACAGCACTGGAGGCGGCCTGCATATACCCAAGCTGCGCCATGAGCGCGACGTCTACTCAGGCAGCTGGGCCGCCGGGTCGTGGTCGCCACACCACCAGGGCGAAGATGAAGAAATGGCGGACCAGATGTCGCTGGACGGCTCTGAGGGCAGCACCGACTCGGACTCGGCGTCGGAAATGGATCTCGAAGATGATCTCAACGACGATACCGATGAAGAAGACTGGTCTGCAATGGGGCCGGACGCCCTTCGTGAGCCCCGCCGCGGTCCGCGCCGCGAACACCGCGACTACAATTATTTAAGCCGAACGCAGACGAGCAACCCGCGCTATCGGAGCGCCTCGGCCCAGGCCCACTCGCTGCCTCACGGACGCACCACGACGCCCGTTTACAAGAATCACCTTTCCATTCCTTCTGCATCCCGCGGCAATCACGTCGTGAACGCGGGCCCTTCTCCTACTGTTTTTAATGCATCGCCTGGCGTTACTGGATCCGGAGCCGAGCGCGAGGCCATCGAGGCTCTTATCGCCATGGGCTCCATGTAGGCCCATGATCCCTCCCGACGTTTGCCGACGCTCTATGATTACGCCGAACATACTTCGCGATACTGAACACTTATACCTTGTCGTTGTCTTTGACATTACTGCTTCGCATCGCTTTTGGAAAGATTTGGAATTAGCTCTGGAGCAGCATCAGGTTGGCTGGGTTGACCCTTGGCCTTGAGGTTGGGATGATTTTGAGTTACGTTGGCATACCCACTCCTGATTTGCACAGTCTGGTGTGCACTCAGGAAGATCCGTCAAGTGCTGATGTGGATCATTTGGACTTTTTTTTTGTTTGGACACTGTTTCCTTCGACATTCTATTTTACGCTACTCGATATACCTCTTTTGGATTTCTGTTTTATCTTCACTTCAACATCACAACATATTACTACATGGGAGGACCGCACAGCTACGTCCTTAGTCGGCCTTCCCATTTACACTTGTGTATAATTTTCTACAACACACTCTACTCTGCTCGAGCCCGGCTGGAATATGCTGGCGAGCTACCCGGTGCACTGCTGGAATGCTGTGCTGGGTATAAACGTAACCAATACAATACACGCTTAGGCTTGACTCTTGTCTTGAGTCAAGCCTAGGCGTGCTTCCAGACCGCACCTTCTCCCTGACACTGTTGTTTATAATGGCCTCTTACTAATCTCCTGGCTACTTGGCGTTCAGTCAATGGTCTTCGGACTTTGAAATGCCTTGCTGATATCTAGCCGCTCTCCTCCATAACCTACCACAACGGATCGTTCCTCCCCCAATAGAGCAAACTTCCTCCCACCGCCAAGCAATTAAACACGCCCACATAATGCCCGGCAATCTTCTCCTTCACGCCGTACGCCCGCACAATCACCGTGTCCGCAATCGTCGTTACTAGCCCCGCCAACACGGATATGCCCAAACTGCGCCGATCTCGTAAGAACAGCCCGAAGGTGAGGAGTAAGACACCGTTCTGCAAGTTCCGCGCTGCTATCGCGGCTACGAGCGCCTTTTTAGTTTGTTCTTCTTCCGTTGATGTTGATGGTGTTGAGGGTGATTGGCTTGCGGTGTTGGAAATAGGTAGCCCGTAGCCGTCTGCGAAGCTACCTGGGTTGCGCAGGCCGGCTATGCCGAACGGAACCAATTCGAGAGTTCCAATAATGAGGGCTAGACATTCTGCTGGCGGGGGGAGGTGGTGGAATAGGGTGCGGTTTTGGGCGGACATGCTTGATGGACGGTAGATGAAGGCAGGAGTTCGATTCAGTGCTGTGTATGCGTTGGACAAGATGTTTTGGGTAGAGTTGGGAGGATCGGAGTGTGCGGTTAGAAAGACTGGACATGGGAGATGGTATGTACTGAAGTCAAGCGAGCTAGTAGGCGTCGTTGTACGACTAATCGGGAAGAGAGAAGAGGTCTGATTGGCTGGGGTGGTTCGGACTTCGGGAGCGGGGAGTAGGGATAAGGGCTCGAGATATTCGTCGCGTTATTAGAAGAGAGGGCTTTGGGAATAGATTGATTTGCGAGGTACCTTTTTCTAGGAGCGACACCCAGAACGCAAGCCGTCGATGTGGCCCGCTTCTATAAACCTCGACTCCCTTCCTTGGATCGAACCGGAGATGCCTCTGCGCTCGCTCGAGAATAGCAGTCCACAATTAGGTTAGATTATATTAAGAGGATGAGGCAGAGAGTACGAGGCAGAGGATACAATGTAGAAACATGTTTGGGCTGTGCTTCAAATGTGCTGCTTCCCTGACCCGCAGAGCATCAGGCGCGCCCAGCTGCAAATGCGCCAGCATATCTTTCTAGATATATACTGTAACTACCCAAGTAACGTAAGAAATCCCAGTCCTGTTACATTGACTGATAGACGTGTAGCCCAGCACTACTAATAAACATTGGCGCATAATAGGTAATATAAATACCGCTTCACTTAGATCTGCTTCTTGCGCGCATGCACGAGGTAAACCCCGAGAACAGTGGGCGAGGACAGACATGACAGAGCATCTCTGACGTCTCAAGGTCTCGAAGGTAGGGAAGAATTCAGAAGCGCCTCGAAGGTGGAAATAGACCCTTGTGGGCAGTGTCCCCAATGCTTAAAAGTCGAGAGCCAATGGCGGGACAGGTAATGCAAAACACCTGAGGATATTGAGCGGGACGATGCGGAGTCAATCCCCAGGTGAATGCGTCTGTGCGAGTCCTTCCTACTCTTACTTCCTCTCGAGTTGTGTGCTTGCCTTCACCACGCTCACACAAGGCCAGAACCTGGACATTCATTTCACTCAACGCAACTCGCCCCCGCACTATGAGGCCGCCGAACAATATTTAAATCTACTCTCACCCTCCACTTTATTTGTCTCCACACTCACTTACAACTTTACTCTCTACCTACAGTAGACCTCAACTGCACTAGCCTGAACAGCACCACGGAACCGTCTCTCGCCTGTCCCAGTCCCTCTTTCCCTTTTACACCCACCGACTTCTTCTCCCACACACATCAACCAGTTTCCTCACTCGACTGACCACAATGAGCGGCTCATCAACCTTCTGGGCGCAGAAGCGCAACCTTTTCAAGTCTGCGAACTTGCCTCTGCCCGTGCCCACAACAACTGAGTCACCAAAGCCGGCAGAGAACTCACCACCTACCAAGAAGAGCCTTGTATCGAAGGGCATGACGAACGGTGCTGCAAAGACCTCTGCACTTCCCCCAAACGGAAAGAAGACCGACTGGGCGGATAGCGAAGACGACGACGAGTTCACGGCCTCGTTTACGAAGACTCCGCGCGTCATCACCTTGGAGAACGAAGTCGCTCGCAAAGACGCGCGCATTGGTGAGCTGGAGGCCGTTGTTGGCATCAAGGCTGTACGCATCAGCCAACTTGAGGGTCTCGTTGAGGAGAAGGACCACGACATCGCCAACCTGGAGACTCGTGTCGCGGAGAACTATGCACGCATTGAGGAGTTTAAGAAGGAAGGTCATGAGCAATACCTTCACGTACAAGAGCTGGTGGCAGAGTTGGACGAGAAGGACCGCCGCATGGAGAAGCTAGAGGCGGAACTCGAGCAGAAGTGCTCTATCATCCGTGATTTGGAGGTCGAGTCCGACTCGCAGACGCAGGTCTCGACCGAGGACATGGAGATGCAGGAGGTAAAGGAGCCTGAGAAACCTGACGTGGTCGCCGCCGAACCTGCAGAACCCCAGGCTGCCATCGCCAAGCTAGCAAAGGTCGAGGACGAAGTCTCCAACGTCAGTCCCACCACGACCGCTGATGTAGATGGCGCTGGAGAGGATGGGATCGCTCATGACGAGACATCTGCGACGACCGCCACGGAGCCCTCGACTACTGAGCCACCAAAGGAGACGGCATCTCCAAAGGAGGCATCGGGTCTAGCCTTCGGGGAATCTGACTTCCCCATCTTTGTCACGCAAGAGAACATCAAGGTCGCGCCTCCATCCAAGGCTCCAAAGAAGCTAACCTTCCCCATCGATTTCTCCAAGTATGGGAAGAAGCTTGCCACCGCTGCTGCTAAGCAACCAGAAGCAAAGAAGGATAAAGGTGCTCATGCTACCTCTGGTCTAGCTTCCAAGCAGCAGCGTACTAAGACTGATGCAGTGCCGAATTTCAACCCTTCGTTGGACATTCGCCAGATGTCGCACGCTGAGCGTATCATATACGCTAACGGTCCAGAGGTTGCGGTCCAGATGGGTGACGTGAAGCTGGCGACTCTTCCAAAATACGTGCTTATGCAGTGCTCTGGCAAAGCCTATAAGCACTTCACCAACCGACCAGATGCTATTAGCATCACCTTCCCTGTCAACTCGATGGATGTAGATGCGGCTAGAGCGCATTTGAGTTGGATGGATGAGATGACCTACCAAGGCCGCGTTTACTCTATCGCGCTCAACGCGGACCCGAAGTTCGACCAGAAGAATCTGAACATCTGTCGTGCTGCTCGTGTGCTAGGTATGAACAATACCTACATCGGACATTTCACCAAGCAATTCTGCGACCGCATCCGCGAGAACGAGGCTTCTGCGGACTTCATGGGCCTCGTGTGCGACCTCGCATACGCGGAGAACGACCCAATCTTCGAGTGCCTCGCCAACAACTTGGCCAGCCAGGTCAAGCGTCAGACGGTGCAGAAGCCCGAGGAGCTTGCGGCCTTGTTGGCCAAACACGAAACGCTGAAGACGAAGATGGAGGAGATCGAAAAGCGAATAGCAAAGAAGCGCTAGGTCCGTCAGCACTTGGAAGGGACACCTAGTGTGGAGAACTAACATTTTCCAGGAGCACAGTTCGTGAGGGCAGTAACATCGCAATCGCAAATCTCGGGGCGCTTGAAAAGACCGCAGCGATATTAAGGTTGGAAAAGGTTGCTGGACTGTACATCATTCGCTAAGAAAGATTGATACAATGATGCTGTTCAAGGTTGGGCGGGTTGGGAGGCGACATATTTGTGATATGAGAGAATTCCCGGCTCTCTGTGCTTACGCCGCATGCAATGTCCGAAGATCTCCAGTTTAGTATATCTCTGGCTCGGACTCGGTTCTGGCATCCACAGAAAGCATAATATACGAGACTTTGTTTGATTGATCGTTCTATACCTGGCTTTGGGTGGTGCCCGACTTTCAGCCACGGCGTCGCAAGGCTTATAGGGTACTAGCAGTTTTGCCAGAATATATACTTTGTTTATATTTATTAGACCAGCACTACATGAATATGGATGAGGTGATGTAGCTCCAGCTCCGAGATGTGTAGCTGCTCTAATATAGACGGATAGGAGCCGGTGATTGTTGTATCCAAGACAGCAAACACGGACGGTTGATAAAAACGTTTTATGCCTTCGTATCTGATCGAAACTTGGGGTTGTTGTACATATTGAAGGGAAGATGGCCTTCAAAAGAGTATATATAAATCGTAGCATCCTATATAGCTCTGCAACTTTTGGTTTAGCACATATAATCTGAGCAACGAACAGCTACATCCGGGCACTCAGTCATATGAGCTAAGTAGAGCTATTAAACTCACCCAGCCGCTCTAAAAATGTGAGAGCAAGTGTTGAACACGATGTACTACAATTGTGCACGTGTAATTTCTCTTCCAAGATGAGCGAAATACAGACGCAAGAGCCCTTTCAAGCGCAGACCAGCATCATTGATGTGCTCGTTTCGTCTTAGTTTCGATCCCATTTGGTACTCCCTCTCGAAGTTGTCCAGATTCCTACTAGTGTGGTGTTAGACGCGGGTGAGAACAGCCCTAAGGCTAGTGCATTGTGGGCTGATGTGGTACCTAGGGTTCTCTCCGTTGCCTCCATATTCTTCAACCCACAACAGCGCCATTTTGTTGACCAGTCAGGCCTTCCTCAGTATACAGTTCCATTTCTGGGCTTCCGAATTTACAGGATGCTTGTTCAACTCGGGCATAGCTAGCCAACGGCTTCGAAGTAGTGTTAGTTCCTGCATGAAATCAATATTCGAGTTTGAGACTCAACAGCACCGAATGTAACTAATATCCGCAGGGCCGTAAAAGACCAAAGATGATGTATACTCTCATGTAGGATATAAGACTGCACCCGCCTCATCTTTTTGTAATCTTTTAGGCACCACTTCTTCTTCTTAGCAGCATTTCAGACATACTGCAACCCTCTCGATACATCCAACTATTGTATCATAGAAGCCACCATGCGGTTCCCAGTCATCACCGCCACCCTCACCCTCACCGTCTCTTCCCTCGCTACTGCTCAACTCACATTCAACATCACACAGGCATTCACACCAGGAAACTGGGAGAAGTACCGATGCCTGTACGCTACTCACACTCTCCGTTTACACATAACTAGGCATACTACTAACGCGTACCGGTCAGAGATAACGCCAAACTCAGCCTTTGGTTACCCTCATGTCTCTCCGAATGCCAGAAAAAGGCGAACGCGGAGGATGGTTGCGCATTCGATGACTTCGCATGCCATTGCGTTAATTACAACGCATATTCTGACGTATGCTCCCGTTCACATCTGTCCCTGCTGTTGTCGTATCAATGGTCTGCCATAGATTCCTCACACTGGCTCGCATTCAATATCTCAAATGGATTACCCTGCCATGACAATACATTCACTGACTGCTTTGAATCACAGCTTATTGAGCCCTGCGCCTTTCCCGCCTCCCAGGGAGGCCAGGGCAATTGCACGCTCGCCGAGTTAGGCCAAGCACGACCTATCATAGCAGACATGTGCAACTTTTTCAACGCAACGGTATATGGGGATTATCATGGCTGCGCGCAGTGGGTAACCAAGGAGAAGACGTACCAGGTTATTGCGGGTGAGGAGGTTATTGTCACCCACTAAGAGGGGCCGAGATAGCTTGTAGGAAATGGCAAGGAGGGGTCAGAAGGAAAAGGTGTAGAGCCCACATGGGATCCCTGTTTTAGTCTTAGTATTGAGTAGAACGATTTTATTTTACGTGTAGCGGAGTGCAGGAGTTCTATCTACTGGGAAGTGTGATACAGGCCGTGTCATTCAAGCTGATCGTGCAGTGAAACTGCCTCACATCCTTGACAGTCTACTTTCAATAAACACGCATCGCTTCCTAATACTTCACAAATCGTTGCTTTTTCTGAATATAACTATAAACATCCAAGGGACCCTGATTTTTCCTCTAACATCATGCACTGCGCGAAACACTATCCATGCACTCATACTCACAAACTTCAAAGCTACTTTACCCGGTTCAGGACTAACAGTTACATGACTTCTCCGGCTATTTCCGAAATATATGGACACTACGATCAAGTTGGCGGTCGCCGCGGCGCAATTTCAAATCAAGGTGGTCAGCAAGGCGGTCAGCAGGGTGGAGCTAAGGGCGGCTGGGGCGATTGCAAGCTGATTATTTGCTCTCAATCAAAGGAATTTACGCCCGTTGCACCGAAGACGGCAGCACCGGGCACCCCTTAGATGACTGTGTCTCATTTGAGCATATTTGCGATTTGTCACGTTCTACGAGTCTGTTGTCATGTCAATTTTGATCGAGGTACATGTCGCCAGTGCAATACTATGGTCTAGCAGATGCATACGACGTATTTTTCCTTAATCCTCCTATTTCAGATGTTTCCCCGCGATAGGATTTAACTATTTTGTGTTTGCTCGTGTGGCTGAACACGATTGTATATTGTATTCTCAAGTCTCTCTACCTCGTGCAGCCTATATGCTGCTGAAGAACCAAGATTCTAGTCCTTATGAAAACAATCTAATAGGCCAATGCTTCACAAAATGCGACTGATTCCCCAGATGGACTTCTTTCCACTCCTCTCATTCCATGAGTAGTAAGCACTGCTGTGTGTCCGATATTCTCCTACAGCAAACCCAGCGGGATTCGTAACCCTCAGCTTACTTTGCTTCGCTCGAAACTATGGCATCCTTGTGCCACTTGGTCGCCAGAACTGTCTCCCTCCATAGCCATCCCAACCCAACGGTAGCTCCAGGGCCTGCAAGTACCAGCGTGGCAGCACCCTTCAGGATGATGCTTACCCAGCTATCTCCCACCATACCCGCCCTCTTCATGTCGCCAAAAAGGTAGAGCAACCACAAGAGACACGCGCCCGCTGAAAAGATCTGATCAAATTGTAAAAACAGTCTGATCCACTCGTCTCCTGTCTGAGTCGCCGCAATATTCGGTGCAAAGAGGGTCAACATCGAGAACGGAGATGTAGCAAAGGTATAAAGCCACGTTCCGGCTGACACGGCGCAAAGTGTCAGGATCGTGAATTTGATAGTCGGCAGATCGCGGTTCACATCCTCGATTCTATCTCTCTGCACCGTATCAGGCATAACGGTCTTTTTCAAGACAATCTGCAGTATACTGGCAAAAACGGGGAAGAGTTGCCAAATCCATGCCCACTTGTGACGTGTTTCCGGGTCGATAAAGGAGAGAAAAGAGCCGTAGTGCGGGATGTAGTGCGTAGCAATGAGGACCGGAAGAACAGATGCAGTATAGCCCATATCTGTCAGGCGTAGATCTCTTGACCGGAAGTTTTCGATGGGAGACTGGATGTAGTGGATGAAACAGTAGAGAGCCATCAAGACACCAATTCCATAGAATTGCATGTTGTAGCCGATGATAATTGGACTATACGTATCATTAACGCTGGTTTCGAGATGAGTGAGGAGAACGGAAGCTTACACGGAAGCAAAAGTCAAGATGTTGGCTCTGCGAGCACTCTCAATGAGAAGGATAGCGTAGATAACCCCAATGTCGGTAAGGAAGCTGAAACTCTGCCAGTTGCAGATGAGGTCTACGAATTGGAATGATGCGAAGCATGCAGTGAGACCCCTGAAGCGGCTGTCGATGAACTCAAAGCCGTAGAAGTTTTGCAAAGGCTTGACGAATCCGGGCTTGCCGACGTTGTTATGAACGCCCTCCTCCAGTATCTCGACGATTCTACCAACAACTTGTGGGAGCGCCTAGTCACAAGTTAGTATGTGTGTCATAGGCAACCATGAAGATACGTACTACACCCCACATAAGGTATACTGCGAGCGAAGTGATTCCTAGGAAGGGTAGAGCCTTCGCGGCTCGCAGAAGCTTTGACTCGGTATGTCCCATACCTTGGGATGGGTTGAACGGCATGTTACCATGCAGTGATTTTTCCGGAACTGGTAGGTAATCAAGTTTGACGGCGCCGGTGGACATGTCACAGTTCATATCAGTAAACCTGAGGAAGTCAGCATCTATAGACACGGAATGCAAGACGAGATGGCTAAAGATTGTTCTCGATGCCTTCGATGTTGCTTGTAAAGAAACATGATCCCCCGTTATCGCACACATTCGATCACTTACATATCGCCAGCGAATGGGAGAACCCAAAACGCAAAAAACTTGTCCTTCCATGTTTTGAGGGCATGGAGTCGTGCCACGCTACCAGCGGCCGTGAAAATGGCCGACAGACGCATTTCGCGGACCTTTTGATAATTACCGAGATGTGTTGTAATGGTTTCATAGGTCGGTTTGCCTTTCTCCGCTTCGTCGTCCAGCTTCTTCAGCTCATTCGCGAGAGCTGCGACGGTTTCGATGGCGGCGTTGCCACCTGCACCCATGTTTGGAGTCATTTTGTGGACGCCGTCGCCAACGCAGGCAATACGACCCCATGACCAACGTTTGAGTTGAGCTTCTTCCGTGGCGACTAGAGCACAGCTGACTCTGTTCTTCCAGACGTGGCCGAATTTTATATCGCGTGTGATGTTTGCATCTTGGATACTCTCGGCGTAGGTGTCCATATCTTGCTTTGTATACCTTGGGATATTAGGCACCTTGTCTATATGATACCGTCAGCGCAGTACTATTATTAGCAGAATAATAACTAGTGTTTTCACTAGATCATGTCGACGTTCCCGGTATTCGAAGGTGCAGAGGGTGAACGTACTAAACACGGTTAGGACAATTTGAGACGCAAGGTAACAGTGTCATACCAGATCTTGTCGAGTCGCTTGAATATAAACCAATATACCTTGCCTTTTCCACCGATTATCATCATTGCAAAACCTTCGCTATGGTTAACTCCCATTTCACCGTCAATAACACCAGTCGTGGCTGTGGAGATGCCAAACAGACAGTTGTATTCCGCAGATAACAATTCCTTGTCGTTCGGGTCAATGGCATCTGGCTCCTGTAAATGTGCCAGTCGCCATAGTTCATGGCGGACTTTGCTGTGCACACCATCGCAACCGACAAGCACATCGCCGCTAACCGCGGTCCCGTCCTCGCAAAAGACGACGACTTCGTTCTTGTTGTGGTCGACCGTTGAGATGCGCTTCTGAAGCTTGATTCTCGATTTGTCTTTGAGGTTCTCATACAGAGCGCGGAGAGCAAGTCCCCGCTCGAGGAATGCGATGGGGTAGTTGAATCTATAACACAGGTAAGTCAGTCGTGTCTCGTTGAGATAGCTTCAAGATGGTCCAGAATAACTCACCTTTTTTCGGTCAGGAACGAGCCATCGGAGCTTGAATAAGTATCGCCGTTCAGGTAGCGGCTGTGATTAAGTTTCAAACCAATAGTTTCTTTCGCGCAAGCCTCAAAGCATCCTATTTGATCGAGAATGCGACCGCCATTCGGAAAAAAGCCGATAGATGCTCCGACCTGTGGGTGTATTGTGTCACGGCCTTCGAGAAGAACATAGTCTATTCCAGCTTTTTCCAAAGCGTTCGCGAGCGTCAAGCCAGATATGCCACCACCACCTATAATGACGCGAAAATCTCGAGTTGCGGCCATATTCTCTTCGTATTCGGCTAGAAACTAGCAATGGAAATATAAGGTCAAGTGAATGAACCACAAGTAGCGAGCGGTTGTGCAAGATATAGCAGCGTTGAATTGCTTCGGGCCGAAATCAGCTATGATAGCGCCGTTTACGCGACGCTAGGTCTTACCCATGGTCCCACACTACGGGCTTTGACTGGCTGGTCAGCCACATGGTCAGATTTTAATGTAGAGGCTAATTACTGACTTCAGTGTTGCGGGTATGTGCTCGGCTCAACATTGGCGATAGACAGCACTAGGATGATGAGCTGACTTTTTCCTCCAAGCAGAAGATTTGGAAACCCCTCCATCCGGATACATGCATGCATGATATTACATCCTGAAACCTGTATAGATCCAGCGGAGGGTCGGACGTTGTTTTGCCAAGCGAAGACTGCACCTTGACTTGTCGCTAGGGCACTCTGTACAGGGGCACCTTACGCTAAGTCGCATCCCTGACGACAGCCGAAGTGTTCTGATACGCTAGATCCAAATCCACGCTTCTAATACTGGAGTGATCAGGCATTGTACTGTCATGTGACATTTACGTGTCTTTACTAGGGAGTCATCTATCTAGATCCGCGTCTTTCCTGAAGGACATGCAGAATTGACGGGCGTACTACAACGCATGCTGTGCCGTAGGCTTCCGTAGCTAATTTGGGCACCAGGTACGATTCGGATGCTAGTTGTAGATAGCGCTGATTCTGATTAGGCCGAAAACACAGCCCATGAAGTGGACCCCTAGGTTTGCTGACGCATGGGATGTCTCTTTTGCCAAAAGCAATGTTTAAAGAAACTTAGTTGTCTTATATTATAATCATCAAAGTATTGACGGGATGGATGAGCACAGCCATCTGCTCTTTGGCTGTTTAGTTCCCCTTTGGAAGTCCACGTAGCAGCTGTAAATCAAGCTAGCAACGTTTGGCAACGAGGCCCTATCGATTGGTCTTGATAGATGCTGACCATAGCTATTAAACATAAGCTCGTGCTTCTTGAAAAATATCGACGATTTTTTTCCCAAAGCAAGCAAGATTAATTAGGCACCGAAGCGATACACTTCATGAGATGAACAGTAGAGCACAATCCGATTGTTGAACCGAATGCTGTTCTGGTCAATCGTGGGATGTATGGAAAGAGCCTGGAGTAGGTGGAGCAACAATGATATATAAGGAACAGTCACGGCTTGATTGAGAAGACCCGCATCCGGCGCCTCCTGCGCTGTGGTGATACCTATTCCCGCGATGGTAGTCATACCGCCTCGACGTAAAGCTCATACATGCGCCCTTACGGTAGCCGCAAAAAATGTCCTGGCGTACGAGTAACAGCCGTCACCACAGCTCAAACCGAGGGCGAGCTTTTGTTCTCACTAATCTGATGGCTGATAGATCCCACCGGATAAGTTCCACTAGACCATCTCCGAGCGCGAGCCCTGCTACGTCGAGCTGGGTGGTTTGCTTCGAGCAAGTCACACAGACCATCGAGCGCGAAGAGAGGGAGCACGCTCCCGGCCACTAGAAATGCAGGCCGGAGCTCCTCAGAACTTGAAATTCTGCTAAAGGCCACCGCCCATATCATTGAGGAATTCAAGAACAAGCTTGCCGCCCGGGACACTGAGTGCGACCACTTCCCCCAAGAAGCCGCCCAGACTGAGGATGACCTCAACCAGTTCAGGAAAGACCACGAGGACATGAAGAGAACGTCGGAGCAAACGCAACAATGATTCCCGATGCTAACCCTGCCTATCTGCATCCCCGCAGTCCACGTCCCCGTATCCACCTGTCTACCGACCGCTGCATCAGCTAAGGCCTACATACCCTTCGTATCAGGCGGTCGGACTACCTCACGACGCCACTTTAAGCACATCATGGCCGTATTACGCCTATCTCGTCCAACACTTCGGTCCGACTGCTCTTGTGGACGCGTTCTACGCAGCGGGACATTGGAAGCGCATGCATTAGTCCTCCATCCTCAGAGATCCCTGACAATGGAGAAGGGCCGTTCCGCGGAGGTTCGGGTGGCCCACTCCCCGTTCCCGTGATAGACGAAGCCACGGCATTTTCCGCTGACAGAGCTTCTGTTAGACTTGGCATATGAATCGTGGCGAACAACACCCATGCCGCGTTTGGAAGCTTGCCAACGATGCAAACATTACTGGGTTTTTCTGCCTTTTTGGTGATGTCGACTGCACCTGCTCGGGCCATGGGGCAATTGTCGTCCGAATTGGTCATACAAATGTTCTATTCGACGCACACTACCAGAAGAGAAAGCAGAATGGGCAGCTCACCTTCTCCAAGCCAGACTCGGAACGGTACCGAAAGCACTGAGCAGCCCGTCGTCCGTCGTATCGCACAGCCCGGAGACGCAATACTCAGTGGTAGAGTAGCAATTGTTATGAACCAAGCTGGTGGACAAGTCCCTGGGCTTCGGAGCGTCGGAGAGTCGTCTCCTCCGAGTGTCATGCGCGGACCATTGTTTTCCAGGCCTGGGGTGAAGTTGGTCTTGCAACCCCGGCAGAGATGGCCAGAAGGAGGATTATTCCTCGTTCTCATATGGGGCCGATCTGGTGACCACACCACTTCTCCACCGCTGTTATCAGAGCAGAGACGATGTTTTGAGCATGCAGGACGTTATTGATAACCCCACCCAAGACGACTAGTCAAAGCTACTTGAGATCAAGAAGGCGTAACACGGTGGGGCAGATTCATAATTTGCCCTACTAATCTTTGCGGCCATCTAAAGCGAGAATAGGGTGGCCAGAATGGTAGAGATTGGCGGTGGCGATGCTGTTAGGTACGGTCAATGGTCAATGTTGGGTCTTCGTACTACCATCTGACCGGCATGATTCTTTTCAGGTGAGATTCGGGGATATTTGAGTGAACGTCTTTTGTACATTATATTAACATTAAATATTGCTGTATGAATATTGCTGTAACGAGGAAAATTCTTTTCATCCAAGGCCGATCGTTGGTCCAGAGGTATTGAGACGATGAAGAGTTATTTAGCTGCAACTGCAACTGCAACCAATAGCCTTAAAATTTACCGGACGCGTCGGCCCCTCCGGGAAGATGAGACATTACTCGATTTTGGTGTGTTTGACTGGGTTGCCCTGCTCGTCCACAAGTCCTTTCGCCCGCATTACCTTGAGGGCATCATGGATAGGATCTAGCGCGGGCTCCGGCGCCCTGTGCGAGCCGAAGTAGGTGTCGGCCCAGGTAAAATATTGTCCGTAGTTGACTGTGAAGTACATGTGGTGTAATGTGTGGTGCGCGGGACTGTTGATGAACTTCTCTGTCCAATGGCCCGTAATCATGTCGCCGTCATGAATGAAGATGGTCCAAATCTGGACACCAACGAAGAGCAGCAGGTACAGATATCTCTGCATTGGGCAGACGAAAACGAAGACACTTTTGGGTTTTAGAACTCGTATTTTGAGAATAAGAGCGACGGGATACTCACTGGTATGGCAGAGACTGCACGAACCCATCCAGGGGGTGAAAAGCCAGCGCAGCCCATGGCGTGGGAACTTTTGTCATTAGCATTGCCACCTCTGTGTACGAAAAGGGCGATAGTGGCAAAAGACATACCGATCCATTTGTGATGTGGCTTGTGGATATATTTGTACACGCTGGGGTGGTGTTCCAGGCGATGGATCCAGTAGATAGCAAAATCATTGAAAGCCATGTACAGGATAGCCGAGATCACCAGCCAGGGCCAGCCATAATCGTTTGTATTGGAGTAAAGCAAGCTTTTGCCACGGACCTCGGCCAGGAATATGGGTAGGGTTAATATGTTGATAAAGGGGACGGCGAAGAGCGATGATTTGATCTCTTGGCGGACTTGATTCTTCAAGAAGCGAGGATGATACTCGAGCCGTCGATCAAACACAAAATAGTACGATAGGGCGCCGAAAACAAGGTAGAGGGAAGTCGCGCCGAGCTGAGTAATGGTGAGAATCGATAAGATTTGACGATAGATGTTGTCGCGCGGCCATTGAGAAATAAGCGCTGTGTTTGCGGCCGCGGTAAGATTGGAATATGAGGAGTTGCTTAAGCTGAAGTCGGAAGAAGGTAACGCCCATGCATAGGCTTTATCCAGAACAAGAGGATCGAGAAACTCGAGAGCTACATCCATCGTGGCTGCTATGCAACGGCGCGCATAAAAATTGAGGTGAGCGGAGAAGGCGGCAACAATTGTTCGCAGAAGTTGCCGCTGGGGCGCGGATGGGCTGTATCCGTTTTCCGGCTTGGCAGGGGTCAAGTGGGGCACAATCCCTTTAAGGCTTGTTGTGATTAGCCTTGCATCGCGTTTTTAGAAGTGCTTAGTAAGGCTCCAGGCGCGCCTTGTAGTAAAGTGTGCCTACGGCCTGGTTGAGATATTACTAGTTCTATAAAGGGACTTTGAGTAACGTAGCGCCTCATGTATTAAATTCATTGCAGCCTTGCTGCATTACAATACTACTGTCTAAACCACGCGCTACGCAGTTGTAGTCGCCACATGATGGTAGGTTTGTTAACCATGATGTGGCAGACAGAGCGCGACGGCGGTAGACAAGGCGCGGCGAACGGCCTTGGCTACAACTGCTGGCAATAAATTGCTCGAACAAAGGTGTGGAATCCATGTAGTCAGACACTTTCTAACATGACAGCAGCAGCAGCCAGGTAGGATCGTCTTGTAAGACCAGAGCGAAAGAACATCAGTTTGACTGGCCACCAACCGAAGTGTTTGATCTCGTGGCTGTCGGCTTGGAATAGGATATAAATTTTATTGCAGGCCAATCATTCCACATACGACCATAGGATCTTGAATTCAGCGCTTCCCGTTCGCTCAGCGGTACTTAAGCAGGATACCGGCGGATTAGTAGTTAGGTGGGTGACCACTAGCGAATCCCCGCTGTTGTATGTTTTTATCTTTTTGGTCCTACGATATATAAACATGTCTCAATGCCAACCTCTTGCAAGACTCAGCTAATGCAACCTTGTTTGCGCTCGTCTCTTTTTCTATTTCCATTCTAATAATTTTAAATAAGCGTCTACACCCCGAAATTGCCGCGTAAGGTTTGTATCCCATTTTTGAGGGTGTACACTTCCGCTACGCGAGTGTTGTTTACCGTGCGCATCATCCCGACGACCGACTCTTCGGCCACTACTATCCCGAAAATACATGCCGGAGAAATTTCCACAACATCACAACGTGCAGATCTCTCCCGCCCCCGCAAATCCACCCACGTTGCGCTCACATGCGGTTGCCCTTGCAGCACGGACGAACCCATTCGAGATGATGCAGCACGTTTTGTGGAGTCTGTATGGCGTGCGGCTAAGATAACGGTTTTGCTGCCGCAATTGACATGGTAGATCGGAAATTGGATCGCGCAATGCCCTGGCGACAAGACGACAAGGCCGAAGCCGGGTCTACGGATCGGGGGAGCAGAGTACAAATTGGACGCGATCGAAACCTTGAAAGCCAAGTCCAACCTTTGATCTGGCTGTGACTCCTTCCACTCTTTTCCCCACTCTTTCAAAGATGTTGAGGGCTGTCGTAGGGCTTGCTGGCCTGGTCAGCTGTGCGACCGCTCAGAGCAACTCTGTAAAGGTCAAATGGCTGGAGGACACGCCGGAATACCTCGCCGGAGTGACTTTTGGCCTCCCATGGCCCCGTGGGCAACACCTTGGTAATGCGACGACTTTCACGGCTTCCGGGGATGCGCAGTTACAATCATGGGCTACGGCATACTGGCCTGATGGGTCCTTGAAGTGGACTGGACATGCTCTTGCAGCGAGCGACTCTCCAGCAACCGAATATACCATCACCGCTTCCGGTCCCGGCAACTCGACGCTTTCGCGACTGAGGCGACAGAAGAACGGCATTCAGGTTAGCGACTCTGGTGATGAGGTTGTGGTCAACACAGGCAAGGTTACTGCAACGTTCCCCAAGTCGGGGAGCACCTTGGTCTCTTCCATCAAAACCGGCTCCAAAATTGTCGGAAAGAATGGTCGCTTAATCCTGAGGTCTCAGACCGGAACACCAGATGACGATGCGGACGGCAAACCGACCGGAATTGACTACTTTAGCTTTTCCAGCAAGGTCTCCAATGTGACCGTTTCGGAAGATAACACAGCACGTTCTTTGGTCACGGTTCAGGGTATCCACACAATCGACGGAGACGGTGCGCATAAAGATTGGTTTCCATTTACGGTGCGATTCTATCTATATGCCAACTCAGAAGCGATTCGCATCATCCATACTATCATCTACGACGGCGATATGACAAAAGACTTCATTTCAGGCATCGGCATTCGCTTCGATGTGCCCCTTGCCGGCGAAGAGTTCTATGATCGTCACATTCGCATAGCCGGTGTTGACGGCGGATTGCTACATGAAGCCGTACAAGGCATCACAGGGCTTCGTCGAGACCCCGGTGAAGCTGTGCGTTCAGGCCAATACAACGGTACCCTATTGCCAAATGCAACTGCGTGGGATCAGCGCGTTACGTCGCGTCTCCAATGGGTTCCCACCTGGAGCGACTACCGACTGACCCAGCTCTCTTCGGACGGCTTCAACCTCAAGAAGCGAACCAAGACTGGCCAGAGCTGGGTCAAGATTCCTGGAGGTACCCGCTCCGGTGGTTTGGCGTACCTGGGTGGAGCTACCGTTGGCGGTCTTGCTCTTGGCCTGCGTGACTTCTGGAAGAAGTATCCTACTAGCCTGGATATTTCAAACGGTGCGACCGATACAGGATCGATCACGTTGTGGCTCTACAGCCCACAAGCCGGGCCCATGGACATAAGGCCATTCCACGATGGACTTGGCCAAGACACGTATGCAAAGCAACTTGATGCGCTTGACATCACGTACGAGGACTACGAAGCCGGATATAATACACCTTATGGTGTCGGTCGGACAAATGAGCTCTATCTCTACGCCTTTGATAGCACTCCTACAGCTGACAAGCTGTCAACTCTTACTAACTACACTAACAACCCTCCGGTCCTTATCCCGGAACCTGAGTACATCCGCGACTCCAAGGCTATTGGCGCATACTGGGATGTTCCTGGTGCCGTTGACTCCGCCGCGGCAAGGAAGATTGAGTCAAATATGGACTTTCTCATCAAGTTTTACGAGAGTCAAGTCGAACAGCGCAGATGGTACGGTTTCTGGGATCACGGCGATATTATCCACACTTATGATGACGACCGCCATCAATGGAGATACGACATCGGTGGATACGGATGGGACAACTCGGAGCTGTCTCCTGACTTGTTCTTCTGGGGCTACTTCCTCCGCACCGGGCGCGCTGATGCGTACCGTCTCGCGCATGACCAAGTGCGCCACGGAGGCGAGGTGGACTCATACCATTTGGGCAACTTCACGGGTCTCGGTACGCGACATGGAGTGCAACATTGGGGCGATAGTGCAAAGCAGGCGCGTATCGCGACGCCGGTCTACAGGAAGACATTTTACTACATCTCTGGCGGTGACGAGCGGACGGGCGACCTCGTGCATGAAGTCCTCGACGTCGACAAGGCGTTTGTTCTCGTTGATGCTAGACGCAAGGTCCGCGCTGCTAATGTAGTCTACAAGCCCGACCCCGAAGCTCTTTATCTCAATTTTGGCACGGATTGGGCTGGCATCGCGCAGGCCTACCTTATCGAGTGGGAGCGTCGCGGTCCCCGCTGGGAAGAGGCGCGGGACAAGCTCATCGAGGCCATCAAGACATATCCCAAGTTGAAGAACGGCTTCGTTACCGGCGAGGCGCTGTACAACAGCCTTACAGGAGCATGGTCGCCGCCGCCCACGGACCCCAGCAACAGCGGGAACGTCACCGTCTCGCATCTCTCCGGCGTCTTCGGCGTGCTCGAGACCATCGACCAAGTCATCGAGCACTTCGGCCCCGCTGCACAAAACACCACGAAGCCCTTCTTCGACGCCTTCCTCGAGTACTGCTACTTCTACGGCGCCAGCAAAGCTGAGCAAAAGGACCGCTATGGCAAGGACTTTGGCAACCTCAACTTGAAGCAGGGCCACTCGCGCTATACCGCTTATGTGGCCCACCATCGCAGCAACGCTACGCTTGTGCCCCGCGTGTGGTCAGAGTACCTCGGTGATGGAAGCAAGGACGGACTTGCCCCTAATGCTCCGTGGAAGACGGAGAGGATTAGTGGGAGCGATGTGTTGATTCCGGTTGATGAGGCGATTTGGGTCAGTACGAATGCGGCGGCACTATACGGTGTTGCGGGTATTGAGAGCTTAGCTCTTGTGGGCGCGCCAGATGTCAATATTGTGGGTCAGAATACGACCGCGAAGAGGGCCGTGAAGTGGAACGCAAAGAAGGCTGCATAGCGTATGATAGCTTAGTGTGTTAGTAAATGTGTGTATGTATATACAATATTCCATGCATACATGACTTTAGGGTCGGAATGTGTTCCAGCTACTAGCTTGCTAATGACCAGTGTGATCAAAGCGCGTTGGTAACTAACATCAACAAAGTATGGGTTCACTCTAAATAAGTCACAGTCCTCTTGTGGTCACAGCAACCTAACACGTAACACCTGTCTCGCGAGAGTTAAAGAGCACGGTGTGAACGGAGCTTTCCCCAGGAAGATTACAACGATAAGTCTGACCTCAGATCAGATATTTGGGGCGCTAGGAAAGTCATTTGCCCTAAAAACTGGTATAGCTCTATAGACCGGTGCAACTATATTCGCCATTAGTGGGTGGCGCTTTTGGCACAACGTCACTCCGCTTCTTCAAATAACTAGGCAAGATCTTTGCCCATGTCGAATAGAACCCCCGCCTAAGTCCGTTGTACACCTGCTTAGAGTATCCGGAGCACTAGCCACTATTCAAGCTAGAAACACAATGGCGAACGCTCGACTATTGCTCCCGCCTCGTCTAAACACCTGAAACGTCAGATTTACAGCGAATGCCGCTTTCACTGCCGATCACTGATCAACCTAGTTACGCTTGATGAAGATCGTTAAGCAATGAAAAGCACGAGTAGACAGTGGCGCAGACCCTCGCGGTCTCGTCAGGCCTCGTTGCCTCTGTCTTTTATCTCAGCAAAGTATGCTCGCAACTCAATATCTTCAGGATATAAGGCCACGATAATGCAATCTTTCACCTCAAATTTATGTCTGGTACAGCTTGCGAGTTTCCACTGCGACAGCGGTGAAGATATAGTTTCACCACACTCGTAAATCTCTCTTTTGTAATGACGCCATTGGCTGCACACAAAGAGCTTTCTATTTTCAGAACAATGTCGCACTCGCGTGAAACCCCCGAGTGTTTACCACGGTGAATGTGGGTGACAAAGAGCTTAAAGAGCGCGCGCTAGCGAGACAATAGACCCACACAATGCCTTGTCGTACCCACCCTACGTATAGACAACGCAGCAGCTCACTTCAACATACACACTCTTGTTACACAACTATTCCTCAACTACTAGCATGCCTAAATCCCACAACCTAGGCCTTAAGCGCAAGCCACATCAGCAATTTGGCGCTGCTATCCATGCCATGGCGGGAGCCCAGTCGCAAGCGCAAACACCTAGAACCGAGTTCCAAGTCAAAGGGCGCAGCCGAGCTACATATCGAGAACCATTAGGACGACGAGATGGTGGGGATACAAGACATGCTGACCGCAGAGAGCATGAGCCACTCAAGAACCGAATAACCCGCAATGAAGAGCCTCAAGAAGTCCTCGGAAGCCAGATACCACGTGAGCAAAACTCCACGACGCGCAAACGAGGAAGGCTTGATCAAGCTGAGCAACAACCAAATAAGAGGATGCGCATGAGCCCCATACATGAATCCTCGTCTGCACTAGAGGAAACCCGCAAAGAGCTGGTACACGAGGCCACTGCAAAGGCTCAGAAAGCGCAAATCGGTCAGGTCCCGCTCGCGAAACAGAGCGAGGAAGAGCGAAGGGCCTTACGCGCCAAAAGGTTTGCTCCGCGCAAAGAGCAGGCCAGAGCCGCTGCGGTGTATAGCTATGCTTCCTCGAAGGAAGCCGAGAAACATGTAACCACCAAAGAGAGCGAAGTTGACCGCAGACCTACGCCCATGGGAACACCTACTGAGCCTTCCTCGAAAGCTACTACTGCGTCTGCAAACAGCAAGACTCTCAAAGAGAGCACTAAGAAGCATACACCCACTGCAACGAAAGGAGATGGTCAAGAGCACACGTCGTTATCAAGCGCGAAGCGAGCTAGGACAGAAGATGCTGGTTTCGAGGAGCATTTGAACAAGAAACCGCGATTAGCTGCCGACAACAACTGCCACACCTCGTCACAACAAACTAGCATTGGACCCAAAACCAAGGCCAAGGCCAAGGTGAAGGAAATCCCAGGACAGAACACAGGAAAGCCTAAATCCAGCCTTCACGGTCATGCAAATCAAGTTTTGCAGAAGCCCCGAGTAGTAATCGATGACGATCGCAAGGTGCCCGAGCCAGATCCGGATAACAAGCCGCTCGACTTCTTTGACTATGATGAAGACAGCGTGCCCATCCTTTACTCCAATTTCATTGAGCACAACGACATGGTAGAGCTCTCTACCGAGCCGTCCCTTCACCTGAGACAAGGCGCGCTTGCACTGCTTAGGCGACCGAATTGGAAATGGACGTCCAGTGACTTCGGACGTGAAGATGTCCCCAAGCATGAGTCAACTCGAATTATCGATGACTGCGACCTGTATTTCCGAAACGGCAAGGTACATGTTGCAACCGAGCGTGGTCTTCTGCTGGCAGCAGACTACTTCAAGCTCATCGGGGTGCCAGATACACAACCAATTCGCTTCAACGGAAAGAGGCCTGCATGGACGAAGCCCATAGAGTCGAAGCGTCATTATCGTCACGTCGAGGAATCCTGTATGCCCAGCGAGGTCGAACAATCCCAAGGCCTATTAGAAATCATTTCTGGCTCTACTGTCATGGTTTTCGAGCGGGTTAGCGAACGTTTTGAAGAAAATGACATTGAGCTGGCGTACGGCATGCGACTTGATACTGGCGCGAAGGGATGGTTCCCGTACGACAACACTTGTCCAATTGGCTGGGGAAAAGAGACAGCACCGGAACCAGAGACTAAGGGCGACTCCGACAAAGATATCATTGATTGGACCACCTTTTCGTATGCTCGTCTTGCCGCAGCAGCAGCGGCGATGGTGACGGCGGCAGTTACGCAAGCGACATCGCTAACACAGACCCTGCAGTCAATCACCGCACAGTCTATTCCTCCTCTCGTAAAGGCACCGGCTAGCCCGGTATCAGCACCTACTATAGCCCCAGAAATATCCATCGATGGCGCAAATGTGGGGTCCACGACAGATGAGAGCTCCACGGTGATGCCACAGCAAAAGAAGGACACGGGTGCAAAAGAGGGTATTACGAAAACTCCAGAAGAAGCTGATAGTACGCTAACGAAGTCGGACGATCACGAATTGAAAGCACCATGCCAGCAAATGGAGAGTATCTCCACTGGCTCGATGAACACTCCCACTGAAGAGGAGAAATTCACAGGGAATGAGACTATCGACAATACCAACGACCAGGAGCCACAAAGAGCTCACGACATTGTCGATCAGGAGCCCCAAGACGGTTTGCGCCACGACAGCCACCAGCCCGAGCCCAAGGAAAAGGATGAGGCTGCCGAAAAGGATGAGAGTTCAGTATGGATCAAGCCAATTGCGGAGAAAGACACCATTGTAGAACAGATCATGATCCCTTCACAGACCCCAGTTGTATCTCAGCATTGGGCTGGATATGAGGATGAGGACATAGTTGATTATAGCGACAGCGAGTTGTAGAACAGTTCAACAACTCGGCTGAGAGAAGGGAAATGCTGGAAACCGCTTTTAGCCACCTTTGCAGTCAAGAGAAGTACCGCTAGAGCTAGGAGGCACCAAATTGGGAATCAATAAAGCGCAGCAGCGACGCAACAATTGCGCGCATTGCGAAGAGCACTTGGGATTACGAGGTTGGTTGAATGGGAGGTAGCATCGATGATTTTTATGGCGAAACGGGTAGCGAAGGATACCAAATATCTAACGAGAGTCAGAACTCTTGTTAAATGGCTTATCAATTTGATACGTAAAATAGATAAAAATATACACAAAAAGATTCATCACTACAACATGCGGACGAGACTGCAGTGCAACAGTCTAGGTTGGAAAGTGAGGTTAAGTAGTACATGTTTTGCAAATAATATTGATTCTTCATCAGAGCGCGCGTCGTTCTCTCTACATATTGTTGAAGGTCGCTTTACATTCACCGTAACGTAAAGGGGTGATAATGGGGATCAGTAGAAAAGGAGCTCATTGTACAACGCCGAAAGCATTAGCTTGCAAGTCTTGGTATTAACCTAAAAACAACCCAGCGAAAGCGACAAAACAATATTCTCTTATGGGTATGATACAAAACAACCGCGATGGTAGCTTTGCGAAAGAGAAGACAGCCAAGGAACCTCATATGTCATCTAACTCGATCACCGGAGCGTCCGGCGGTGATGGTGATGGTGAAACTCCAGCAGGGTGCTTTGCGTGATGCCTCCTTGCCCTCTCATCATAGTTGCCTCGATTCAAGCGATAAGTGCTATACTCTTCGTAATCATCTCCAAAGCCTGTGTTGTAGACCTTATTCCCAAGTGCAGTAGTTGCGTTTCTTCTGAAGAACTTCTTGTAGACTCCTACATTCAATGGGTACCCAGTGTGCGCAGCAACAGTCGAGCCATTTCCTCGAACGCCCGACCAGTGCTTGATGCAGTGCCCGAGCACTGGGAGTTCAGGTGGAACGATTACTGTGTCTTCTGGGTATTGCTTTCGAATACCACTCTCGGTGGAGTACTCGAGGAACTTCCGCTTTCCGTTCTGGTTTTGTGGCTCCTGGACAGGATTCTCGGTTTCGGATAAACTCGCTGGGAGGCCGTTTGGATTTTTGCGGTCAGCTGCGCTCCGGGAGGCATACGTCCCAATGAAATGGTTGATAACAGGATCCAGTACGGCAACCCCTCGGCCGTAGAAGCGACCAACAGTAATTTCCAAGGTTTCCAGATGGCAGGCGTTAAGTTTAGTCTGGTACATCTGGAATACCAGGGCATCGATGACGTCTCGCTGGACGAATCTGGGTAGCCCAAACTGCAGCATGGCATTGTACAAATGAATGTTTACTAACAGCTCCGTAGATGGTTCGATTATGGGTAGGTCGCTCTGTCTGATTGGCTTTCTCAGGTTTTCTGGCTGCTCCTTGTTTCGCACTATCTCTTCCATTCTATTGAACCAAGGTATGAGGTGGGCCTCTATTTCGTCCCGTCGAATGTAAGCCATCTGATGATCAAGCCCTTTGATATATTTCTTCCCTTTTACTAGTAAAGGCTTGTATTCCTTGCATGAATTGAAATAATTCCACGAATGGTAGTATGTATATTGCCGAGGATACGTAGCAGGTACGGTTACCGTGCGAACGGTCGGCTCGCAGCGAAAGACGTCATCCGCCAAAGTAGAACAACTCATGAATGTTGCCTTATCAATACCTTCTGGTGGGAATCTTTTGGACGTTTCATTCGAAAACTGCGACAAGATCTCTTTGGAAGCCGTGGGATCGCGATATGAATACAGTGTCTGAAATTGCTGCGTATCAACGACAATGAAGACTCGCTCGCGTGGATTCGTTACTTCGGTATCTAATATTTTCAGGCGATCAATTGGATCCGTGTATCGTCCTTTACCGTCACCCGCCTCTATTTGTGCCTGCTCCTCGAGGTATATTTCGTGAGCCAGCACGACTCGCCCGCTTGTGTGATAGAGGACCATATTGTTGCTTGGTGTAGTGGCGTTTGATATTGCTTTCCGTGGAAGCGTCGCTTGGGCTTTCGCAGCGTAACTTTAGTCCTAGCAACATCTGGGTGTGAAGTACTTTAAAATGCCTTTGAAGCCGTTCGGCTTTGTTCAAAACTTATTTCGGAGACAAAGACACATTTCTGGCACCAAAGCTACCGAAGTCAGCCCTAGGGTTTCTTTCAAGCTTCTCCATTCTTTCAAATAAAGGATGATAGGCCCCAGTGATTTAGTGTCCCCCGGCAACCTTGCTAGCGGCCAGCCACCTACCCGTCGTAGACATAAAGAACACGCCTGCAACGAGACTCACGAAAAATCACGTGCACTAATGCTGGCCACCACATGCAGCAGATGTCTTGAGTGCGGAAAGGGTTTGAATGAGATGTGGGGTCTGAAGGAGTTGCAGAAATGCGCTTAGCGGGTGAAGCGCCGATGACCTCAACTTGAACAACATGCAGCTCAGGAAGCTCGTTAGTGGCCAGCAACAGCGTCTTTGAGCACCAGATTTACTGTTCACAAAGAATAATATGAGCATAAACTGGTAAGGTCGAGCACAGGGGTTGCGAGATCGTGCTGTATAAGAACAAAGAAGGTGGAACAAGGCAGGGCATCTAGTCGATGCCCAAAATCTAACCAAAAACGGAGAATTTCCTGCGGGGATCCGACCTAGATGTCATCCATGGGTGATCTGGGACTCAAGGACAGTTTGAACAACTAAGATGGGCGCTAGAGTGTAAAGTACCGTAATCCAGAACCGATTATTACTAGGCTCTAACTAGAATAAGACTAGAGTATGCGATTGTTCTCAGTCTCATAGACTTAGGCAATGCAGCTTAATATATCCTATTTACTATGCAACTACTTCAGCACATCAGTACTGCCATGCTTCATTACTCGTCATTCATCACATCCTTCGTCTTCCCACCACAAGCCCTCTCTAGCGTCAAAAAAGCAAAGTGACCCCCAACAACCGGTCTAGCAAAGAACCACGGTCCTGGAAAACCCCCGTCCCCTTCTGTGACATACAAATCCGTAAACGGGCGATCCGTAGCCGTCTCATTCAACCACAGCGCCACTCTATCCAAAATCTCCGATCTCACCTTCTTGCTTGCGACGGCAGCGGCTTCAAACTCCCAATCTGATTTGGTGTAAAGGTGTCGACTATCGAGTGGTAGGCCGTATTTCTGCATGACGGCAGAGTACCAGTCTGATTGCATTTTGTAGATGTGGTTGGGAATAAAGTCCGAAGTGATGGGAGTTCGACCTCCTGACAACTCATCCGATGTCAAAGGCTCCTGTGCATGCCCGTTAGAGCCCATATATGATGACGTGGAGGTCGCGTTTGTGATGGAAGGGTGGAAGCACAAGACGGCATCGGCATAAAGCGAATACAGTGTCGTCCAGCTTCCATACCAGTCGTATGCGAGCTTAGCATGCGAACCATCGCGCGAGATACCGTACTCCAGCCACTTCTTGATGTACGTTTCGGAGATGTTGCGGTAGTGCTTCGCGTCGCCAGGCCGCTCGAGGAGATCCGCTAGCTCGCTAAAGGCTTTGATACCGACAATGCCCTTCAACGCCAGGTTCGTCTGCAGAGGAAGCCATCCTGCAAAATCGTCGGTGCAGACTGAACGACAGATTATCAGCTTGGTGAAACGCGCCGAATCGTGGTGCATATGACTTACGCTGATTGTGGGGCTCAAGAGCATCCTCGACAAGATAGCCTGTCCACTGCTTCCACAGCTCATAACTACCTTCCAACCACTTCCTCGCCTGCTTGACTCCCTTTGTACCTCCGCCCCAGGCTTCATCGATATACTCAATTCCACCATGAGAGCCGATGTTCATCAGGGCAAAGGGCTTCTCGCTTGAATCATCGTAGTCTGCGTCGTTCCCGACAGTAGACCAGATAGACTGAGACTCGACATCGGAATTATAGCTCAACGAATTCACTAGAGCCAGCCCCATAATAAGCATATCTCCACACTCTTCAACAGGCATGTACTCATCTCTTCCGTCGGCATGGCCAGTCAGGTTGGGAAAGTGGGCACCCAGATCATGCATCGAATACTTGTTAGGGTACTGGCCACTCAACTGATGCTCGAGAAGCGGCTCTAGGAGATATGCAAGCCATTTAGGCTGGGTGTAAAGGAAGAAAGGAAATGCAGGGAAAATAACGTCGACCGTCTGGGAATTGCCATTCGATGAGATCTCCTTCAGGAAGAGCAGTGGGTTCTCTGGTGTTCCAGAGAAGCTGGTCGCGCCCATGGTTTGTCGAGCCGATAGAGCAACAATATCAACGTAGTTTGTGGATCCTGATTGATAGGCATCGATACGAAGTTGCTCCGAATAGTTGCCCGCCAGATTGTTGGCCTTGGTAAAGTCGAGATAATGGAAGTGGATGAGCTTGCTGTGCTGCGAAAACCAGGACTTCCACAGCGGACGCATGAAGGTGAGACCGCGAGCAGAAGCATACTGCGTGACTGGATCTTGAATGTGGGTAATGGTGAATAGCACACTCTTGCTCGCGGTTGATGCAGTAGCCGACGAGTTCTTCGGCTTGAATTCCTTGACGAAGGCGAATACCGGCTCATCCTCCATTATGGCGCGAAAGTTCTCATCGACCACATTTTGCAGCGTCCCAGTCCGGGCAAAGCGCTGACGGAGCAGCGCAGAGGTACCGGACTCGTGGCGAACATCAGCTGGCCCAGTAAAGTGCAGCTGACCCCACTCGGGCTGGTCGTTCGTCTCGGTAAAGAGTTGCTCAATCTGACGCTTCACCCTCCATGTCTTCAAGCCTTTTATTGTTCCTGGCGCCTCGTATTCGGTCAGGCCCCACTCTATGAGGCTTTCCCGCTTCCCGCTCACCCATTGTCCGTTGACATCCACATAGAGGTTGACCTTGACACTTGCTTCGACATGTATTGAGAGATAAGCTGCCGGTATCGACTGTCGCAGAGTCGAGGTAGGTGTAATGGGCGAGAGGAAGGAGAGGGTGATTTCGACGTCGTGGGCCGCGGCGATCTTGTCTGACGTGCGGATCGAGTATGTGAGGTTCGTCGTGGATGCGTCATACTTGGCGCCTTTGTATGTAGGGTACGCGATGGTATAACTGCAAGACGGACGGGTTAGCTGTGGCCGTTTCCGGTGCGATGGGGAGAGGCGGACTCTTTACTGTCGTCTTCTAGCGAGTCGTGGGGCCGGCCCAGGAGTGGGAATACTTGGTTTGAATCGGGAAGGGACGCGAGGACACCAAAGCCAACCTACTCAGAGCTTCGTCAGTACTATAATGAGGGCCGAAGCATAGCTGTTTCAACAGACTACTACTACAATCATTAGGAAACATACCTCGGCGCCAGTCCAAAACATGGGCCACTGGCTCCACGGCGCTTCTCGCGCGTTCGCTAGCCATGTACTCAGATATGGATTTCTCACAACCAGTGGAAGAACAGGTGGAGTCAAGCTTGAAGCTTCCGCAACGCTTGCCAGAAGCGCCGCGGCTGTGACGGTGAATAGCCGCATTACGTGGCCGGTGCAGCACAGTGCGAGGAGTTGAGGAACGAGAACAACGAACGGGAAAGCTCAATACAGACACGGTGAAACCAGCCGTCCTATCTCTATCATATATAGAGCAACTAGGTACCGCCCGAGGACGATGGGAGCTAGAAACTGGGGTAGCTCTTCTGCGGGGTTGGCCAAGAGCCAATTGGCGGCACGTGCCTTGCATAACCCCAGGCTCATGCATCATGCATCCATCCCATGTTCAAGGCCGACAACGACAACCTGATGCTATTTCCTCCGTTGTACACATCAAGACCAAAAGAACCAAAGCGCTTCGCCAACACTGAAGGCGTCGAGTCATCAAACCGATGACAAGACCATCAAGGCACGCTACGAGCTCCTTCCCTGCTATTCGTGTCGTTGGAGCCTCCTGAGCCCTGTGTGCCGCACCGCTTCCAGGTGGAGGACATGATGTTTATCCACGAAGACGCGAAACGACCATGGTCCTTGTGTGGCTTCATGGGCGGTGTGGAAACACAATCTCTAAGCGGCTTCACGGGGCTCGGAGTGGGTATAGTCCAGTCGCCGACAGGGTCAGGATATGCTGGATGAGGACGGTATGCTATGGATGACGAGGACTCACTCTTCCGAGGAATCGGCGGTAGACGTCGCGAAGCTAGCTCAGGCGGGTCGAGCTTCACCGATGGTGGTACTGAGAGGCGGTAGAACCGGGGCGGGGTGTGCGCGCAGCTAATCCGCTGGTGGGCTTGGTGGTTCAAGAGCTCGTCTATTGCATTGGTTTTAGAGTCGGGTGCACCACGTGGGACGTAGGTGTATGGCTGCTCAGAGGTGTCGCTTGCCCTACATCCTGGTGTTAATGGCCTGCTTGGACTCCACTTGCTAACATCCGTTCTGTTATCCCCATGGCCATCGCCCGAACATTCTTCGCCGCCAGCGCCATTATTACAGTCTCGAAAGCCTTCATCGAAATCCCTACTCGAGACATGACTACGCCTGTCTTCCTCCACCCCGCGGTAGCTAGCCTCGTTTGGCTCGATGACGGATAAGTCGTTCTCTTCGCCGGCGCCATTGCACTCCTCGTCGAGTAGACCTAGTTCTCGTATCTGAGTCCAGGTACGGTAATAGTATCGGAACGTCGCGAACGGCTGGTCGACTGGATCGATAAGCGCAAACTTATAGAAGCGTTTTGGCTGATATGGGCCAGCGCGGCCAGCATTCACCAGGCTATTCTTGTTAACGTCATTGCACTCTCGAGTTTGATATTTATGCTTACTCGACTCCCTTGCCCTTCTTCGCATGCTGCGTCTTCTTGTACTCCTCCAGCTCTCGCTCTATCCGCTTCCTTCCGTGTGCTCGATGAACCTTGATCTCGATACAAGCATTTTCATCGAACACGTCTGTCACGTCCTTCCACTTCTTGTCCTTCCTGTCCGGCGGCGTGAAGCGTAGCACCCGCTTCTCGACTCTCCTCTTGCCTTCCTCATCTTCCGGCCTCTCATACAGCCCAAACATAGTCTTTCCCCTCCAGTTATTTTCTTTGCCCGTTGACCAGCTTACAATATGCTTGCCGTTGATGTACAGCTTGAAGAGGAAGTAGTGGCCCGCGGGAACCGGCGGAGAGACCGAGTAACCAATCCAAAATGTGCTACCTGGCAGGGCAGGCATGTAGACGCTGCATGTCGAGGTATCGTTGTTGATAAGCTCGGGGACGAAACCGGTGATACCACGCGCGATGTAGCTATCTTTCGGAGCAGGGTAATATTCTGGCAGTGTCTCAACATCGAACTGTGAGTGCAGCGCGATGTTGATGCTACGGTAATTTGGCATGGTGGTGATGGGTCGGGTGTGAGGTAAAAGAGCGTGCGTGGCGACAAAACCAAAGTCGGCTCTATCTTCCTTGTAGAGTGAAAGTCATCAAAAGCGCAACAACAACAACAGGCCATCATACGTCCGCGCCCCGCTACGCCTACCTACATTAGCGTATTTGGTTACGAAAGTTCATAGGATATTGAAAGCATTCGACCACACCAGCAACCGCAATCACTCACCTAGGCAACAATCATATTGTAAAACGCAATATTTGCCAATGTACGCAACAATAAAGTCCTTATGCGGTGAGTCCCAGGCTGTTGTAAGCCGGATAGGTTATAGTAAGTGAGAGAGAGCCCTCATTATACTGGTAGCTCGCGGGTACGTGCATCGATAGCTCTTTCATGGTCACACAGCCCCTCGATATATAACCCACTAACTCTCTTTCAACATATTTCTACTCTCTACTCTCTAAAGGTCTACTTCGTCAACATCATCGATTACCCAGGTATACTAGGTCTCAAATCTTCCCAAGCCCTTGCGCCTTGTCCATTCTTTGGTTCTTTCGCAATCGCCCCACCGTGCCACCGAAAGATCACCCATATCTAGAGCAAACACTTGCTTCATAACATCTTATCGAAATGACGGCTATATCAACTACTACGACCGACTCCAAATCCTCGCATACGGGCCCCATGGCGCCATACCAGCTCCAACAGTAAGTTTATGCCTAACTGTCCTCGGTATTAGCAACATAATGAGGGCGGCGGCTAACGGTGAGTAGGCTCAAGAAGGGTCCAAAGGCCAACATCGTAGTTGGCCCAGACGGCGATCGATATATCGCTCTCGAAAACGCCTCGACCAATCTACTGGCATATTTCTCTCCTTATGCGCAGAAGAAGCTGATAGAAGAGCGCGGCACCATCCTGTACATTCCGAACGGGTCTAAGAACGCCCTTATCTGGATCTACAAATATATGCAAGCTGGCCAGGCTGATCCGGAACGTCTAGAGTCCTTCGCAGGTCTCACGTTCGACAAGTTGGTGTTGCTCTACCAGCAATGCGCTTTCCTCGATTACAAGTCACTGATGGCACGGATAATCGGCCGCCTTAAGGGCAAGTTCTACGACTCGCTGCCGAGCGTGGACGAGATCAAGCTGTTCGCAACGTCGGTTCCGCCCATGCACGCCTTTTCCATTGATTGTCTCGCGAAAGAGATGATCAACCCTTGGACATGCAACTATACGCCCTACCTGGAGTTGGCACAGTTGGACCAGGCATTTGGAAAGGCTTTGGATCAGGCGATGCAGGACACTCTGGCCGACCGAGTTAAGGTTGGCAAGCAATATTACCAGCGCACGACCAACCGTCAAGTGCTGTGGTCGAAGAAGTATCTCGACAAGCGGTTCAACCTTGCGCCATCTCGCACCCCTCCTACAGCCAAGAAGATGGCGAAACAGGATCAGTCGAAGAAGAAGCTCAAGGCGACGAAGCCTTTAGACTCGAAACCCCACGTCGACACCCGGGCTGGTGACACTCAAGGTACTAGAGACCTCCCGCATACCTCATCGGCTGCAGCACAGCATGAGAAAGTCAAGTCTAAGAAGGTATTCAAATGCTTCATATGCAGCGGTGAGGGTCACCTTGCGCGTAACTGTACCGAGGATGCGAAAAATGCTGTCATCGAGCCACCAGCGTCGGTCAACCGGGCTCTGCACGCCACAGCGAAGAAAGCTCACCCAACAGTGATCTGCCACAACTGCAATGGACAGGGTCACATCGCCCGCAATTGCACTGTATCGATTGCGCCCGAGCCTGCTGCTAGTGGGGCATCCAAGAAGCAAAGGCGACCCACATGCTTCCACTGCAGCGCCAAAGGTCATGTTGCCCGGCACTGCACTATGGGCAATTCTCAGGAGAAGTCTTCCAGCGTAAACGGCGCTGAAGTCATTCCAACTGAGGCATCCACGACTCAATTATCATCCCGCCGATCCCATACTCAGAAGAGCATCACACCGGCCAACATATCTACCGGTACACGCCTTGCCCGCAGTTCAGCTAGCCCTAGCAAACACATCCGCCGTACCCAGCGTAGTCACCAGGTCGATCCCATCGTCGTGGCAGGCAATGGCGAGGGTCTACGCACTTGCGATCGGGAGATCCGAAGTGGGGAGATGACGCGAACTGAACTCGTCATTTAGGGACTTTGCGGGTCTCTCCAGCTTTTGCGCATTGGTGTAGATAGCATATGGATCGTAGCCACTCAAGTTTACCACAACACGTGCTCGACGTGTCATGCATGCAGGACTTGGGAAGGCAAAATTTAGCTACAGCAAGGCAACAGAATCGAAGTCAGCAAGGCTTAAGCTTTATTATGATTCAAAGAAATGCATATAGTTATCACTAGTAGTTTACTGCACCCTACAAGATATATAATATATTTTCTACTTCGCTTCCTAGTTGGGTTAGGAATATTTCAATAAGCTAAAATGGATTGTCTACCCAAAGTGAGTCTCATTGGGAAATAATTCGTCTTGTTCCTTCTTCTTGCGAGTCACCAGGCCATCCAGTGTAGATTGACTAGCTTCCCTCTTGCGTCCTGCCTTTTCTTCGCTCTTCGCAGCAATCTTCTTCGCCGCTTTCGGACTATGTGGCTCGTCGACATGCGTCGCCTCATGTCCACCAACGTCCTCATGCTGTACCATTGCACCCGGCGGCCCACTGTTGCCCCCAGTCGGCCCCTCAGCATTGTCATCGAAAAGACTTCGCCAAGTACCATCGAGTACCTTTGGATCATTACCTTGTAATCCAACACGATAAGCCGTCTTCATCCCCTGGAGGCAGATATCCCTGCGTGTAGGGAAATCAAACATAGGCTTAGGATACAGCTTCGTATCACCATCAGACGTCTCGGAACCATCGCCTGAGACTCGACAACCCCACTTCTTTTGATCTGCAATCGGTGCCTTCCATGGCTCATAGATATATTTCTTATCAAAGTTCTTGAGTTCCGGGACATATTTCCGGATAAAGGCACCGTCCTTGTCCCACTTCTGCGGAAACGCAATGGGCGAATAACAGCGGTAGAATTGTGCGAAGAACGCTGTGCAGCTGAGCCACTGCCAGTTGCCAATATTACATGCCGCTTCGTGGTCGATAAGCCATTCTTCAAAGACCTCGGCGCCCCGCTCCCAGTCGACGTAGCAGCCGCCACGCGTGAGGAAGCAAGCCACGGCGTGTCGACCGAGATGGTGTATCCAGCCTTCGTGTCGGAGTTGACGCATGAGGCCGTCGATCCAGGGAAAACCAGTACGGCCGTTTTTCCAGCGCTGGAAGTAGACTTCAGCTTCTGCGTTGTCGATGAGATATTCGCCGGTTATTAGGCCGGACTCGGTATCAATCCTGGAAGGCAGTTGCCACGGAATGAATCGGCATTGCGGGTTGTTGTACGTCTGTCCGAAGGAGTAACCTAATGCTGCCTGCGCGCCGAAATACATGTCGCGAAAAAGCAACTGTCCAGTTAAGCTGGTTGGTGGTTGTGATGCCGTGCCTTTGTATTTCGAAACCACATCCTGCACGCGCCAGTAGAATTCGCGACAGCTGAGGGAGCCAAAGTGCATGTGTGGTGAAAGAAGAGTTGTTGCCTGAGGTTCGAATGCCGTTGGCGCTGTCTTCGGTTTCTCAAACGTTGCTGTGTAATCTTCGTTCGCAATGATCTCTGCCAGCATCTTGAGTGCAATCGTTTCGCCACCTCGATGTGGTGTGGTCACCTCTTTCAAGCCCAGTTCCTCTATCGTCGGCACGGCGAAGTCGCCGTTGGGACCTGCAAGCGAAGAGTACGACATCTCGTCCTTATCCCGTTGTATAGCATTGATGTCTGGATAATTGGCAGGCTTCGCTTGATCAAAACCTAAGTCAATGTTGCCCGGATCAGGCAGGCCCTTGGGTGCAGGGATAGGCCTCGGAATCTTCCCAATTCTTTTGCCAGCAGCCTGCACCTGGCTTATGCTCATTGTTGGCTTCCCATGATTCTGTCTGACCAGTTCATCTGGATCATACAACGTCCTTCCCGTCTTAACGATGACTTCTACACCCGCTTCCTTCGCCAATGCTATGACATTCTCGTCCCGTTCCCTTGCATACGCATCTGTGTCCTTTTCAAACACGAGATGCGTAATCTTCCATGCCTTGAATAACTTCGGGAATAGCGTTTGAGGCGCTTCTCGGATGAGAAGGAGCTTTGAATTTGGATTTAGTCTGGTAATAGACTTTGAAAGATCATTCTGACAGTCGAGGAGGTATTGCCAGCGGTTAGGCCCAACACGCGCTCGATAGACGTAATGTGGATCCCACGTCCAGAGAGGGTAAAGACATTCTGGCTTCAGATCCAAAGCTGCTTTCAGGGCGGGAGAGTCGTGCAAGCGTAAATCAGTACGGAACCAATAAATTACTCGAGAAGTTGACATTTTGGTTCGTATTGGTTTTGCTGGACTGCACGATATGTGCCTCGTAATGAACCTAACTGCAATGTGAAACAGCAAGCCGAGTTTATTGTAGCGGTAGATACAACCTAAGCACAGAATTTAGCGACAAAGATGGGATTCCAGATGGCTGGAATGTATGTTGTCATAGATCGGACACTAAGCCCCCCGCTAATCAAGAAGCGGCTAGATTTGAGCCAATCAAATTCTTTGTCCCAAGACCAGGTGAATTGCTTCGCGCTTTTCCTGCCGTGTGCACAGTGGAGTATCCCTAGGTTTAGGTTGCGCAATTGTGGAAAGACTTGCGATGGAAGTGGTGTTACGAGACGCTCAAGTGGACAACAAAAGGGTATCTCGGAAACACAGCACGCCGTCTCTCACACAGGGGCAATTCGTCCTGCGCCGAGGACCGTCCAAAATGCCTCCTCTCGTCTCTCTTTCTCGCCCTTCGAGCCCCTAGAGTCACCTAAACCCCTCTCCTCCGCATTGGCATCAGTTTCAAACTCAAGGCGCACAAAGATGGGTATCTCAAGCAAATCATCGTCTTCATCAAGCTCGTCTCCTTCGGCAAAGCTTCCGCTGTTCCCAAATCCTGTGACTGATTTGAGAAAGCCCGGAACTACCTCAATAGCGACACTCGTCCAGTTGCGTCCCTTGCCCCAGACTTTGCCTGCTTCTACCTGACCGTCTGCGCTGAGGACTGAGCTATGGCTGACGTGGGAGACGGATGATGACAGCGCATCGTCCCATACGTCCGTGTTGGCCCCGACATCGAATTGCGGGCACAAGATCGTCACTCGTGACTGGACTTTGCCCGGGGTCGTGCTTGGAGTGGCTAAGGTGACCCTGATAGGATCGAAGAGTGGGTTGCTAAGATGGAGCAGGAAGTGTGTGGGGATACCAGATCTCAAGGTATTGTAATTGAACCTTGTAGGCTGAGAAGAGGAGGAGCCAGGAGTAGGAGGAACAGCAGAGCCGGGGCCAATCAAAGGTAGTGTGCGGATGCTAAGTCGAGGTATGTGGTTCAGTGCCAGCAGCTTGATCTTGTAACGTGTGGACGTGATCTTTGACTCTGGTTTTGACAATATGTGGCGACACGAGCGACATCGTTTCGAGCGCTTGGTGCAGAGCAAAGCCGGAACAGGTCGAAGTTCATCATCAAATTGCGTGTGAGGATTGATTTGGCTAAGCTTCTGAGTAGTTGATAGAGTACTACCCCATCCGTCTCGTTTGATGCGTTCGATGGCTGCAGCATCTCCCGCAGGGTCATGGAGAGCCAGCCCCTCGAATTCAAAAGCGGCTTCGCGCATTGGCGTGGGTTTGCCACGCTTCTGCTTCTTTGCACCGGCAGTTGAGTACAAATTCATGATTCGAGAGTATGCCGACGGAGAAGAGAAGCTGAGATCGTGCGGCGAGAAAGGGTTTGAAGGTGTCTGAGTTTCGAGCTGGGACTTGTAGAATGCGCCGAGGTTGTTAAACAGCTCGTCGCGACTACGTGCCTCCTGGTCTTTCAGAGTCGCAGTTTCCTCAGAGGGAGATAGCATGTTCCCCTCAGGACGCTTCCTAGCTATCGAGTCCTTCTGCAACTCACGGTCCTTGTCCATCTCTTTCTGGGTACGTAATACTTTGCCTCCATTTCCTTTGCGTGACAGTTGGCCATATACACCAGTGGGTTTCTCGAACTCAATGCCCGTCTCCACGGTACTCCAATGGCAGTATGGACATGCCAGTATATGCCGATCTCCAGTCGCGGAAGACCCGGCGGCGTTGTCCAGCACGTTGACTATCAAAGGTGATATGCATACAGGGCAGTTGAAGCAGTTTCTCGTGCATCGATTTCCATCGCTCTTGACAACCGAGCTCGGAACCTCGAATAAGCAGCTCGGGCAGTACCAGTTCAGCGTCTCTTCTATCACACATCGTGGACATCGTATTTGCTGACAGTCCTCGCAGTATAGGAGATGTTCGAGCGGGTAGAGCGCATAATTAGACCGTGGATTCCGCGGATCAAAAGTTCCGTCTTCTGCTTCTGCGTCGGCAATCATCTGTGAGGCGCGTTTCGTTGAGGTCGTCGTATTGCTGTCGTAGCAATCGCACGCGTAGTACGTGTAGGGGAATGCTTGTGCCATGTTGCCGATGTGATTCGAGTCGAGATTTCCAGTCGTCCTTTCGGCCCTCCACCTAGCCTCAGGCGAGCGTGGTTTATTTGGTCCAGATGCTACTTATGGGGGTTGACGTCGAGGCTCGGGGGAGGAAAACGCCGATTGGTGCTAAAGCTTCAAGCCCGACATCACCTTCACCTTTCTTCTCTCACCAATGATGACCAGCTTCTCGATCCGTGCATTCATCCCGCCATTGACGCGTCGATGTGCGCCCCTCCAAGCTACGCGTCGATACGCAGTCCAAGCCCCCGGAGCTCCCACGCTTGAGATATTCAGCAACCAGCACAAATGGCAGCAAAAAGAAAGAGCCGCGGCGGATACCGAGAGCAGCAGGAGCGTAGACTATTTGAGAGATGAGGTCGCATCAAGATTATGCGAGCGAGTATTGGTAAGCTATTGTATCAAGTGTCGAATACCACGCCTAACCCCAGCCAGGATATCAATCGCCATTTCCCAAAAGTCCTCGATCTCGGTGCGAACGCGTGCAACATAGCCCGCATGCTCACGCTGCCCTCCGAAGAGGCACCAGAGAAGGGCCCGAGGGCAACTCGCATTGGAACCCTCACCTCCGCCGAATCCTCCGAAACCTTGTTATATCGAGACGCTGAGCTACCCTTTAATAAGGAGATTGATATCGTGCGACAGGTTTTGCCAACCTCGGAGCTACTGCCCTATGAGGCGAGTACGTTCGATGCTGTGCTTAGTAGCATGAGCTTACACTGGATCAACGATCTGCCATCCGTCCTAGCGCAGGTCAACCATATACTTAAGCCAGACTCCCCGTTCATTGGAGTCATGATGGGTGGTGATACCTTGTTCGAACTCCGTACAGCTTTACAGCTGGCAGAGCAAGACCGCCGAGGCGGTGTCTCTACGCATACATCACCATTGGCAGATGTACGAGATATTGGTGGCCTGCTGCAGAAGGCTGGCTTCAACCTGCTGACCGTCGACGTTGACGATATTGTCGTGGACTATCCGGACATCTTCGCATTGATGAAAGATCTCCAAGCCATGGGCGAATCCAATGCTGTGCTGGCTCGTGAGAAGGGTGCCATCCACCGAGATGTCCTACTCGCTGCGGAAGGGATATACAGGGAGCTCAATGGGAACGAAGACGGGACACTTCCGGCAACCTTCCGACTTATTTTCATGATCGGTTGGAAGCAGGCTCCTACTCAGGCGAAACCTCTTGAAAGAGGCACGGCCATGTTCAGTATCAAGGATTATTTGGAGAAGAACAACGGGGGCGAAGGGAAAGAGTAGACTTGACCTTGAACCGTATGATAACGTGTATCTCGATTTATAGTTTCAGCACGAGTGTAATGACAAAAGTACGATAAAGTCTCAATATCAATGACGTCACACAACAATGATGGGAAAGTCTCAGAAGCTCATAAAGAGTGGTTCGCCATTTCATCACAAGTTGATCATTGCGCGGTGCGACCTCATGCCCTTGCTTGCATCGCACTTGTTTCTCTGGTCTTGTCGCATACGCGATCTCAATCCGATGGTGATCAATTGGTGTATCAACATGTCCAGTGTTGGACTGTAGATCTACAACCTGTCTCCTGATCGGATTCCTAAACGCACCACATTACTGACTCCATACCTAGGTAATGAGTTGTTCCGTGTCCTTGGCTCGTCCTATCCTTACTCCGCACGGGCCGTCAATATTGACATGCTAGCTCCCACCTACTCCTTCGCGCCATCCATCGGTCGCTAGCTACATGCCATCTTTTTAGTATTGCGTCCATCACGCTATCCGAATCTTGGACTGCAGCAAATTCGGAGAGTTGAATGATAGTGACGGCCAGCTAGTAATTCAGCAGCATGCCTGGAGATGTGACGTGATCGTAGTTCGGGAGCTGGCATACCGCGGTTACTAGCTTGAGGGTTGAGGAGGCGTCCAGATGTCGTTAGTCGTTAGTCGCAATGATCAGGCGCAGATGATAGCAGCCGTCCCCTGCAAACGATTGGCGGCATAATGCAGGCCAGCACTTGCTCCTACTTGGTGCCACGGCAGACGAGAACGCGCTGCTCGTAGCAGTTCAAAGAAAGACTGGAGGCACAGTGGACTGACTGATTGTTTGAGCGAGACGGTGAGAAGCGGGCCCTTAATCATCATCACGCCATGCGTCATGGCGCGTCGAGAGCTCCTCCAGCCCGAGGCTCGTGTTCCCCACAGGTTTCCTATGGAAACGCTCGAGGCCCTCTCTCAACCATTTCTTGTAGCGCACAAGACCTTGTCACGCTTTCCTGCTTCCAGCACTCTCTTCAAATTCATTTCCGAGCAAAGGTGACGGCATCTGCAGACTCTGCCGCCTTCCTACGCACTAACACTGCGCTTTTGGAGCTCTTGCATACCTAGCGATATTGTCAACTGCACGCTGCGATCGGCGCCAACTGCTAGCTACCTACGTCGCTGCGGGGAAGCACCCACAAAACACCACGAACCTCCCCATCTGACTTGAACGCTCAATTGTCTCTTGCCACGAGACTTGCTCCTGTTTGCCCTCCGGCATCTGCAACATGGCGCAACCTTTGGAAGACGTGTACTGCACGGTAAGCTACCCCGTACGTGGTACAAGAACGTGAGCTAACATGCCTTGCAGCTTCTTATGAGCGACTCGTACCTACCAGGCGCCGCTGTCCTCGCCCATTCTCTACGCGATGCGGGTACTACCAAGAAGCTTGCCGTTCTTGTAACTCTAGAGACCCTGTCTGCCGATACCCTCGCGCAGCTCAAGGTCTTGTATGACTATCTGATACCGGTCGAGCGCGTGAGAAATGCCAACTCTGCGAATCTCTACCTCATGGGCCGTCCCGACCTAGCCTTCGCCTTCACCAAGATTGCGTTATGGAGACAAACACAATTTCGCAAGGTCGTGTACCTTGATGCCGATGTTGTAGCTCTGCGGGCACTCGATGAGCTGTTCAACATTGACGCGCCCTTTGCGGCAGCACCAGATATCGGCTGGCCCGACGCCTTCAATAGCGGTGTCATGGTCATCACACCAAACATGGGCGAATACTGGGCATTGCAGACTATGGCGGCCACCGGGGACAGCTTCGATGGCGCAGATCAGGGCCTGCTGAACCAGTACTTCGAGCATCGTCCATGGCAGCGACTGAAGTTTACCTACAACTGCACGCCAAATGCAGAGTATCAGTGGGAACCAGCGTACCGATACTACAAGAGAGACATTGGTGCGGTTCATTTTATTGGCAAGGACAAGCCATGGTCAGGCTCCCGAAAGAGCGGGTCTGGTGTCTACGGCGAACTCCTGGCTCGATGGTGGGCGGTACATGACAGGCATCTCAGGAAACCAGAGGCAGCTTCTCAGTCGGAAAAGCAGCAGCTAGAACAAGCGACGGGTAAGGCACAAAGCAACCAAAGTGCCACCTCACGCTCAGCCCAAACTGAACTGGGAGCCCACACCACTCCTACTATTGAAGAAGCAAAGAATGTTGACCAAGGACTGGCAGAACCAACACGGACCGTACAGCAGCGTCAATTTTCTGCTCCCGATATGGAGTGGGATGCAACAAGGTGTGCCATATTTGAACCCTCTTTGTATTTCGTGCTAAAATAAGTAGATCCGAGCCCCCAACACAGTCGAGACCCGAAGCAGCCAATTTCCCAAGCCAGACGTATACTTTTAGTGAAAGTCGTTCGCTCTACAAGGCGCCAAGGGCCTACCCTGAACCCCCGAGAGACCTGTGGTACAAACTACCGGAGAACAAACCGAAACCTGCCGAAACACCCAAACCTATCTTCCCCTGGGAGAAAGAACCCGACAGACCCAGGGCTACGCGTGTTTTTGCCGAAGACCTCCCATCCGAGCCAACACCTTCCGCAGTCTTGTCGCCAACCCATCCTTTCTCTACAGTGCATTACGATTACGAAGACGAACTAGAGGCTGGGCCTGGAGATGCGGGCGTAGGGGTCACAAGCCCTGGAAATGTCTCTTCGCCGAAGTCTGCTGACGAGCAATGGCAGACCTTCCAAGAGAGTAATCGTAATGCGTGGGACACCGTTCCTGGAATCGACAACTATGTACGCGCAATAATGGACTCACATGGGAGGCGTGGTAAGACCCAAATCCTTCAGCAGTCCACTGGCACAGAAGACATTGCTTCGCCTTTGCTTGAACGCAGGAACCGTCGCGAGAGCCTCATCCTTACCGACTTCCCGTCAGCCGTAGAAAGGCCAAGTCTTCCCGTAACGCCAGCGCCCCTCCGACGTCCTTCGTTCTGGGGAGAGGAAAGAAATGAGGCGGGCCAGCTTCCAGTAGCAGAAGGGGTTCCTGATCAAACCGAATGGGTATGTCCGCATTGCGGTTTTTCATCAGTCAATGCGTCAGATTTCCATCGTCGTCGCGAATCGCTTGCTTCTGCTAGCACCGTTGTAGCCACCCCTCTACCCTCTGCTGTTTCTGCTATTTTACCCAAAGCCAGTCCTACAAAAGTAGAGTTACCGGCGGAGCTCAAGACCGCTCCTTCAAAGGACGAAAGGGCAACGCTGCCCAAGCCTAGTTCCACAGAGGACTCAGCGAGGGCAGCAACACCGCGAATTCCAACGATATTGCACCCGCGCCGTGGTCTTAGTGCCAGTGGAGTTCCATTAGCGTCTTTGACCAGTCCTGAACTTTGCGCCCATCACACGCACTCTCCTGGCCCCAGCGCGTCTTTGTCTTCTGCATCTGCTGTACACCAACGCGCTGCTGCTGAGACATCACCATCAATACCCTTTTCCGTATCAAACAACGAAAGCTGACTTGGCTTGCGTATGAAGAATCCCAGTGAAAAGCTCGATCAGTTACGACGGTCCTCACTCGTCGAGTTCGAGCACCTGAAGAATGATGAACATCCAAACCCGCCGTTACGAGCGCTACCAGAACATTCAGTCGTTACAGAGTATGACACGGTGACTTCGAACATTCCGCGTAGTGGAAGTACTTCACCTCCCGGAGTAGATAGCGTTGATGGAGCGTCTGAAAGAAAGATCGCACGGTCACCTGCGCCGGCAGCGTCAATGGGCACTGCATCCGCCGTACATCACTCATTAGGTCGCGTTGCGAGGGAGTCTTTTGCAGAAGACCAACCAGAAGAGGGCCAGACTGGAGACGAGCCGGTATCTTCTGCGGAGCAAAGCTCGCCTAGCAAGCCTGCGGACCGGTCATCCTCGACCGGACAAAGTGAGTCTCAAATGATCGCAACCCCTACCCCGCATTTTAACACCCGTATAGACACAAGGCTCTTTGCAGCAGGAGGCTTCACGTCTCAGCCTCACACGTTCGACCACTCATCTGGTGGAGACAATAATAGCTCGCAGTTCTCCTCTGAAGTTTCGAATACCTACAGCCAAGACTTCTCGAGTTCGACATCCCAGCATTCGACCTCAACACACGGATCTGCAGCTCAGCAGCACTCGGGCTCTACGGGTTCGCAGGTCAAAGCCGGCAATACCACGTTCACGCTGCCAGACTTCGGTGACAGTAGCTCCAGTCAGGCCACAGCTGGTAAAGACGAGATTTTGAGTCCTACGCAGCCTGGAGGCGAGGAGGACGCGAGGAAGGGTCCAGGTCTGTTCTAGCTTTGTTCTGCAGGCTTGATGATCGCTATGCGCAATGTGTAAAGTCTTGTTTGTTCGTGTGCCGGCAGCCTCGTTTTCACTGTTCATGCATGTTCATAGCTTATCCTCATGTACCAATAGCTTCCCTTATCGTCTGTTCACGATACCTTTTTAGCATTCGCATCAGCATACATAGCGACGAACTATCATTTCGTCATTCGTTACGTCTGCTTATCAGTTGATCAAATTGACCGTTTGCATAGGACAATCTACTATATCGTGCCCTCAGAACGTAGATGCTTGGCTCCCATAAATAAACCTCAGACATTGCAATGACTCGTTGTCGCCTTACTCCATATAGTGCTGATAAGGCCAATTCAGTACATAAATATCTGCGAGTAACCGTCTAATTGCTCAACACATTGGGATATCATTTCTACGCTCATCTAGTTTCACTGGTCGAGAAGGAGCAGGGTGTTCCTTAGGATGCGTGAGACAGGCGATTCAATGGGCATTGAAAAGCCCAACATGTGATGGTTTGACTTGATTTGATTTGGCGTGCTCTCGAAAGTCCATCCTCCCCCTTATGATACACTTGATGCCCAACTCTCTCAGAGCCCGCTCTATGCCTTCGCAATCTGTCGATACAAAGAAAAGCTTGTTTCGCGGGGAATGGTGGTTTATTTCTGGCCGAGAGCAGACGCACGCTCTTCCTCGAGCTTGGTGTAGAAAGCGTCACGGTGACGGACCGCGGGGACGTGGTAACCTTCAAGAGTGAGTTGGAGGTAGATTGGGTGGGGAATATGGCGATTGCGTTCAAATCGCGGGCATATCGATCACGTACCGTACCACCAGGCGTAGCCAGCGGTCACACCAAGACCTGTCATGGACTGTTAGCGAAGCTCGTTGATTGCGGGGCACGAGCTGGCGCAGCTTCTTCGCTGAACTGAAGCTCCCGCATGCTTCGTGCGCTCGCCAACAAGGATTTACGCACCCATAGCAACAGAGAGGTCGAGCACGACCTGTCGTCGGAGCATCTACATCCCAGTCATTAGTCCGTTCCACAGCGGCTCAGCGCCCTCAATGGCAGCACATACACCAGTAATCGGTCGGACGGCCATCGTGGTATCGGTTTCGGAAGAGCGGAGAGTTTTGGGGTGCGGGTGCGGTTGTCGCGAGCTGGTGAAGGACGTCTGCAGAAGGAGCGAAGTCGAGTGGTGTGACGGGCGGGAACCTGGGGCCTTGTTGCTGACATAATGACGCTTGGCCGAGCGCCGCTTTCGAACTCCAGGACAGACACGGCATCAGGTGAAAGGGGACCATAACAGCCGCGCTTCTGTCGCGAGAGAGATACAATTCGCTCCTATTGTACTTTCTTTTTCTTTCTATTGTCCTGCTCCTCTTCTTCGTGCCCACTCTCTCACCCACCCAGCACTGCGCCGCCTTGCATGCGCTGATACGACGACACCCGCGCACGAAACTCGCGACAACGAGAAGCTTATGCCAGGCATCCTTCTATCGCCCAGCGCCAGCAGTGTGGGCACAATCGCAGGCATGAAGAGAGCGCACGACGCTGCGGAAACCGTGCCGACCTACGGAGAAGCTCATCCCAAGAAGCGGAAAGTCGTACATCAACTCCGCCACACGCAACCCGTCCAGCACATTGTCGACCCCATCAGCGCCGAGCTCGACTCCTTTGGCGGCAGCAAAGACTTCTTCGACCAGCAATTGCGCCGCGCGATCGCGATACAATGCAAGGGCATGGGTTTCGACACGGCGCGGCCCGACGCCTTGGACGAGTTCCGGGGGCTGGTGGATTCTTGTATGCCTTTTCTCTCTCTGCATGCTTTCTTGCTTGTAGGCCTGTGGCAGTGTTGGATTGACTGACTGGCTGTAGACATGCGCAACTTTCTGGCCCAAGTGCGGAAGTCCATGACCAGCTCGCGACGCACCGATACCGTAGCACACGACTGGGTCTACGCACTCACCACCGTCGGCCTTCGCGGTTCAGCACCCCTCGACCAACATCTTGACACGGGCGGAATACCACCGTCCCTGCTACAGCCGCATTTTGAGCCTCCCGCGCCTCCAGAAGCACCCCCGCCCACTACCGAATCCTTGCTGGGCCCCGAACTGTCTGGCAAAGCAGACAAGGACACGCGCCCATATATACCGAAGCACTTTCCAGCATTCCCATCAAGACACACGTATAAGGCAACCCCAGTCTTCACCGAGCGCGAGAATGATCCGCGCAAGATCCGAGAGAAGGCGACAGAAGAGGGCATACTGGCCGAGCAGAGTCTACGGAAGCTCATGGCAGCACAAAAGGCGGGCATCCAAAAACAGAACGTTGGGAAGCGGAAGCGAAGCAAGCGAATGAAGGAGAGCGACAAATTATGGCAAGAAGCCATGATAGATCTGCTAGACGAGGAGCAGGCGGGAGAGAAGGAAGAGGAACAACGACAGGCCCGACTAGACGACGAGGACGACGAGTGGGATGCGCCTCGACTCCGCACGCGGCAGCCCATAGTAGACCGAAACGTTAATTTAGAGGAGGGGGTCCATGTCGATTACGAGCAGAAGTACTGGAGAAAGTCTGCAAGAGGCGGTTGAAAAAGTCTGGCACGCCGCGAAAGGCGTTTGTATTTGGTTTCCATCACTCTTCTTGGAGCATTTTGACAGCGAGGCGTTTGGGATTCTGCATGCCTTTCTGGTCTGGCACTTTGATGCATTTGCGGCGTTCATCACTTCTTCCAGACGTTGTATTTTAGCTGTCCTACTACTCACAATAGCTGGCTTTCGGGCCCAACCGATCAATTCAATTGAATCCATCATCAGAATTAATTAATACACATTTAGGCATGTAAAATGACACGCTAAGAGAATCAAATTATACACATGAATTCCATGAACGCCTGAGGTTGCGATTTGCGACAACCAACCGTCACGAAGCGCATCACCCCTCCACCTTTGCCACGTCCTGCCTTGCCTTCCATCCCTCCCAAGCCGTCGTCTCAACACTCAAACCATTCTCACACCTATTAAACACGTCAGCATCAATCACCGAGCCACGCCCCGCATCTCCTCACAACGCCAAGAGATAGCACCCTCCACCTTGAACAGTACTCACTTCCGTAATAACCTAAGGACAGGTTCACACGCCACCAAAGCTTTCTTTCCTTTCTCCTTTGATGGGTGCACATTGCACTTGTACTGCACCAATTCCTTCAATGGGCAGTCGATTAATTTAATCGGTGGACTGCGTGACTTCCCATTTGGGAGTACATTGATTTCGGTTTCGAGCGCAGAGAGGGGAACGGTTCTCATTGGCAGTGGCATTGTCTGCGGCAAGAGGAGGGTAGTTGCATGAATAGTGTGAGGGAGGGAGGAGAAGGGCGTGGGTGAGAAGTCGAGAAGATGAATGATGATGTGGGAGTGAGGAAGTTGGGGGAAAAGCTCTTGGGTGAGGTGGAGGTGGAGGATTTGAGCTCGGTACGTGGTATTGAACAACGATTTTTTTTTAAACAAGTGCTAATGGCTATATAGGTTCTCCAATCCGTACGCGAGCTGAATATACGGAAGAATGACAGGTATATATTCCAATACGCTTGACGTTCGACTTTCCATTTTCCCCATGGAATCCGACTTCAGCCCCCTATGAAGCTGACTAACAAATCACAGTGAATATAACCAGACCACACTACGAAGCTCGTTTTTCGGTATCCCAGAGTTAGACGCTCTCTTTCCACGCCAATTGAACCCCATCCTCGAGCTCGTCTCCCCGCCAGAAGCACACCATGCATCCGGAGCGGGCAAAACCTCCCTTCTCTATCTCATCATCTCGCACGCCATATTCCCTTCTTACTTCGCCCCGTCCATAGCACTCGGAGGTCAAAATGCCGCTATCATTCTATTCGACCCTCTGAACCACTTCAGCGTCTCGCGGCTTGCGAATGTTATGCTCAACCTCCTAAAGACCAAGGTTCACGCAGCAGGACAGACAATGACTGCCCGCACGAGAGCAGACATGAAGACCCTCGTGAAGCGCAGTATGCAACACATCCACATCTTCCGCCCGCAGTCCTGGCCGTCTTTACTCTCAACACTACACACACTGCCAGACTACCTGTTCAACAAAGACAAACATGAAAGTACACACCGACACATCCACTCCATCATCCTAGAGGACATCGACACCTTCACATGGGCAATCCGAAACTCCTCCCAGTCGGGCCAAACGAATCCTTTGTCCACGGCGTCAACGCGCTTGGCCAGTACCTTGCAGAACCTCTCCGCCCGCTTCTCAAACGCTACGATACTCACTTCGCACTCGACGTCGCCTACTTCGTTCCGCCCTGCGCTTCCTACTTCATGGCCACTGCAGCTGCAGCAGCGAGCACTACCAGAGGGAGCACGCCAAACGGGAGCCAGGGTGGACACAGCTGCACACTCCACGGCGGCGGCGATGGTAACTCGCCTCGCCATCCGGCGCGTCGAAGTGCTCAAGTTCGCCCCGGCAATCAGTGTTGAGGAAGCAGAAGCAGAACGACAGCAGCGGTGGGAGGTGGTTAGTCGGGCCAGATTTGAGTGCTGGAAGGTGGGTGTTGGGGTGAAAGATGGGGAGGGGTTTTTGTTCAGCGTGGGGCGACGGGGGGTTGTGGTGGAGAGGTCAGAGGGGAACTTGGGGTGATGGCGGAGGACAAGTAGGATTTACCCGGTCAGTCACCGACTACGATAGATATTAGCGTCTAGTGGAGTTCATGTACGAACCACAATCGCTAGGTCATGGCTTAGGCGGACGTGGATTCTTGACAGTATGTTACAACAGAATACAGACTGCCCGCTGGCTCCTTGAAATGCATATGTCCGCAAGTACCGACGATTGTAACCAATATCCTACAGCACCGGCTTAGATGTCTTTTATACAGTGTAAAGCGTGTTGTGTTCTTGCACAGGCCGTGCACGCCTCTCCGTCTATCCCTCAGCGTCAACTCATGTAATCTTATCCCTCAATAGTCATCATCTATGCATCCCTCCCCCAAAGCACCTTCCTCCTCTCCCGATCCTCCCGCGCAGTCCTCCTCCGCTGTCCCCACTTCCGCCTCGCAGCCTCATGCTCCGCGCTGACCTTCTCCGCCTTCTCAGGCACCTTGACAATCATGCCGACGAAGAACTGACTGCAGCCGAATTTCTCCGCCAGCCGCACTCGAGTCCATTTATCCGGGTCGCTCAGTCGTAACTGCCGAATCTCCTCAATCTCTTGCGCGGTGAGATGGTACCTCTTCTCATACGGTTGGCGCAGCGGCGCAGGTAAACTTGCGCTGGGGCGGGGGGGTAGGAAGGAGGGAGCGGAGAGCGGTGTCCCCGGCATGGCAACAGGCGAAGTTTGTCTTCGATGCGCGGTGGTCGTTGCGTAACGTTGAGCCGCAGCGTATAATTGTCGTCGCTTGTCGTCCTTGGGTAAGAACTTCAGCGGTGTGTGGTATACATTGGGTGCCGAGCTGGGTGGATTGAAAATGAGCGTCGGAGCAGAGCGGTCGGAGGTGTAGGACGGTGCTTCGGGGAGGGCGAGGAGTTTCTGGTGTCGCCGCGTGGTGGATTCATGGCGGCAGTGTACCCTGGGGAGGAGGGACGGTTGCTGTGGGCGAAGACATATTCGCAGGAGGGATTTACATGTCGACATTGTGTGATTGGGGTCTGATCGCGGCGCGAGATCGTGAAGACGGATAGCTGATGGTATGAAGGGGTCTGTTGGAGCCAGGCCCAACTTTTTTAGTTTTTCCGTTCCGGGATGTGGTCAAAGCTGCACCAGGGCATCACGAACAACGCATGAGATGGAGGAACTTGAAATTAATTATTGATTGTATTTCAGCTTAACGGAAAGTATCAAGTTGGGTGTATATTCATCGTAGCAGTCTACTGATTCCACAACTCCGTCTCTAGTCGCGCTTCAATTCCCCTGCAACGTAGTGCAGATATGCGCCAAGGAGCTTGGTGCCCTCGATGTAGTTCTTCTTGTCCAGCTTCTCATTGATAGAGTGCGCAGCATCCGTCGAGCTGCCCATTGGCAACAACAGGACGTTCTTCTTCAGCTCTTCCTGGAAAGTGAGCGTGACCGGGATACTACCACCTTCCCTCGTCATATCGGGCTTGACACCAAACACCCTCTCCACAGCCTTCGCAGCAGCCGTGTAATTGGGATGATTTGGGTCTTCCACCCACCACTTCCCGCAATGGACAACGCTGAACTTCAACGTGTTCTTGGACTTTAGCTTTGTAAACTCCGCATTGACGTGCTTCTCGACGAGCTCAGTGACGGGGTCGATCTCCATGTTGGGTACTGTGCGGATGGAGAACTTTCCGATGACCTTGGCGGGAATCACTGTCTTGGCTCCTTCCGAGTAGAAAGCGCCCTCGATTCCGTGTAGTGAGAGGGAAGGGTACCGCATCTTGTGTTTCAAGGCATCCTCCTTGTTGTCGTGAATCGAGACTTCGGCACCTAGAGACTCCTTCAGGTCGTTCATTGTGAAAGCGATGGGTGGGTAAAGAGCGGCTTCGTCGTCGGTGAGAGGAGCAACCAATTTGTCGATGCCCTTGATGAGAATGGTACCATCCGGATCGACAAAGGAGTTCATGATGCGGACCAAGTCGGTCATGGGCTCGTGGGTCATGCCACCGTAGACACCAGAGTGCAAGTCCTGGCCAGGCCCGGAAACCTCGACCTGGTAGTAGTTGCATCCACGGACGCCATATGTCAGGCAGGGCTTCTCTGTTCCTAGCCAGTAGTTGTCAGAGATGCAAACCACATCAGCGTCCTTGAAGAATTTCTTGGCTTCGGCGCGGATCGTGTCGTCCAAGCCCTCAGATCCGTTCTCTTCCATTCCCTCGAAGCACATGATCAGGTTGACGGGTAGCTCCACGCCAGCCTTTTGGTGTGCCTCGATAGCGTTCAACCATCCGAGGACGGGGCCTTTGTCATCTGTGCTGCCGCGTCCGTACATGCGATCCTTGTCATCGATGGTGAGGGTGAAGGGATCCGTCGCCCAGCCGTCTGATTTGTTGGCGGGCTGTACATCGTAGTGGCCGTAGACGAGGACGTTGGGCTTCTTGGGGTCATCTCCGTAGCGTCCCAGAAGACACGGTGGGAGGTCTAGGTGCTCGCGGCCAGGCTGCTTTCCAAGCTCACGCAGCTCGACGGTACCTCCGAGAGATTTGATTTGGTCTGCGAGCCAGTGGCCCATCTATCATTGGATGTCAGTCGTGCGCATGTGAAAGGCCGAACCAATTATTATTTACCTTGACAACATCGGGTCGCCTTTGATCCTCAGAGCTAATGCTTGGAATCGCTACAGCCTCCCTCAGCCTCTCGATGAACTTGCCCTGCAAGGCATCCACCTGCTTGAAGTATGGGTCGAGATGCGGCATCTTGTCGAAGTGTTTGTACAGGTAAGGCCAGGCGGCGTGTGGTATTCGTTCTGGGGTGTCCTGGGCGAGGCGTCGATGTGACTGTGTGAATCTCGACGATGGTGTAGAATAGAAGAGGCTGCGACGAGGAGATGTCGCGCTTGTTTGCGGTGGATAAGCCGGTGTCAAACGGGAAGGTGGGCGTGAGAGGGCAAATGTTTCTGCTCGAAGCAGCAAGGCGGGGAGGGGCGCATGGCGGGGCAGCATCGTGTAATCATGTATCGTGTATGGCTGCAGCCTTGGGAGCGTCCAAAATCACGACCAGCTCGCGAGTGTGGATCCCCTGGCCCGCGCTCCCTTCCCTTGGCTATATCAATACTCCTACTCCAGCTTCAAGATGAAGCGTGTTGTTGACAGCGATGACTGAATGGCTGGAACTGGACCTGTTCGACCGCAACAACGTCAGTTTACAAGGCGATGCAGTTACTGAAGGATGCGCTGACTCTGCAGCAGACGAGAAGGCTGAGTAGCTGTATTCCATCTCGTACAAGATTCAAGGCTTTCCAGCAGACTAGGTATCGCATGTATAGGATCCGACAATGAGGGGATATGGTTCGCCTCATCAAAGACTCTGGGACGAACGAGCATCAATGCACGCCGGGTGTACCTCTGCAGCTCTCGCGGACTTGGACCTAGACTGTATGTATGCATCAAAGAACGCGTGTTCCCTTGACCTGCGTCGTCAGATGTCGTCTCATCAGCCGCGTGCGAACCCCAAGGTCGATGACAAACTGTACAGTCCAGCTCTCTACACCTCTCCACTGCTTACAGAGTGATGGAGTGACCGTGTCCAGGCGAATGCTCATCATCGTGCAGCAGCCACAAAGAGTCGGTGGGGGGCGGCAGACGTGTCAGAACCTCCACTCGATCCAATTGGCTGACTAGGGCTGATCCAGGCACGCGTGAGGGTTGGCGATCATGCCGAATGGCTGCAGGGAAGCGTATGGTGCAGGAGTTCCAGCATGTCAAGTGGATAGGCAGAATGGCAGCTACAAATTGGGGGGGAGCATCATGGCTAGGGGGGACGTGTTGGGACGCAATGGGGTCACAAGAGTCGTCTAATAAGACGATATGAGTAAGACATGTAAAAAGCAGTAATGAGTGAGTGAGTGCAAAAGACGGGACCGCCGCTCGATAGGCGGCCATGGTTCCTTCAGCGGGCGGATGCGCCATGGGGCTTTTTAGCGGGAATTGGCTCTCTCCATGTGCTCTAGGCCAAACGGCTGGTCGATCATCAAGATGAATATGCGTGAGGCGCGAGAAGAGCGGCAGCCACATTCAGAGAGGGTCAGTAGACAGTTTGCAGCTCATCAGCCTGGTGCAATCGGACTTGGAGACTAGCTGTGTGCCTCTGGTCCTTTATAAAAATAGCCATGCCTCGAATCAATTTGGGCAGTCATTTGGCGGTGACTGGTGCGACCAGCGACATAATCGACATGGACAAAAAGGGCGAGCGCTTCACTTTACTCTTCCCGTCTCGTCTGGTGCTGCTCGTCCCCTCCGGTAGCGTAATGTACATGACGATGTGAGTGGACGGGGCGCTGGCATTCTTGATTTCATCACCAGACGCCGGGGTTGCAGAGGGCAGCCAATGCAGCTAGCGGCAATACGCTCCGGATAGGGTGGCGCCATGGGCGCTGGTGATTCGAAGACGTGTGTGGGCGCGATGGGCATCTAGTGTCGTCGTCTTCTTTTTTCCCGCCTTCTTTTGATTGATGGTCGCCGTGGGCTTGGGCGAGACTTGAAACTGGCCATGGTTCGACGCCAAACGCTGCGTGGGAGAGCTGCCGCACATGCGAGACGGCGCCCCAGAGGCTCCCCAACATTCACAGTGCAAGAATGCGCTCCATTATGCGGGAGAGCGCGGGAGTATTTAGTCGTATCCCACCAAGGGCACATGAACAACAAGTCGTGTCCTGCGCAAGATTGGACGCTTGGTCTCTTGCGCCAACAACCCTGTGCGACAAGACCGTCCAGCAGCGTCTGGGCAAATGGGCCATCAGCTGCCTCGCTCGTTCGTCTGCCTGAAGTCCCCCGTTGTCCTGCCAGTGTAAATGCGGACGACAAGAGAGTCGAAGCATTCAGAGCGCGCATCCCCCCTCCCCGCCTCGACGATCCATCTGGCGAGTGTGCACTCTGTTGCTGCTGAGTGAGGCCGGCGGACTGACTGCATGGTTGCAAGAGGAGGGACGTTTATATAGACCCCTGCACTTGCCGTGGCTAAGTGCGACCGGGTGCGCTTGCTGCTTCGCCCGCCCGCCTGCCTGCCTGCCCTGCAACTCTACAGCTCACCACCCATCCCAGGCCTCATCACACTCTTCTTACTCCTCACAGCCTGGAGAGTGCTGCTTGCTGCCACTCTTCTCCCTCCCTCTCCCTCCCTCCCTCACGCACACATACTCACTCCCCCGTACGAGGCCCCCCTCCGACCCGACTTTGGCTGCAAACTAGCGCTGCAGCGTTATTGTACTTGGGCATTAAGATTGGACTAACGCTATCCCGCCCTGTTCGCGCCAGTGTCCGTCAACCACCAAACGAGCCGCAGCACTCTCGTCGAGCCTGGTGTCCTCCTCTCCCTCTTCACCCACCCACGCCTCACTCGCCGGGCTGAATGCTGGCCAGGCATTCTCTATCCACCGTCTTCCCCAGAGCAGGAGCTCTCTGTGGCGACACGACACTGCACGCAACCCGCTCTTTGCATCGCCGTCCCCAACGTGCCTTGCGAGACGCACTCGACCCAACTTGACCCACCACCACGCCTCGACACCGCAACCACCTCCCTGCACACCACCCGCCCGGACACATCGAGGACACATCGCTTCTGCATGAACTGGTGCTTGCTCTGCACGCCCGCGGTATTGCACCGCTCCCTCGCCCGTTCGCACGCCTGTCACCTGGCGCTATAGGCGAGCATCCACGCTTCGCCCTCCACAATGAACAACCCAAACATGCAGCAGAATGGCATGGCTGTCCGGAACGCTGGACTCCACCACTTCGTCCAGCACTACCGCATGCAACAACAGCAGCAGAAGATACCACCAGGATGGCAGCAGTCCACCTCGCCTGAAGAGCGCGGCCAGCTCGCCCTTCAGTTCTTCACGTCGTACCGTCTGCTCAAGGGGAACGAAATCTCCGAGATCGAAGCCATGCGTTCGTCCCTTCAGTTTGAGACGCAGAATTTCTTGAACGCACAGACAAAGGAGCAATACATCGCCAACGTCAAGGCGAAGCTCATCGCCATGCAAAACATGCGGCAGCAGCATCTGCAGCGCATGCAAGAAGGCATGGGTAACATGAACAACCCTATGAATGCCATGAACCCTGGGCAGATGAACATGATGGGCCAGCTCGCTCCTCAGGGCGCAAGACAGGGTACTCCGCAGCAGTTTAACCCAGCCTTCCCCAATGCCCAGCTTCAACGACCGATGCAGATTTCGCCGGTTCCAATGTCACAGACACAAAGTTCCATGGGTTTGAATGGCGCGAACCCTGGTCCCGCCAACGTCCCCCAAGGTCAGAACAACCAGCAACCAAACCAGAACCCACAGAACCGTCAAGAGCAACTCGTTATTAATCAGTTCGCTAAACGGCTCATGGACACATGTAAAGAGGAAGTTCGTCAGAAGTTTCAGGGTGACGTGCAGGCTTGGCCCGAGGATAAGAAGCAACAGTTGATCAGTCAAGGCATCAACCCACTGTTCTTCCGCTTTCGCCAGCACGCAGAGATGTTGTATCGACGAGGCGCTCTCAATATGCAACAGCAGCAGGGCACAAATCAGAATGCTACCGCGATGCAGCAGTCGGGCCAACCGAATCGGATGCAAAATCAGCAGATGAACATGAACCAACGCCAGCCGAACAACCAAGACTTCGACTTTAACGCGATAGCCAACCAGCAGATAGAAGCTATTCGAAGCCAAGACCAAGGCACGACGGTAGTCCCTGCGAGCAACAATGCGAACGGCGCTCAGATGACCGGCTTTCAAGGACAAAATCCTCAACAAGGTCAACCGCAGAATGCTGCCATGGCACAGCGGCAAGCTGAGATGCTCCACCGTCAAGCACAAGCACAGCAGGCACAACAGGCACAGCAGGCTCAGGCACAGGCTCAGGCTCAGGCGGCTCAAGCACAGGCTCAGGCTCAGGCTCAGGCACAAGCACAAGCTCAGGCTCAGGCTCAAGCTCAAGCTCAAGCCCAGGCACAGGCACAGGCACAGGTTCAAGCTCAGGCACAGGCACAGGCTCAGGCTCAGGCACAAGCGCAGGCACAGGCACAGGCACGACTGGAGCAGCAACGGCAACAACAAGCAGCAGTTCAAGCGCGTAATCAGCAAAACCAATTGCTTCAGGGTCAAATCGGTGGTCTTAACCTCCCCCCAGGCTCGCAACAAAGCCCTGCAATGCCGATGCTCACCAGGCCCATGCCACCTCCAGGGCAGCCAGGACCCCCAACGACTCCACAGCAACGGCCCCCTCAGGCTCACGTTCCTATAATGACTCCCCAACCCGGGCAGGCCGATCCGAATTTGACCGACCTGATGCGCCAAGCACAACAAAGGGCTGCTGCCGTCTCCCAGGGCAATCAGCCATTGACCGACCAAGTTCGTATGAGTATGATGCCAACTGATCTTGACGCTTCTGTGAAGAGCCAGCTACTCAAGGTCCCCGAGCAACAATTCCGCGCGATACTGCAGAATTACATGGTGAATGTTCGCAGAACTAATGGGATGCAGAACGGCGGATTTCAAGGGGGGCAGCCCGCACCAGGCCAGCCGAACATGCTCTTCAATCCACAACAGCCGATGCAACCGGGAATGCCAGGCCAAATGCTAGGTGGTCCCAACATTGCAAACATGGCTCGTCCAGGTATGAACTTTGGGCAACAGCCTCCAGGGGCTGGGCAGCCGCCCCCCATGGGCCAACGTGCTCCAATACCGAATCAACAGCAACGGCTGGCTTCTGCGCAAAGTCTGCTACGGCAAAATCCTGGTATCATACATGCCACTAATCCCAAGCCCTTTCCCCCCAATGTTCTCAATGCTCAGATACGGCAAAGTCTTCCTCCAGATGTCAAGTCCTGGCAACAACTCAAACATTGGGCTGACCAAAACCCGGCTCTGGTGCCAGGCGTTGATGGCCAGAAACTTCTCATGCTCCAAGTTCTGCATTTCCAGGATATCGTGAGACAATCAGGCGGTATGGCTGGTGGTCAACCTCCACCGCCAAACAACGGCCCTGGAATCGCTCCTCCGGCACAGGGAACACCTAACCAAGGCCCGATCAGGACGCCACAGCAGCAACCAAACATGCCAAACATGCCCCCAATCCAGGTCACGCCTCAGGAGATTCAAATGTTCCGGCAAAGGCTACAAGGTCCACAGACGAATGTAACAGACGACCAATTACGGCAATACATCCTCAGCCAGAAGTTGAAAGGAAGGCAGCAACAACAGCAGCAACAACATCAACAGCAGCAACAGCAGCAGCAGCAGCAACATCAACAACATCAACAACAGCAGCAGCAGCAACAACAACATCTGCAGCAGCAACAACAGCAGCAGCAACAACAGCAACAGCAACAGCAACATATGCTTGCCCAACAGCAGCAGCAACAGCAACAGCAACAGCAGCAACAACAGCAACAGCAGCAGCAGCAGCGTAACCAGGCGCAACAACAGCATGCCACCAACCGTCCCCCCACGGCCCAGTCTCAGCCTACGCAAGCTACGCCCCAGCCAAAGGCAAACACCAGGCCACAGCAACATCCGCAGGCTATGCAATTGAATAGCACAGCCAACAAGGGCATGAAGCGACCGAATGATGATGCTGTTGAGTCTAATGCAGATGCACCCACGCCCAACCTTGGCTCACAGGCGCCTGCAATGGTGGCCTCGAGATCTCAACCTGGGTTTAACCTCACACAGGAGCAGATGTCTAAACTCACTCCCTTACAGCAAGCTCAGGTCAAAGCTCAGCTCCTGAGAGCACAAGACACTTCTAACAACAAAACGCAGCAACAGCAGCGTCCAATGCTAAGTGCCGATGAAATTCGCATTAAGATGACTGATCCAGCCAGGGTCAGGCAATTCAACCAATTGGTCGAGGAAGTGGAAAAGAGTATACCGCCTAGACAGCCCGTACAGCTACCGCCGCCGCTACGAACGGCTCTACAGCAGTCGCTAAAGGATCAACTCCCGAAGCTGAAGAAGGTGGAGCAAGCGTTGCGGATTTTCCATGCTTCGTACGATACCAACGAGCCCGAACCGGTTATACGCCAGATCATCAAAGCACGTGCCCTGGTCTTTCAGCAAATCAATGATGCGGATGGGTCGCTGCACGCTCAGGTCACTCTGACCACGGAGGAATTCAAGAACCACATGCGCACAATGATCAACTTTTTCCAGAAGATCATGGCGAAGATGCAGCAACAGCAGGGTCAAATTGTGGCTGCGCAGCAGCAGCCTCCTCAGGGTTCGACTGCCCCACCCGCTCAACTAAATGCCGCAAATCTGAAGATTGTAGAACAACAGCAACGTCAGAACAAGCCTCCTCAGGCCCCGACGACCGATCGCCCACCGTTTCCGCTTGGTGCCGATTCTGGCCATGGCGCGGCACACTACTTCGAGGGCGCCAGGCCCGTCACAAACCTTGTTCTACCTGAGAAGAAGCGTGCGAAGCTCGAAGCCGGCAGCCAATCCTCAACCCCAGGTGCTAAAGCTTCGCCACGCGTTGGCTCAGGTACAGGCAACTCTCCCGAGCTCAAGAGGCAACCGCCGCCTGACAAGCAAGTACCGCAAAGGCCAACATTCAGATGCAATGCCCTGGACTGTGAGTACTCGGTGCGAGGCTTCGACACCCAAGCTGAACTGGAAGGGCATGTTGGTCAAACACATGCCAAAATCGAGAATCCTCTCCAGTTTGCGCTTGATTCCATGGCAGAATACCTGGACGTCGATCAAAAGACTGGTGAGCCCAAGATTGACCCGAAGGCTACGAAACGCCCTTCTAAGCCCGCACCTGCCGCCCCGCGTACTTCAGCCCAGCCCGCAAAGGCAGAGCCTACACCTAGTATCCCGACCAGCGCCGCAACTCCTGCTGGGCCACAGGTTGCAGCGACACCAATGGCGCGAGTGCCGACGCAAACCGGCATCAAGGGTTCGCCCTCGGCAAATCTCCTCAAGACTCCTCAAACAATGGCGAAGGGGGCTACGCCGAGTACGAGCGCTCAAGGAAAGGCGACACCAGCCAGCATTGCTAAGCCGGCGCCGAAGGAGCAACCTGTTGCAGTGCCCGAGCCTGAGAAAGAGGAAGAGCAGCAGCCGCTGCTCCCCATGTCGCTGCTCGATTACTCGTACGAAGATACTTTTGCTGCACTTGATGCCAACGGTCCGTTTACCGTGCTCGATCTCAAGGACGAGGATAGTGCCTGGGCCCTTCGCTCTCGACCGACTTCGCCAATGACTACGCCCGAATCGACGTCGAAAGACACGCCGTCGACTCGACAGTCTGATATCTCGGAGAACGACACGCTACATATTCACGTGGATATCAAGGACGTGGACAAGCCTGATGCATGGACAATGGGGCTGTTTAACGATGGCCTGCCAATGGACATGCAAATCTCTGACGACTTGGCCAATCTCGGCGTCATGCTTCCGCCCATGGATAGCGAGGACATGATGCTGTTCCCTGCCTATGACGGTAGCGGCATGATGGATCTCGATATGCTGGACAAGACTATGGATATGATGGGCGGGACGCTGGATCCGACTGTGTTTGGTGCTTGAAGCTGGCATTGCCATCTTCCATCGTAACCTATTGCATTCACGTGCGTTTTTGGATTCTTTGCGATTTACTAGCATTTTTGGGGGATTTTAGGTGTTGATAGTCATTCTTGCATGGCGTTTTGCATTTATTCTTATTCATCGTGTTATAAGCAGGCGATGCGGTTATTTACGATTCGTTACTAGGCGCCATACAAGGGGAAACGACGGGGTATCCAGGATTGGGTTTGTTCGAAGAGCTGAGACGTTTGTCATGGATTCTAGCGCAGCTTGGTTTATTGCACGGCGTGGATAATATACCCCCCAGGACGTTTGTCCGGTGAAGCGTGTTTTTAGCTTGGTTGATATAGTATGAATGATGTATGCATGTTCAGTCCAGCATCTTGTCTTTGTTGGTTTTGCATTGCGTAACACTTGACGCTGCAGCAAGCAGCAACATGGTGCTCACCGCCTAGATGATCCCACACAGCTTTCGGAACGATATCATCATGGATGGATCTAGACGCGAGCCTATATGTGGTACTGGTAAACTAACCAGCGTGGGCAGCCGGAATGTAGTAGCGATTATTCGGGGTCCCCGCATCGCAGCCGTGGGTCGGGCAGCCGGTCACATGTTCTGGGCGCAAATGTGGGAGACGTATGTAAAAAATCACGAGGCGTCAGTCGCCGAGACATGTAAGTGTACCGAGAATTCTCATCTCGGGGCAAACCAGCGCATCATTCGAGCAGTCGAGACAAATGGACTGTCATGATGATGATGACTCCTACGACATGGTTTCAACGCGAGTTCTGGGAAATGCAAGTCATGGTCGCCATGGCCGAGACGCGTGCTCAACCAATATGCATGCGCAACAACGATGGCTAGAAAAGGTGGTTTGCTGGCAAAAGCAGCCAAACAGCGCAGCAGGTGGAGCGACGGGGGGGGGGGTGGGTGACGTTGCACATGATAAATACATGCACGGCAACGCGGCGCAGCCCGCTTACCTTTCCTTGTCGAATCGGGCGCGCGATATGCAGGGCAGCGGGCAGGATCAGATGAGGTGTTGTGGAGCCGTCGAAAAGTGTTGAAGAAGAACTGAGGCTGGTGCTGAGTCTGAGGTGTCGGCAAGGTGGCGAAGGGTTGCTATTCTCGGCAGGCTGCATACAAAGGACTTTTCTTCAGCCCTAACGGAAGGAAATTTTCTGCCCTGGGGTTGTCAGCGAATCACTTACTCCCCAATCGAGTCTTGCGGTGCGAAGGGGGGATGTGTGGACTAGATTTGTGTGTGCGGTATACAGGGGTCGGGGAGTGGGTCTGGGGTAGGGAAAAGTGGCTGCTGCTGCCACGACTTTGCCGAGAAGGAATCGTATTTGTTACATACACCCAAGTTTGGAGCCTTTTTAGTCCCGATAAGGGGTATGTGGTGGGATTGTGATACATGCGCAGGCGGGAGATGGGATCGGCTAACCTCCCCTCCCCCTGTCTCTCGCCCTGGTCGGGTTCCCATTTACGATAGTTTCACCCTCGCACTGTGACTCTTGCTGGTGAAGCCCACGCCCAAGAGGAAGCAGAGGCGTGTCCCAGCGAGGAAATAGACAAACGGCACATTGCCCCAATCAATCGCATTCCACGTCGACCAGGCCCAGTAAATCTGCCACCCAAGCAGCCTGACGGAATACAGGTGGCCGAGATCCGCCACCAGCAGGGCCATGATGAAACTTGACCATACTTTGCTGTCGCATGTGGAGCGCAGCACCGTGGCTTCGAGCAGCCCAAGGCCAAGGTACAGGTTGGCGAGTTGGGTCATGATGATGGCTGTTGAGACGGGCATCGTCGTGGGCGCGCTGGCTGCATGCGTCAGGGCGAGGTAGACGGAGGGGAGGAAGTGGGCGTAGACGGCGCCGGTGAGGATCGAGACGGGCTCGAGCCAGAGGAAGACGAGACGGTAAAAGACCGGTATGCGGGCGGATGGGGCGGATGCCACCATGGTCTTCTGCAGCGTCGTCTTGTTCTGCATGGGCTTCTGCATCGTCTTCTGCATGGTCGACTGCAATGGGCGCCTTCTGCAATAGTCGTCCAGTGGCGCCTTCCCGAGATTCCCGCGGCGTGGAAGCGGTGAGGAAGGAGCGACTGGGACGACGGCGTTGGGTATTTGCAGATGATACCGTCGTCAAAGTAAGTAAGTAAGTGTATGTATGGACCAGGTAGTGGTTAGGTCGTGCCTAGGGCCGACTAGTCGTCGTCGCAGCTACTGTAATGTCACCCTGGCTCCCCTTTAGCGGTGCGGCAGAATCTAGCAGGTCGCCCCCCCCCCCATGCTTGGTTGCTTAAAAACACACGACGCCTCCCAAGACCCGACCCATCCCATCCCCATCCCATCCCTATCCGCTCCCTAGACGTGCGCGCTGACGAACCCCCCTACCCTCGCTGCTCCCGCCCTTTCCCTCTTGCAGCCCCTCTGGTCGCTGTGCACGCTCTCTACCCGCCTTGCCTTGTTGCTTGCATTGCTGCGTTACGTTATCTTTGATTCTCCTCTTCCTTCGACTACGCTACGCTACGCTACGCTCCTTGGACTGCTTGCTGTCTTCGCTCCCTGCCACGCCACGACTCGACTCCCACGTCTTGCAATCGCTTTCGATTCCACCATTACCACCACCACTACCCACCGGTCAGTGCCCTCCATGCATCGCAGGCCGTCCATCTTGTCGTACCGACCGAAGACGTCCTCCGCCCTAGACGACGACAACACCGCTGTCCACACGCCCTTTGACCACACAATGAAACGCACCGCCTCGCAAACCTTCAACACGCACTACCACGATGTCAGAGACACGGGCATAACATTGGACGCTGTGAACGAGGCCTACCCGGGCCCGGTTGGCGCTGCTGAGCAACATGCCCACAGCTCGTTATCGCGAGCGTTTGGCGCTGTGACGGGCAGTTTCACCCGCCAAAAGGCCCGTCGCAGAATGTCTTCCTTTTCGTCTGCCACGTCTGCGCCGCGCCGCCGCGGCTCCATACAGAGTTTCATCGAGTCTCTGCCCTCTTCCTCCACGAGCCGCAAAACGAGCACCGAACAACAACGCCTGCCCCTGCAGCACCAGGATTCCGGCATCCCTTCTTTCCAAATGCAACCCCAAAGCGCCCCCTTGGGCGCCAAATCCTTTTCTTTCAAGCGACTCAGTAGCATGAGACGCCGTCCCACTGCCTCTTCATCATCCTCAGGGGAACTGCTAAGAAACGCCATTTGTAATCCCCCAATCCCCTACCCAAGTCAAACGGTCCCCGGAGCCGCAGCAAGGCAAGCGGCGGCCGCTGCGAACCAGGACCGTCAAAACCAGCTGCGACGCGAGCAGGAGCATACCCATCGTTTCCTCAATGGCCTCATTACGACCTCCATGCGCGACGATGACATCAAAGACAACGAGAGCGGTGTCGACATGACCTGCGCGTCGCCAATTGTTCGCGCAGACAGTGTTACCGAGAAGAAAATGAGTAGGCTGCCCACGCGTGTTTGTTCGAGCCATATTAACAACTTCTAGTCGACCCCTTTCAACGCCTCCCTGCTGAACTCGCAACTACCGTCCTTTCTAACCTCGATGCTGCATCCCTAGTCCGCGCCGAACGAGTGTCCCGCAGCTGGAACGAGCATGCGGCCTCCCCGCATGTCTGGCGCAGCGTCTTCCTCCGCCAGTACGAACCTGAAGTCCACGTGTCGCCTACACCAATTCAAATGGGAGGATTGGGAGTGGGCAAAATGGCTGGCAGCAACCCTGCTCCTGCGCAAAACTGGAAGAAGATGTTCGAGGCACGGAGCATAATCAACAAGCGATGGAAGGCTGGCACTCCCGCTGCAATCTACCTGAATGGCCATACAGATAGTGTCTACTGCTGCCAATTCGATGAAAACAAGGCCATTACAGGATCCCGCGACCGCACGATCCGCGTGTGGGATCTGAAGACTTACAAGTGCCTCAAGGTGTATGGTGGACCCAATCACCGCCCAACTGCAAACACCCCTCCCACCATGGAGGAGCGACCCGAGCGCGTTATCAGTTACAACTCGCTGAATGGAACTCGCGCTGGTAACGACATCTACCATGTGCCTTCTGACTACCACGATGCTTCCATTCTGTGCCTACAGTTCGATGACGAGATCATGGTGACAGGGTCTTCAGACTACACTTGCATTGTGTGGGACATTACCGGCGACGAGTTCGTGCCCATGTACCGCCTCCGCGGCCACGAAGCCGGTGTTCTGGACGTTTGCCTTGACGACAAGTACATCATCTCGTGCTCCAAGGATGCCATGATCAAGGTCTGGGATCGCAAAACCGGCATATGCGTGCGCACACTAAAAGGCCACCGCGGCCCCGTCAACGCTGTCCAGCTCCGTGGCAACTTCCTCGTCTCCGCTAGTGGCGACGGGGTGGCCAAGCTGTGGAATCTCGAAACCGGCCTCTCAATCAAAGACTTTCCCTCCGAGGACCGGGGCCTTGCAGCCGTCGAGTTCTCCGATGACGCCAAGTACGTTCTCGCCGGCGGAAATGATCACGTCGTGTACAAATTCGATGCCTCAACGGGCGAACTCGTGCACAGCAGAGTCAAGCATGACGGGCTTGTGCGGTCGCTCTTCCTCGATGCGTTTAATGGCCGCATAGTGTCCGGGTCGTACGATCAGAGCATCCAAGTCAGCGATTATGAGACGGGCCGGACGTATGCGGTGTACAAGAACTGGACTACGAGTTGGATATTGAGCGCCAAGAGCGACTACAGGCGTGTTGTGGCTACGAGTCAGGATGGGCGGACGTTGATACTGGACTTTGGACACAACGTGCCTTTTGGTGAGCTGCTCGTGGGGTCCAAGTGAGTGTCTGAATGCTCGTTTTGGCCCTGAGCATCTTCCTACCTTGAGACGGCGCGATCGCCGCCCGCGACGAGATCTGGGACCTTTGAGTCCGCCGTCCTGCCACGCCCTGGCGACATGCCGCCGCCGCGTAGGCTCTCCGAAGAACTCGTATGGAAGACGCTGCGAGTTCGACACTTGGCTCGCCAGAAGAAACCTAGAGGCGGATAGTCCAGGTTGTCAGTTGTAGGATATCTTCTTGAGTCGTTGCACGAGTACCAGCTCCATCAAGATTCGGCGTTTTATTCTTTTTCAAGCGATTCTTTTCTGGCATAGCGGAACCATACCAATTCCTCTCTCTCATTCTCTCTCTCTCTTTTGTGGTTCTGATGTAAGAGTGTGTCATCATTTTTGGGTCGTCGTCCGTCAATAGACTTTCCTTTTTCTTGTTCATGGCTTTTTGGGGGGGATCAAAAGGGACTCTTTTATATATTCATATATATTCGCGTCTGTAGTCTATAGTTGGTTCGCTTCTGGCAGGCTGTGTTCTTTTACGCTGTCTCTATCTATCTAATTTTCAAAGGAATACATAATTTACCCTGCGATAATTAGATGGAATTTTGATCATGTGTATGTATATTTGTTGTGTGTAAGGTGAGATGGTGTCGTTGATGTATGTGTGAACTGCGAAGCTGTTATAGGGAATCTAATTTGGAGATAAAGTCTTCCAACTAATCTAATAGAGTTTTCTCTCGTTATTCTTCTCGTCTAGACAGATGCACAATGCTGCTATCAGCGCCATGTCGACTCCCGGCGCAACTTGCACGCCGTACGTTTGCTGCCCGAAGAAGATTTCCTTGCCCGTGAAGAGCTTGCGATTTACGCGTGCTACTACAATGCCTGTGATATGTTAGTTAGTAGGTAGTAATGAAGATGGAGGCTAGAGGTTAGATGTGGAAATGGGAGCCGGGAATAAGACTATGTGGATATAGAGTGGAGTAGAGTAAAAGTGGAGTATGGCAAACTGACCGCCCTGCGTCTCATCCGTGATATCAGCCGTGGTATCGAAGAAATTGCCCTTCATCCCGAGCGTTTCTGCCTTGCCGTCGTGCGAGGTGAACGTCGCTGTGGCCTTGCTGCCGATGACTATCAGTCTTTGTTAGCTACCAAAAAAACCAACACCCAATCCATCCATCCCACCTCCACACATATCAAAATCACTCAACCCTCCTCCTTCTACCGACGAACGTACATTTCCACGCATTCTTCACCTCAACCACTTTCCCCCCATCCACACTCTCCACCTTGAATGTAGTATGCACCGGATGGAACAGCTCCCGCCCAATACTAAATAGATGCCTGCCGCTCATATCGTAGACTTTTTTCTTTCCCGAAATCGACAGGACTTTGCCTTCGACTTTGAGAATCGGCGTCCCGTTGGCTAGCTTGATGTCGAAGCTGTCGCCGCTCAGGGAGAGGATCTTCTCCTTGAGCACGAGCGTTTCGCCCGCTGGGCTGGCGGCGAGGAATTGCGGGAATATGCCGATGGGGTGTGGGACGGGGGGGAGGGGGCCAGTCATTGTTGTTGTTGTTGCTGCTGCTGTATTTATGGTTGTGAGGTGGTTTTTAGTGGTGAGTATGAAGGTATGAAAGAGTACGCTTGACAGTAGCAAGGGAAGCCCAAGTTATAAGAATCAGACAGGACAGAAAAAGGTGATATGATTCAAAGGATTCCCGTCATAAGCGCGGCGACGAGCACCATCATCGTTTGGCTCCTTCACTGCCCGCTTCGTTCTAGCTGCGCGTTTGTCCTTCCGCTTCTGATCAGGTGGCCTCGTGCTTGCTACCACGGGCACGAAGCGTCGCTCCACTTTGCACCGTGGATCATCCCTACTACGCTGCTTGCCAACGGCATTGGCGGTATGCGATACGAGCTGAGAGAGGGTAGTAGCCATTCAATAAGCGTCAAGCTTCGTCAAGCTTCGTCAGAAAAGTGGGTTGGCAGGATGCGCTGACGCTAGAGACTGGACACCTAACGTTGCATGTGGATCTTAGAATGCCATGTTCAGTTCAAGATGGGTATAGCCGAAGGGAGCAGAGCACGTCATGCGACATGCAAGGAATGACGCTGAGGATGCAAGCAGGCAGAGCAAGCAAGGGAGAAAACAAGTAGTAAACAAAAAGAACTTTTTGACGATTCATAGATTAAAGCACTAGACTCCTCCCACTCCTGCTGACTGAGAGACATCTAGCCTCCTCCACCAACCAACCCAATACGTAACAAACATGGCGACCATATGCACAAACTGCGTCTCTACGCTCTACTGCTACAACAACAGCAGGCTTCGAGTGCGCGATATAGAAACAAAGTGTACACAAAGATCAGACCCCTCTTATTTTTCAAAAAGGGGTCCCTGGGTATGAAACACGCACCGCTTTCCAATCTCGCGTGCCGTGAAAAGAATAAAAAGAGGTTAGGAGAGAGTTTAACAAGACATTATTTTCCAGAGCCGCCGACGTAATGCGACTCAGACCAAGACACGTATGTGGTGAGTTTTAAGCCAAAATGCCAAGCGGCTCCAGGGGGGTATACAAGACGAAGCCACCCATAGATGCAATGCAGTTTGGAGAATGTAGGGCTGGCCTCTATGCACGTGCGAGCGCGTCGTTAGGAAGAAGAAAACGAAAAGAAACGCTGGAGCGACAGTAAGAAGAGTAGGAGAGATCATTCAGACGTTTTCCGTGAAGCGTGAGCTTCGCGACCCATCGGCGGAGTGGAGGCTCCTCCCTAGAGTGCATCGAGCTGGGTAGTTGAGGTTGGGTGATTGTGGTGGACTCAAGTGGGAGTGACTTGTCCCAAATGGAGGCGCATCGTCGGGGTGACGTATGACTGGTGTCCTTGCGGGGCTCGGTCTGATATTCATCGGCCCGGAACCACGAACATTGGAGGTTTCGTCAATCTCCTTGCCAAACTCTTTGGACATGCCCGGACTGCCGTAGGTGCCCTGGTCGTCCTGGTAGAAGGATGATTCAGACATGGCTCCTCCAGGCGAGAATTGTTCAGAGGTCATGCCTTCACTGAATGCAGACGGGAGCTTGCGTCCTGACACTCTCTGGAAACTTCGCTCGCCGCCGGTGGTGGAGGTATCTACCGTTGACCTCGACATTGCGGAAAAGCGGTGCAGGAAAGCAGCAGGCACGAGACTGCTGCTCGCGGGAGCTTGCCTCATGGCTTGTTGGTTATTGTCGGTGTGGTCATCACCAGTGAGTTGTAGAGCGCCACTGCGTTTCCGCTTGTGGCGTCGGATAAGGAGAAGTATTATGGCCAGGATGAGCGCAGCGCCAGCAAGACTGCCAACTATGCTACCGACAACTTGTGGCGTCTCAAGCGGGGGAGGGCTGCTAGGAGCACCAGCGCCAGCGAGAGCTGAGGTTGTTGTTGCCGCAGGGGGGGCAGATGGGTGTCCTGGGTCACCAACGCCGCCATAATATGAGGTTGCCGCGGCATCTGAAGTAGTTGATGTGCTGTCTGATGGTGCGGTTGTCGTTATTTCTGACGATGACGCCCCACTAGAGGGATCCAATGATTGAGGTGCAGAAAGAGCAGATTGTGAAGATGCTGGAGATGCGAAAGGCGGTGAGATGGAGAGCGAAAATGATGGTGAAGACAATGGCGAGACGCTACCCAGCGATGTGAATGATGATGATGTTGAAAAATGTGGTGATAAGCTGGCTATTGTGGAATTCGAGCTTGGGATGATTGTAGGATTGGGTACTGGAACGGGACTCGGGCTGATGCTGGATCCACTCGTTATAGCTGCTGAGCTGGCTGGGTGTGTGCTAGATGCTGCTCCCGCGGCGGAGACGCCTGACGGCCATGGGAACGCAGGAACCGATGGAACCACCAGGTCACTGGGGAATGGCGGTACAGACGGGACTGAGGGGAGGACTGGCGTCGGAGCTGGGGGCACTGCTGGTACTGTGGGTATTGCGGGTGCTGCCAGCACTGCAGGTCCCTCGGGCGCGGTAGGTACTGCCTGTGCTGTAGGTGTTGCTGGCACTGGTGGTGCTGGCGGTGCTGGCGGCGCAGAAGCTAGTCCTTGGGCGAGTACTGATTCTTGTGGAGGCGCTGACAATGGTGCGGCTGCTGCTATTGTGGGAGTCGCGTCATGTGGCGTCACCGTCTCTTGTGCAATTAGGTTTCCACTGGAATCGACATGAGCGATGACTTCTACAGTCACGACGTGGGTAACGCCCTGTGCGTGACGACGGTGGAAGATGCGATGATGGCTGCCCATCCTGAGTCGCTGCCTTTGGTCCTGGTGCAGACGCTCTCGGGCGGTATCCTCCTCTTTCTGGTTGACTCGGCTGTGTGCTCGATGGCGGAATCGCGAGTCGACTCGTGATATCCTAGATGGTGTGGCGGCAATGTCCATATGCGTTGGGAACGGGCAAGGCTATTGTGATGGATTTGCGGAACATGTGTTCAAAGGAGGGTTGCAAGTTGGTTTTTGGCAGTGGCAAAGCGATGGTAATGAATGGACGGGATGGCCTGGGGCGATGGACAGTCCAGTCAATGGAACACAGCAGAGGGTATGCGTGCGAGTGCAAGTGGGGAAATGAACGGACGCCAATGGAGTGGCAGTTGAAGGAGTGGTCTGGCAGGGAGACGATCAGCAAAGCAATTGGCGACGAGGGGCCAGGTGAGTAGCATGTAGAGGAATTGCGACGGCAGCAGCATACACACCTGAAGCTGTTCAATGGAGCGGCATTCGGGGCGCAAATAGGGTCGCCAGCGTGGGAGGATGGGTAGCCGGGGGTTATGGGAGACGGCAGAGGGCACAAATTGTGGTGCCGTCTGTGTCGTGTCGTGTCTCCTCCTGTGCGTGGTGGTGCAACGGGGCGGGTGGTTGATGGCGTGGTGGCCGGTTTGGGTCTTGTGTGCAGACGGGAATCTCTCACTTGACTCCCCACCAGAGCCTAGGCGCGCTGGAGAGATGGATTGTCGACGTCGCAGCGGAGTCGTGGTAGAGAGAGATGGGAGAGCACACACGGTCTGCAGCGAAGAGACGTGACAGTGACAAGACAAGACAAGAGCCTGGTCTGTCCACTGGTCCACTGGTCCATTGCTGGACTGGGACGGCCGTTGGGGGGCAGCACTAGCCCCGACCTAGTCGCCGCTGCGGGCGCTGATTGGCTGGCTAGCGAAATTCGGTGCTATCCAATCTGGCTGAAAATAGAAGGACCCACACATCACACACTGTCTTCGGGAGACACTGATCACCGAAGGATTTTATTTTTATTATTATTATTATTTTTATTATTATTATTACCATCATCATAATTAGGTTTATTGCTATTACTTTCCTCTTCCATCTGCGGGACATGTCCATCCAGCGTGCGGCTCCTGCTCCAGCTCTCGGGCCAGTCTTGGTGATGCTGGGTGGTAGTCGACGACGGTATGTGAGGCTGGCTACGTATGAGAGAGGGTCCGATTCGGCTAGGGGACTAGTGACAAGTGACACCATTAGTGACACCAAATGTGCATGTCTTGCCGTCCCGCCCTGCAGACGACCCCATCGAATCTCCAGTACAGTTCCCTTCCCCTTCAGCTGCAATCCACACATTCAGGAACCCCCTTCTGGAACCCTCGTCGACGGCTGAAAATCCTTCGTGGGCATCGTCGTCCTGTTATCGCCTGCTCGGCCGTCGCACACCCGAGTGCGCAAGACGTGTGGACGGGCGCGTGAAATGAGTTCCTCGTCTGCAATCTACCACCAGGCTGCTTCAGTCCACACGCGGCTCGTGTTCCTGGCACTGGGCGTATTGCCAAGGGCGTTCTGGATGCCATGTTTCGCTAGCACTAGGCTCGCCCGCCAGGGATCCCCCCAAACCATTACGACCCATGTGGGCCATGTCGTCGATTTCGTCGTTTCGTTTCTCTAGCTACAACGGCCAGAACTTCGGTTCACGTCGTGTTATATTACACTCCATGCAACACTTTACGGCTGTGAGCAGTGAAGATGGGGGCTTGGCACCTTCGATACATACCCCAGCCCCCCTAGTCTGCTTCAGTACCACCAGCGTCTCTATTGGCAATGCGCGAATGTGCACGTTTGTTTACCGCTGGAAAGATGCTTCCGAAGAAATTCCACGCGCTGACGACAAGGGATTTATTAAGCAAAGGTGATACACATTCTAGTAGTCGAGGTGCCGGCTGCGAGGTGCGCACGTACTCGCAAGGGTGCCTTCACGCGTTGCTACCCCACCTGCCCCTCCATCCGCGACAACAATCCACGCCAAGCTCTACAACTGGCGTTCTGCTTTCCATCTGATCGAATACACTTCCCCTCTGCATTTTGACCATGATATCAACTCCGTGATTCTCGCAGCAATGACGTCGCCACCAGATCGGGCCTCGGACCAGCTTCATCTCGCTGGAAATGGGCCGCCACCTCTCCCACCCAGAACTCCGCCCGCGAGTGAAGCCCCACCCCCATACTCGGCCATGGCCATGTCCTCCCATGACCCGCGCTCTTCCTCTACACAGTCCCTTGTTCCAGACCCCTCGTTGGAAGACACGGGCCGACGTCGGCTGCTCCTCGTGTACATTCATGGCTTCATGGGCAATGAGACAAGTTTCAGAAGTTTCCCGGCCCATGTCCACAATCTCGTAACCATTACTCTCGCCGACTCGCACGTCGTGCATACCAAGTTGTACCCGAGGTACCAATCTCGGAATGCCCTTCAAGTCGCCAGGGATGACTTCTCTAGATGGTCTAAGAAATTCCCTACACGTTATCAAGAGGCGCTAACGTTCATCAGGCTAGCTCCACACGAAGACCAATGGACTGATGTGATCCTACTTGGTCATTCCATGGGCGGTCTGCTCGCCGCAGATATTGCCTTGGTCTTCCGCCATCGCATCATCGGCATCATAAACTTTGATGTCCCGTTCCTCGGCATGCATCCTGGCATTGTCATGGCTGGACTGGGGAGCATCTTCAGCCCACCCCCGGCACCGCAGGATGCCACAGTTCCAGATGCCGAACCTTCAAAGAAGCCTAGCAGAATAGGCACCCTCTTCAACCCAAAGCCGTCAGATCCCAACTACAATCCGTCTTTTGCCAACGACGTTCAGCTACCCGTCCGAAAAGGCTGGGAGAACTCTCTACACTGGCTAACCAAACATTACTCCGACGGCTTGAGGCAAGCCACAAAGGGCCTGGTCAAATCTCACCTCGAGTTCGGCGGCGCCATGGCAGACTATCGAGAACTCAAAGATCGGTATGCCAAAGTACGAGCCTTGGAAGAGGACGACGAGAGGAAGCGAAAGTCGAATTATCCAGACGCACCCTTCGTGCCTCGGATACGTTTCGTCAACTACTACACCGCAAGTACGGGAAGGCCAAAGAAACCAAAATCGCCAAAGTCCTCATCCCCATCACGTCCAGCCAGCCGACAATCACAACATCGAGACAGTGACGCAGGTGCTCCCACCGCGCCTCGTCCGCCAGACGATCAGCAACCAGCTTCTCAAGGCAGGGACAGGAGCGTTTCAGTCGCGTCATCACAGCCTGAACTAACTCATATACATCCCGATCCTATTGTAGATACTCCTCGGGTTTCGATTGAAGTCCAAGAACATCGTGGTAATGAGGTCATACCAGCCAGCCTTGAAGAGCCTCTTTCTGCGACAAGTCCGGTGAAGAAGTCTATGACTCACGATTCTAAACAGGACGGCCCACCTAATCTCCCAGAAATCCCGCCTATACCCCAGGAACCGCCCTTCGTAGATTTGATGCAGTTTTCTGACAAAGTCCAACGTAAAACCGCGGAGAAAGAGCACGATCGAGCTCTCAAGGAGTACCAGAAGGCAGTCAAAGCGCGCAACAAGGTCATCAAAGAGCGGACCAAGTTGGAGGAGCGGTGGAAAAAGGACAAGGAGAAACCGGTAGAGTTGACACACAGTCAGAAAGAGGCAAAACGGTTAGAGGCAGAGGCAGAACGAATGCAAGCAGAAGCCAATCGGATGCAGGCAGGTTCAGACCGAAGACAAGAAAAAGCAGAACAGCGGCCAACCCCTTCAACACATCAAAAGGACGTACGAGTACCTTCGACCCCAATGGCGCTAGAAGAGGACCTCGGCACCATGCAGCTAGGGGATTCCAACTCTCATGCCCCCGGTGCAGACTACAACTTCTCACGCAACACCATCATGTCCCAAGCCCCACCAGACGACCGGGCCTCCATCACTGACTCCTCATACACACTCAGCACAATGGACAGCCAGAACAGCCACCAAGCGACCCCTACCCCTGACGGAGAGGATGGTCCGAAGAAACCTAAAAGGCTAAAGAAGTTCTGCATGCTGCCGCCGAAAGATGCGCAAGGGAACAAGGACCCTGCTTGGGTTCGTGTGTTGATGGAGGGCATGGATGAGGTGACAGCACATACGAGCTTGTTCTTTGTCAATGACACCTACGAGCGACTAGTCGGGGACGTGGGTGCGAGGCTCGAAGACTGGGTCCGAGAGGCAGACAGTGTTAGGTTGGTACGGGAGATGTCGGGTTTAACTTGAGTGGCTAGCTGCGCGTTGGATACCCATCGGCAACTGCCAATCGTTCTTTAGCTCCTCCAGTCGACCTTCATCAAATCAGATACCCTCGTCTCCATGTCAATATCAATGACCTATCCCTAATGCCCTCCTCCTCCACCAATCCACCACAACTCCCTGCCCACAAACGCCACACTAGCCGCCGCCCACCCCGCACTCAACACGCCCAGTATCCCCACCACCCTCTCACTCCCCCTCACCGCCTCATTAAACTTTTCCACAAACGGGATGCGCGTCTGATTCGCCTCGTTCCAGAAATTCGCCATGTGCACGCGCGCAAAATACGCAATCGCCGTATTCGCCAGCGACGCTACGATTACAACCCTCGGAGAAGAAGCGCCGTGTGAGCGCACGAGGAGCGTTGTGGACGTCAGGAGGGACAGGAGTAGCTATAATATAACAAAACATAGCACAAGTCAGTTTTCATAATGCTAATGGGAACCTGAGAGAGATCTCACCGTTAGTGTCCCGCTCGTCTGCGTCGTGCGCGTCTTGCGCAGCCGCTTTGCTGCCGTGTTGGACCATTCGGCTGCTTTCTCGCTCTGGCGCTCGTACTGCTGGAGGCGGGTTATGTTTTGGTACGAGAGGTATAGGCCGTATGTTGAGAGGGCTGAGACTGTGAGGAGGAGGAGTGGGGTTGTGGTTTTTTCCATGGTTGTGGTGGTGGAGGGTTTTCTCTCGTGTCGTACTGTGTGCACTTTAAAGGTGTACTAGATGGCAGAGAGTGCGATGGGATAGGTGTTTACTGGTGTTTAATTGTGGCGGTCGAGGTGTTTGGTGGAGTTAGTTTGATGAGGAGGGATCGACGTCATCGGTGCAGTTAGCGGGGGGTATCCTTGTTGTTTCGCTTAATGTGGACCAAGGGTTTAGGTTCAGCCCCACCCGGGTTCAAACGGCCTAGATCACGTTTTCCACGTGCTTTGCTAGTAGAGAGTTGAAGGTAAGCTTACTTAATAGTGAAAGCCCTCAATATCATTCATTTTACTGTACATGCTTACAATGCACGACCGCTGCGTACTTCCAATCCCACGGATCATCCTAAGCTCAACCGTCTTCTCACTTTGTTCTAACACCTTTCAAACCACGTGGTTCTCATAATCCTGCTCGCCGCTATTACCATCACTCTTCTTAGGTCGCTATCACCTTGATCCCGCATCAGAATTTACACTTAGCTATATTCGATCCCAAGATCAAACGCCCTCTGCCTGGCGACACGATCATGTCGTGCGAACAAAGTCACTCGAATACCGGCCGCCCTATATCTCCACCGCGGCATACAAGTCTTGAATGCCTTTTCTCAAACCATGCTCGAATTGCCACGTCAAGGCACCTCTGTACCCACTCTCTCTCACCCTCTTGAGCACCCATATCTCCAGCATACCAATCTTGTCACCCTGCGTTGCTCGACCTTCGAAGAATGCCAATGCGTCTTGAAAGCCGACGTTCCAGCCGTGTTGATACTTTTCAAATTCGTACGAACCATGAGGGTCGACGCGGCGCCAGTAAGTAACATGCTGCTGCACAGCCTTACGCATGCGTCTGTCTTTTTCATCCCGTGCTTTCTCTACAAACCAGCCCCTCTCTTCCAGTGATAGTTGAGTGTACGGGGGTGGTACGATGTTACCCGCATCCGATTGTGCCGTGAAGCCCCACTCGCCGCCGGGCATCCAGTCCATCTTGTATGTCCAGAAGAAGCTTCCACCCGCCCGCTGCTGGTATCTCTTACTCTGCGCTTCACCAAACTGTTCCACGAGCTCCTCTTTGGGAGTACCGCCAGATTTAGCCCACGAGTCCTCCGTCAGTACACAAGAGTACTCGCCAACGATGACTTGGACCGCGCCACGATCGAGGACCGAGCCTTCCTTACCATCGAGTTCAGCAAGCTTGGTGTGAACCTCCCAAATGACTTGCTGTGGAGACTTCTTCTTATCATCATCTGTGAAAGCCCAGTAGTAATGCGTATCGATAACCACTGGGCTTGTCGGCTGATCGACGTTTACCGAGTTCTTTTGCAATGTGTAGTCGATAGCTTTCCTGAAGTTCCAACCGTCGGAGATGAATATAGGGATGCTAGCATCGATATCTGAGATGGCATCGATGCACTCATCGTACCACTCGTACATGCCTTCGGCTTCCCACAATGCTTCGTTGACGAGCTGGATACCGGCGATTTCGGACCCTGTCGTGGCGTCTTCAGCGAGGAATTGACAGCAACGAACGCCTAAATCACGGTTCGAGGAACTATTCCAAAACTCTGCGCGTCCGCTATTGGTTCCGGAATGTTCTTGCGCATTGGCGCCTCCGGGTAGGGCATGCAAATCGAGCAGGACACCGATGGAGTGTGCTCGCAAACGGGAAATCAGGGTGCGGATATTGTTCCATGCTCCTTCGTACACGCGAGCATAAGGTTCGAATGGCGTATCTTGAGTGAACTCGGCGCCAGGAAGATCGAAGTAGCCGATCGGTAGGCGGATAGTCGTGCACTTGGCCTCATCTACGAGCCATTGTATGTCATCTTCTGACAACGCATTCGTCCAGTCCTCTTCAAACTTCTGTTTGGTAGCTTCAATGCCGATCCTGTCGACCCACGCCTTGACAGCCGCCAACTCACTCGATCCCTCAGCGCCATCAGGGAAGCGAGATGGTTGGAGCCAGCGTTCGATGACGTATATAGAGCCAAGATTGGTGGCGTGATGGTAGCGATAGCGGAGGATGTCTAAAGGTGTTGGATCGTGGATTGTCTGAGCTTGTACATTCTCCGAATCCGAACAGACGAATTGTTCATCTGGCGGATCATAGTATTGCCCTTGCGAATGACCATTACCAAAGTGACGCCCTGGGAAGCCGATTGTGTCGCGTTGGGTCTTGCCCCTCAGCTCAGCTTTCGCCTTCTGAAGAAAACCTTTCATGGTGGACAAGCTGCAGAGCATTAGAAACATGGCAAGGGAACGCATAGTCATGAGTTACTTGCGGACTATCCTTGCGCTGCCAGCGCTATTACAGGGGCGGGTAGCCTATAAGTCAACGATCTACTGTGGATCTTGTTAGTTGTCACCGAGACCTGGGTTGTCTGGAATGTAAACAGCCGATCTACGATGATAATGGAGCGTGCCTGGACACGTTGGGAAGATGCGGACCTAGGAATCATGCATAAATCGGAAGATGACGTAATCCAGGGATTGCTGATGTGTGTAGTTGGTGAATCTGCTTGCATCAAAAGTGCACGAATATCGCGGTGCGGTTTAGGAGGTAGTCTTGACTGTGAGACACATTCTTGAGGCTGGTCTGCTACGGGACGAATAAGCTAATGTTCAAAAACGCCGAAGCGCTCAATCTCGACGTTTATGAGGAGTTTCTATGGATTGTTATCGGCTTCCAGATTTGACATGGGGCATTTGCAGATTCCGAGTGAGCCGCAACGGATGCCAGGAGTCGTTAAAGCTTGTTGCAGAGCTGATTTGCTACGTGTGCGTGCGGGCCGTAGGACGACACCAGATCCCCTTAATCGATAAGAGTCGACAATAGGATCGTGCAGGAAGATCAGCCTGTGGAGACGGGTGTGGAGGAAAAAGCAGTGTTGACAGGCCTGTGGCCAAGCGGACCCTGGCCTGGCGGGCTCCACCGAGCGCGTCCGAAGGTGGGTGGTCATAGCCACTGCCACTTCCCAACCACGACGCGACATTCAAATTCTCGACAACATTCAGTTGCCATTCCTCTTCACGCCTGTCTTTCCTGACACTCAGAGAGACAGTGTGAGAAATACACATTCTTAGTACTCAACCCTCATCGGCCGCCGTACCGTCGCAATCGCCGCGCACTAACCGTCTCAACTCAACGCGTCTCAAGATTCGATAGATCGCAGCAACAACAAGAGCGCCACAAGTTCGCATAGGATCGGTATGGCGACTCACCATAGCCCCTCAAAGACACCCTCGCGACGCGTGCTTGGTGATCTCACGCCAAAATCGATAAACACGCCATTGAGCCAAACAAAGGGCTTCGAACCATCTGAAGTGACTCGCGCTCAAAGCCCTCGCAAGCACGCCACCACACACGCTCCGACTGCTTTGGCTGGCAAGGAGAACCTCGCTACGCTCAGCGAGTATTCGAGGGGCACGAAGAGGGGTATACAGGAGGTTGACGGCGCGGAAACAGCAGAGAACCTGAAGATGCTCGCCCGAGGACGCGATGAGACTCTATCCCACATAGGCATGCGTCTGACTAGCGCCGCTATGATGAGACACACAGTAGGCTGCACGAACGCCGACGCGTCTTCTCATCACTAACATATATAAGGAAAACAACCCCATAGGCCTTGCAGACCCAGGATCACCCACCGAACGCAATACACCCACACCTGAGCCTGAGCCCATGCAAGACTCTCAGAGGAGCAACCAGTCCTTCTCTGATCTACTCAACTACGATCTGTGCGCGAGCCAGAAAAGCGAACAGGGAGTGCCAGCGGAAGCAGCAGTACTCACAGCCATGCCAATGGCAGTGTTAGCTCCCTCATCTAACGAGGAGCGAAAGTCGCGAGCTGAACAGCTACGCACGCGTCTTAAATTCGGACTTTATAAAGTCAAGACGAACCAAATCAGCAAGCGCGATGTGGACATCATATCAACATTCGAGGCTAGCACATCGCACTCGTCAGGCGCGCTCAACGCGTCTCGCTCAACAGTCATGAACGAGTCTATCGGCTCTCACCAAGTACCGAACATCACCATATCGTCACCCCGCCGCGAACAAGGGCCCGTTTTTGTCAAAGCGAATCTCGATCCCTTCCGCCCCATTGGGAAGCTTGGAGCCGCACCAATTCAGTTCCTACCTCCACAAGACGGCATGTCCGCATCATCGCGGACGATCTACGGCCAAGATTTCTCCTCGTCACCCCCAGGCGCCATCCTACCTCAGTCGGTGTCGCCGGCTCAGCTCATGTCACCTGTCAGGCGGAACGCGCATTACGGAACGCCTACTGTGAGCCGGATACGAATGGGAGAACACGATGGTGAGGACATTGAGGCCAGGGATATGACGCCGCATCAGCGATTGCAACGGCTGAAAGAGCAGAACTACCTGGAAGGCGACCTGACGAGCAGTGCTGTGAAGGGTAATGCTGCCAAGGGGCTACTCCAGCTCATGAACGGGAGGCGGTAGCAAAAGTACGACACGAAGAATGTGTGCGTCACGGACTTCCTGTCAGCCTCTCTTACTCACATTGGGGTCTTGAACATACTAGTCTTTACGATTTACGGCCTTTGGAGCGTCAAACTATCCATTCAGACATATTGCCAATGTCTCTCACCTCATTGATAACTGCCTCCAAAATTCACACTACCATCCAATTGCATCAGCATAGCCAATCGTGAACATAGGTGGACTGCAATGCCAATTTGGTGCGTGGATCCCCGCCTTTTGCCATTGATCAGCTTTCCATTGTTTCGTTCGCAACCTTCCCAGGATGCAGCTCACAGTCTCCAGCGCGCTCAGTGTTCTGCATCCGTTGTGACTGGTATTGCACTGTCTGACGTAGGCCGTGGAATCCACCAATGCCGCCCAGGAGGCATCGATCGCCACAATTGCACCCTGAGTCCTCTAAATCCACAGAAACCGTAGTCAGGTATTGACCGGTATAATGTTCTCCTGCGGACCTCTTTCCATTGCCGCGCTATTCTCGAAGGCCGATTACTTGTTGTTTAGCGCATGTGACTCACCCACTACTCACTAACTTACGACTCGTGACTCACCACTCCGTGGATGGCATTTAGATCCGCGGAGTGGGACATAGCCGTGATGGCATGGGAGAATGTTAACCTCCATATATGCAGTCAAGGGCGTCACCCACCCCGCTGATCATTACTGCATCTCAACCCTTTAGGCGTTCTATGGCTCATGCCAAGGCTATGTGGCAGGCCTCACAAGCAACAGCATGCAAGTATTTAAACGTGCACTACGTACTACATCCGATAACTGGCAGCTTCTCTGAAACGTGAGTTTTATTTAATATAGCGAGCTCCCTTGAAGCCCTTTCGTTTTACAACTTCGCCACCATGTCAGCTATGCCGGCTCAACAGAGTAACAACCTTGCGCCTCCAGGCACCTTGTCTTCCATCCACAGAGTCTACGAGGACCCTTTTCGACCCAACAAGTGGACGACCACCTCCCCGGAGAGAGCCGGTCCAATTGTTGAAGACGCAGAAACTGCTCAACACGCCCTTGTCGCAAGATACACGCTCTCGGACAACCCCGCCAAAGAGCTCGACCTTCATTCTATCGTTGTGCAAAGCCCTTCTCTGAAGAAAGTGCTGGCTCGAGTTCTGGATGGCTACCCCGGCATCACCCTCGAGCTCGATCGTCTCGAGTTCAACGCACCTTTTGAGTGTTTTATTCATCGATGGGAGAAGCTAATGGCTGTGCGCGAGGAGTTGACCATCGTTGGCGAATGCAACCAATTTGTTGACGCAGAAAACCATGGAATGATGGTATCCCACTTGGAAATGCTTCACTCGACACTGAGCACTGAGCTAGCATCTACCCTGCGTACGAAGCACGATCTTCTGAAGAATGGCGTGATAACGCCTTTACACGTTTGGATGATCTTTGAGCCTGGATGCCTCCTTTACACAAAGAACGATGGACACGATCGCGTCTACAAGTTGCAGTCCGCGAAGTGGGAGACCCAGAATAAAAGGAAACTGTACAGACTCGACTGCGAGTTCGTCGACTACGACGGTGTCGGTTTCGGGATGAACAAGGAGACGCTGAACGTCACCGCGTGGAAAGGCACGAAGAAGATCACAAAACTAGAAGCATTCCCCTACAGGTTCCACGACGATCTAGACATTCTGCAAACCCGACTGACGGAACGTGGGAGGAAATTTGAAGCCTACAAAGGCTTTCATTTTGTTGCGTACAAAGGTGTTGCCATTGGCAAAGCGAGTCGCGGGGAGGCGAAGTTCGACGTTAACAGCCGTATTGTCATCGACTCGGCAGCCAGTATGCGCTACAATACCAAGATTCCGTTAGATTATTTCGAGACAGACAGCTTTGCGGATGCTCCCCATCTCACAGGCAGCGACGAAGATACCGACGAAGACTGCGTGGTTCTCGGAGAAACCGACAGTACCATTCGTACCGAAAGCGGGAAGAGGCCATCCCCTAATGGCACCACAAAGTCCGTCCTTACTACTGAACAACTCCTCCTCACGGACGCAAAGCTCCGCGGCTACTCTCTCCGCGACAAGAAGTGGATGTCTTTCTACATTGACAACGTCCAGGACATCAAATGGCAAGACGACGCGTTTGACTCTCTTGTTGCTCCCCAAGAACAAAAGGACCTCATTCTCGCCTTTTCTGAATCTCAGGCTAAGAACCGTACCTCCTTTGACGACTTTATCCAAGGCAAAGGCAAAGGCATCATTTTGCTCTTGTCCGGTCCTCCAGGTGTGGGCAAGACGCTTACAGCCGAAAGTGTAGCAGAATGCATGAAGGTTCCGCTGTACAGCATTGGGGCCGCTGAGTTGGGCTCGAAGCCTAATGTGTTGGAGAAGAAATTGGAGGACATCTTGGTGATGTGCGCAAAGTGGAATGCTGGTATGCCTTCAACGTCTCTGCAAATAGTCTGTGAGGCCTCGATGACTGACTGCCTGTAGTACTACTGTTGGACGAGGCAGATGTCTTTATGGAAGCTCGAAGCACCCAAGACCTCGATCGCAACAAGCTTGTAGCCATCTTCCTCCGGCTCTTGGAGTACTTCGAAGGCCTCATGTTTCTAACCACCAACGTACGTGCCAAAATTTCCTCATTTCTGTCATTCCCACCGATAATGATCCTAATTTGCCCAGCGCCTTGAACACATGGACGCTGCTTTTGAGTCCCGCATCCACCTTACCCTCAACTACGCTGAGCTCGACAAGCCGTCTCGTCGCCAAGTCTGGTCGAAGTTTCTCACTCGAAGCTCACAGGCTGCACACATGGATAGCTTTGCTGAAGCGGATGTGGATAGGTTGGCGAAAGTCCAGTTGAATGGTCGACAGATCAAGAATGTGATTAAGACGGCGCAGTTGCTTGCTGCGAGGTATGACGAGTGTTTGGGAATGACTCACTTGGATACAGTGTTGAAGCTGAGGAAAGCAAATGAAAAGAAGGTGGGCTTCTTTGGAGGTGAATAAGTGCTCGTTCTCCTTCGCGAATGTTGCTTGGCCAGCATGTGGAGTAGATATGCTATACGCAAGCATCATAACACGTCTTGCCGTTTCTACCTCCAGGAATAAACCTTCTTTATCGCTCTCTGACCATTTCTGTTATCACGCTGTCATCTGCGGCTAGTTTATCAAAGTTTGCCAAACCGAAATTACCATCCCACTGCTTGCTGCACGTCACACCCACATTGTCAAACGTGGCCCGCAACACGATATATACAGCTGCACTGCCTTAAGAGTCACGTCACAAATTTTCTCAGAAAGTAAGTGCTTATCTCTGTTCTGTAATTTGCAATCCATGATGAAACCTATAAACAAGGTCTACATATTCGCCCGAGGTAGTCTCGCTGGCTTCAAACACATCGTAACTAACCTAGACGCACATTGGAAAACAGCGCCATTTGATACTCAAAATGGCCCAAGGCCTAGCTGGGGTAGCATATAGAGATGAACGGTCCCAAGCAAACTGTAGCTCGCTGACTCGACTGTAAGCATCTCAACGACTGTGCAAAATCGCCGCCTCATCTGCCGTGATGGTTAGAAGACCCAAACTCTTGCCTTCCATCTTCTGCTTCAGTGACTATGTAACTGCTTGCTTCTGAGCCAAACGCACTTTCTTTTCAGCTTGGTTCGTCTCCCATCGCTGGCGCCGCTCCGCTTTTATGGCCCCCCACTTCTGCTTCGCTATACCGGAGAAGTAAGCATCGGCGGACTCCATCGCCTTCTTTAGCTTGGGATGCTTCTCCAGGAAGGCTGCGAACTCCCTCGGATCCGGCATGAGGCCTTTGAAACGATCGTGGCAGAGGTGGTTCACCATATTAGTCCACAGCGGGTCTTTCTCTGAGGTAGTATTCTGTTCGACGGCTACTATCTCATCGTAGCTAGGAAGGTGAGATTTCAAGTAGCTGATATGCCCGGTAAGGATGTCCCTGGTATAGCGCTCCATACCTAGAAAACGAGATGCACGTAGCAGAGCTATATTTCCATCGAAGGTCTCCTGCACAGGAACAGCGTAGGCCTCGAATTCCCTGCACATCGGTTCCATCCAGGTAACGAGGAGCAGCTGAATAGCATCAGGATCCATGTAGCCTGTGGAGAAGCGGCACTCCAGCAGCTCAGGATGCTTTGTGAAGTGCTTGTTCAGCACAGACGACGCGGCCATAGCTGCGCGCTTAGATATTCCCGTAATCGCGATCTCTCCAACGTAGATCGTTATTTGAGGGCCTTCTAAGAGACATTGGCGCTCTTGACGGATCATTACAAGGAGGTTATCAGAACTCTGTTCTCTTATAGGGCTAGGTGATGATGGGAGAGGCTTCGCTGATGAAGAATTTGGCTGGGGCGACAAACCTGTAGTCTCGATCGCAGGCGTAGCTGATCCCGCGAAAGAAGGAGACATTGAAGTGTTTGCATGCGAAACCGCTGGCAGAGTAATCGTCTCTGGTAGGATGGGCGGAGCGGCTAGGACGTCCACTTCCAGGGGCACTTCAGTCACTACCGAGGGGCCCTTCTCGTCCTTAGTTGGGTCGCACACGTCCACAGAGAGCTTAGTCGTAGGGTTCTCTGCCTCTACAGGAGTTGATGACGCCACATTAGCCCATGAGGCCCTTGCCTGGGGGATCTGGGGAAGCTGGGATGTCAATATATTCGGGAAGTCAGAACTTTTCGGAATAATCTGTGCCTTCGCCTCTGCTTTCGTCAAGGAAAGCTCATTATGCGACGGGGCAGTAGCTTTAGGAGCAGTCAGCGGAAACTTGCAGACATCAACCCATGAGCTTGAAGTATTTGAAGTAGCACGAGAGCCCTCAACTGACTTGGCCGCCAGCTTTGGAGACGGAAGAGACATCTTGTCGTTGCCGAGGACTAGCTTCTTGCACTCGCGACCCTGATCCCGAGCCTGATGTGTATCTTCATGAGTCTGAAGCGCATCGAACTGATTTTGACAGGTCCGAGGAGACGAGGGAGGTAACGAAGTGGGCTTCTGGGAGCCAGGCTCGACTTTCTTGGTAGCCGACACGACCGTCCACCCATTTTCGTCTACCTGAGGCTTTGCTTTCGGGCTTCGCATTTTGTGCTCACCCTTCGAGGAGTTCGCAGACGGTACGTTGTGGGGATGTCGCTGCACGAACTTGGAAGTATCGTGGCCAAGTTCATTGGTCTCGCTGTTTTATGTTAGATGGTAACGGCACTCTAATGGCTTTGATAGCACCTACGACCTGGTAGGAGCAGAACTGGACGTAATATTTGGCGCCATTATTGCAGATAGGCTGGGATCCACGGAATATTCCTCGGTGTGGGTAACTAGAGCTACTCTCAGTGGCGCCCACAAACGTGCTAGATCTATTGGAGCTGTTAGCAAATGATCCCGGGAAGTAACTCGTGACCCACTTGGATAGATTGCATGGGCTTGAGTAGAGATGTATATACGGACAAGAGTTCAAGAGAGCTATGCTCTTGTGTCACGTTCACGAGGAACGAGAATCCCGAAGGAGCGGTCGCTGGAATTGTCGAACGCTTGGGCTGCTACAAGGAAGCAATGTAGTGAGGGTTGTGGTGTTGCTGGTAGTGGCCGAGCAAGCAATTTCCAACAAGGATGCATAATTATGTGTGTTGATGTTCGCGTTTGTTTACATGCAAACTGGGAAGGAGCACCTACCCACGTGACCGCTCGCCGCGCTCGGTGCGATGAAGCGGCGAGAGAATATGAAATGTCGAGAACGAAAATGCTGCCATATGAACTAGATCGAGACCTACGACTTGCATTGCGACGTGTGTATGTGTCTTGCCACGGTCAGCCTCTGGTGACTTCTGGTGCAATAGGTCGCTATTTTTATGCGTACAACAGTCGCGCATCCACCGCGAACAAACTAATTATTCGTCCCAGTATGTCCAGAACTAACTCTTACTAAAACTCGGATGAAACCAGAGGGGGACCACACGGAGTGCAACTCCAACTCGCAGACTGGGTGTGCTCCGTTCACTGCTAGGATTTCCCATGGTCAAACAATCTCGACAAATGCATAGTACCTCAGCGCGGAGATGCAGAAATGATGAGGATTAGATGTAGTGAGCCTCTGAAGATTTGGGGCGACGGAGAAATGATGTCATGACGCGATGTGAGTAAGTCTCATCAGGCTCATTCTGCATCTCCCTTTCACGACACGCGCACCTTGCAAGGTACCAGTTCAGCGATTGTTTAGACCGACTTCAACTACAGGCGACGGGAAACCGACAATGTGAGGAGCCAATAGAATGTACAGAATCGCGCGACCGCGACCAGAGCATTTACTATGTACCGTATATGTAGACTGGGGATTTGCGTTAGTAATTCCCAATCTACTGAATCAATTCGACATTGACCAACATCTAGATCGGGTACCTGAAACCCTTCTGGAGCTGCCTCGCCTCCGCGACCGAGATACCCTCCGTTTCCGCTGTGCGCTGCAGTCTGATCATCTCTTTCTCCGATAACTCCATGTTCTCATTCTCAAGACTAGCCAGCCTGTTGTTCTCCCTGATGAGAAGAAACCTTAACAGGATCAGGAGAAGTGCTGCAATGACCATCAAGCCTGCGCATATGCCGATACCAGTGTAAAAATACGGCCTCTCATTGTCAAGATAGGTATAGGGCGTCCAGATTGTTACCGAGTTGCCCAGTGAATTGATCAAGGCATACGCAGCCGCACGCTTCGCGGGAGGCCTTGTCAAAATACCAGAGATCCAGGAAAAGATCGTTCCGTTCATAGTCATAAGGAACATCATCAAGAAGAATGAGAAATACTTCGGTCCAAAGGCGTCGGTTGTCATGAAGAGGACAAAGCCGGTGATTGCAGGGACGATCGGGTAGATTGCGAACCAGAATCGTGTCTCATAACGGTCGCTAACAATGCCGTGGCAATAACTCCAGATCGTCATGAAGACATGTGGTGGCGCAACCAGTAGTAATGAGATGAAGCGGCTATATCCTAATGAGCGAGCGAGCGTTGGGAAGTAGTAACCGAAGCCTTGTGCGCCGGTGAGGCACATGTATATGCCGACAAAGAGCCAAGTCTTGACATCTGTGAGAGCGAGTTTTAGGCCCTTGAGCTGCGACATTGCGCCCTCTTCATCAACATCGGCATCGGCAGCTTCAAGAGCAAGACGTCGATTGGCTAGGGACAGGTTAGACGAGGGTCCATCATGTAACACAACTGCAAAAGATTCACATACCGACATGCTTCTGCTCAGCAGTGAGACTCTTCCAGGTCTGCGGGAAATCTGGCAGATAGAGGCACACGACGATGCCCATGGCGACGGTGATTACACCCTCGATGATATACATCCATCTCCACGCAGACATGCCGAGTTTACCATCCATACCATTCAGAATACCAGCTGCGATCAGATTCCCAAAAGCACCCGCAATCAACGCACCTGAGTAGAAGATACTCATGCGCAAGTTCATCTCTTTCTTTGTGTACCACTTCGACAGGTAGAACAGTACACCTGGGAAGAAAGGGGCCTCTGCATGATAACGTCAGCACGTTTCCGTGGCTCAAACACACGTTGTGTACGTACCAACAATACCGAGAAAGAAGCGACATGCAACGATTCCGGAAAAGCTTTTGGTCAAAGATGTCAACGCGCTTACGAGACCCCAGGCAATTGTGAAGAAGCCGAGATACCACGACGGGCGACCAAAGTAATTCAGCATCATGTTCGATGGAATCTGACCAAGAATGTAACCGACGAAGAGGATGGACAGTCCTGTTTGGTATTGCTGGAGCGTCATACCGAGATCTTTCTCCAACCCCGCCAAGCGTGCAGAGGCGTAATTATTTCTACGAAGTAGTGTTAGCAAGCACCGCACAGAGACGAGATGCAAGAGAGAAGGGACGCACCTATCAATCCAGTTCAAAAGGTACACGGTCAAGATGATGGGCATTATGATGAAGTCGATCTTGCGAACCAGCTTCTTCTCTACTATGCGCTCCTCCTCGGTGAGCTCATAAGCGGCTCGATTCTCTGCATCTTCCACGATGTCTAGCTTCTGGATATCCTTATCGGTGAATTTGACCTCCCCCATGCTGAGCTGAAGGTGGGAATATAATCTGGAGTATATGTGGGTTGACTTGCAGTGGGGGTGTTGATAGGACACTAATACTTGGAGAATCAGACGTTTATGTTGACCACAACATCGGCGAACTCACCGACAGGATTACCGCAACAGCGCCAGCGTCAGCCGATACCAAGCAAATCCTGAGATATTTCAGCGAGTAATAGCAAGCTGCCAAGCCATTTATCCACGAGTCAGTACCTGCTTGAGCCACCACGTTCAATTTAGCGTTGCGGAGAAATGCGGGGTTCAACCGCATTCGCTGTGACCCAATTGCTCGGTCTCAGTGCCGCTCCACGCTTCTTCGGAACATGAGATCCGTACGTACGGTCGTGCTACTATGCTGGTCGGCCAGCCCGCCGATGGGGGCCTGATATCAGCCAAGTAATAACCTAGGACGACACTGTTTCTGCGATACGCTCTTACTCACGGCAATTCACAATGACTACTCATACGAACTCCAAAGATGCATCCATCAGTGTCTTCTCATCCCACCGTCTCAACCCAATAAATCGCAAGATCTACAGTGGCTTCACAGAGTACGTAGCTCGTCAATCCTACCCTGAAGCACGATAGCCATCCCGGACCTTGCATACTATCAACTAGGAATCACTCACCACGCTCAGGCCTTTTCAGCTAATATCCGCATAATATCAAAGTCCTCCACGCCCCTTAATCTCATTCTTCAAGTGTTTGGACAACAGCTGACCAGTACTAGGCACATGGGAAGGTAACAGCACAAGTCTACTTTCCTAATTGTACTTACCAGGATCAGATGCATCTATGGCGGTATATACGACCCGGAGAACCCCAATAAGGCCCTCATCACACCCCAGGGCTTCCGCAAAGATGTCATCGATGCACTCAAGCCCCTCAACATCCCCGTATTCCGCTACCCTGGCGGTAATTTCTGCGCAACTTACCATTGGGAGGATGGCGTTGGACCACGTGATAAACGGCGCAAGCGGCCAGACTTGGCTTGGGGGGCGCTCGAGCCGAATTCCTTCGGCACGGATGAGTTCATGCAATGGTGCAAGGAACTAGATACGGAACCGTACTTGTGTTTGAATTTCGGCACTGGCACGCTTGATGAAGCGATGGCGTGGGTTGAGTATTGCAATGGCACCGAAGACACGCATTATGCAAACTTGCGTCGTCAGAACGGAAATCAGGAGCCGTACAACGTCAAATATTGGGCACTTGGGAATGAGGTTTGGGGAGACTGGCAGGTATTTTTCATGTTCGAAGCATACGAGACGTGGACTGACTTTATACCTTTACCTATTAGGTCGAGCAGATGACGGACACCGCGTATGCTGAGCGCGCTTTGCAGTGGGCCAAAGCGTTAAAGTACCTAGACCCCAACATCGAACTGATACTTTGTGGTCGTGAAGGTCCGACCACCTGGGACTACACCGTGTTGAAGCACTGCATCCGCGCAAGAGGCAACGATCCCGTCGGCCAGCCACGCCTCCAGTTGATTGACATGCACTCGATCCATCTGTATACAGCATCCGAGAACCATTACGAGAACGTGTACGCTCCCTTAACGGCCGAGCGTGCCATCGAGGTTGCGTCCGCCCTGATTGACCTCACATACTACGAACAGAAGATCCCAGCCACCCAGAAGCGCCCCAAGATCTGCTTCGATGAGTGGAACGTGTGGTGGTCGAAACGTGCGCCAGGCTGGCTTGGTGCGGAAGAGAAATACACGTTGAGCGACGCACTGGCGGTCGCTGTGTGGCTGAACGTGTTCATACGTAAAAGCGCAGATGTTGAGATGGCGAATATTGCGCAGAGCGTAAATGTCATTTCACCACTCATGACGACGGAAGATGGCATCATCAAACAAACCTCATGGTATCCCTACGAGCTTTTCTGTCGCTATATGTCTGGTTCTCTCATCTCGGTGCACCTTGCATGCGAAGAGTACGATGGGCCTACGAAGCTGGAATTTACGCGCGTCACAAAGAAGACGCCGTGGTTGGATGTCAGCGCGACGTTCGATGGTGAGCACGTCAACCTGGCAGTTGTGAACGTGCATGAGGAGAAGGATTTTGAGACAAGAATCAACGGGGTCAAAGGAAGTGTGCAGGTTTTTGTTGTTTCAGGCGAGAATGTGGATGTTACGAACATGGGAGGTAAAGAGGAGGTGGCTATCAAGGAGGAGATGTGGGATGGGAAGGGACTGTATACTTTTCCAAAGCACAGTTTCACGTTGTTGCGGTGGAAAGCATGATTTGGCTTGAACAGTACCTCTAGGTTGATATTATGCCCTCAGTACTTGGAACGTCGCTCATCTGCTCGGAGAAGAATGACCGTTGAAACTCTGTTGTGGTCCTCCATGGATGCCGACACAATCTGTACCATTTATGATAAGCTTATGAACGCCACGTAGACTCCATGCCGAAATTTGTAAGGCCTCATCGCAGCCATCACTTGCCAAACCTAGAAGTCCCTCGTGACAGAGTTGATGAAAGGCCCTGGAGAACCTTGGCTGTGGTTGCCCACTATGTGTTCTAACAGGTCGATGCGAACCTCCATAACAAGTGACTGCATCAACTCAGTCGCGGTTGTGGATACAGCGCCAGCAATTAGCAGTATTACAACCGTTACAGCGCATGATCCAAGGAAGCCAATCTGCGCCACAGCCTTGACAATCTGGTCCGTCGTCGACACGCTGCCAATAGTGGACGTGAATAATGCGTGCAGGCGCCGGAGTAGGAACACGGGCCTGGACTGGAGTGACGGGAGCAACTGGAATAGGGCGAGTAAGGTAGTTCTCATCCCACTGCGGACAAGTGCACGTCTTCCATTTCACGCCACAGAGGTAGCAGAACTCGTGAGAGCAACGACACCTACTCTAGTAAGTACCAAGTATGTAAAAAAGAGAGAACATGACTCACCTCATATGAAAGCATCCTTGGGCCAGCTCAATCATAGTCTTGCATTTTGTGCACTGCTGCCACTTTCCTCGCCTCGCAACATCCATGAGGAGCTGCACGTGCGGATCGCTGGGACAGAGACCTTGGTGCCCCTTGAGCTTGCAACGTACACATGTCTTCTCCTTGCAGTAGACACAACTTGCTATATCAGCCTTGATATTGTTGGGGTGAATGAACTTCGAGCAGTCCGAACTTGAACAATATGTCGGATTTGGAGTCGCGAGTTCTTCGACCTTCGAGTCAAAGTCTTTGATAAGCTTCTCTGGTAGAATCGCGCGGCAGATGTCGAGCGGGATCGGTGTTTTGCAGCACCGAGGAGGGAATAGTGTGGTGTTGACTATGGCACTCGTAAAGAGGTCGACGAGGCAAGGGCGACAGTACGTATGCTTGTCGGGTCGGCACTCGAGAGTGAGTGTGTTCTTACGAGGTACCAATTCAATGCAAGCATGGCATTTTGTGACTTCCTTAGAGTCGGGTTGGGTATTGCTTAGAAGTGCTTGGTCTTCGACGTCGAGATCGAAAGCTGTCGCATAGAGTTCCTTCGCCATGTCCCACTGTGCATCGCTACCGCAATCGGACTCGTGGAAAAGGGATGCCTCGTAGTCAGCACAGCGCTTGACATTTGGTTCATTGGTCGCTAAACCTGCCAGTCGCATGGCTAGTTGATGATCGGTAATTGCACGCCTCTCTTCCTCTAGAAGTCTTGAGAAGGCCACGCGATTATCATGGTCTTCTTTGAGGATTTTGAGTGTGAGTACCTGGCCCTCTAGAACCTGAAGCTGGCTCTGTAACTCTTGCCGCATTATTTGGAAGCCTAGACGAGCATCGCCGTCGGGGAGATCGTCGTTGTAGATGTTGTTGAGCAGATCGTCTATGTCGGCAAGCTGTAGCTCGACAGCAATCTTGGCCGATTCTGGATCCATCGAGGTAACGCCCATCGTGGTAGTTGAGGTGGTGTTGAATGAGAGGAGAAGTTGTAATTCAGCTGGGGAAGTTCCCCGCGGTGGCTCATACTCCCGTTTGCGCCTTACTGATTGCCGATTGCCGAAGGTGAGGTGAAAGTGAAGGTGAAGGTAAAAAACCATTCTAGCCTTTGCTAGGGGCCGCAATATTCTAGGACAAGCAACAGAATATCTAGAAATTAATGCTCGCAAGATCGCAAGTGCTCTCAACCATCCCCGCTGGCACCACGGTTGATCGAGGGGATCCTAGTCGAAGAGATATACATGACTAAAGTGAGCTCAGTTTGATAAGACGCATCTCGTAGATTGAAGCAAGCTAAACCACTAGTAAACCTGGCTTGCTGAATCGACAATACGTGAGCCCTTTCCACACACATATCAGCCGTCTGCTTGGGAAATCCCATGTGGCGAGGTTTCACAGAGGTCCAAAGATATTTTGGAAGGTAGAAGCGACTGTACATGTTCGAAGCAGCGATGTGAGTCGCCCGAGAGGACTTTCAGCGAAGGCACTAAGTTTCTTGTCCACACTGTTAAGATCCGGACTCTCAGGAACTTTTCGTTCTAAAAACACGCATGCGGTATCGCCACTTTACTGTAGCTCTAAGGGGGCTTGTTGGCGAGGCGCTCGGCGCAGCAGCAAAATCTAAAATAAAAGGAAGTGTGTATTCTTTTGTGTGGTAGCTTATTGTCAATGTAGGGTAATTCTTTTTGTTGATATGCGTCGGGTATCGAAACATAAGGCGCAGCGCTAGAATTCTCGGGGACCTGTGTAACCTTTCCGTGCGGGGAGCCGCATCTTTCAGCTGCACCGGCCAACTAGCCCTGTCAAAGCGGTAGTCCCTGTACTATGCCACATCGTATCTGTGGTGTAAAGCCATACTTCGAAGGATAACTAAATTTATGGCTATTTAGTTTGGAAACACGGATCAATAGTAGAGAATTCCCTGTGGAAGACGGATAGACCAAGAACATGATCGACTAAGCAGAAAAGCAACACCGACGCACGGATCATGGGTGCACATCGTTATTGGAGGGCGATGGCGTGGCTTTTTAAGTTAGCCTGAGCTTTAGGCTGGGGGTTTGTTTTGTTCAGGCCTCATGCAGCCGGCTAGCTGAAAGCTACGCTGACGGCCCTTGCCACTCTCGTTAAACTCTGTCGTGCTGGGGATAGAGCATTGCAATTATTGCTCTCAACGAGGAATGCCTAGTAAGCGCGTGTCATCAGCATGCGTTGATTACGTCCCTGCCCTTTGTACACACCGCCCGTCGCTACTACCAATTGAATGGCTCGCTTTATTTCGTCAGTGATAGGCAGAATCAATATAGATAATCCTAGGACACACGAAGCACTATCGCTAGGGCTGGCACTGGGTTCTGGGATACAGGAGAAGACTAGAGGTGATCGGCACAGGCCGGCCCCTTTTTCACGCGAGACGCTAGCGAAAGCTTGTCTACACGCCTCACCCCAATACGACAATTCCATCATCCACAAATTGCCACTTGTATGCTCGTGCCAAAAATTCACGGCTTCATAATCTTTCTGCCCCCACCAATGCAGGCAGCCCCACGTAGAAGATCCCTCGGCGGCCTCCACCTGTTCCGAAAACATTGAATTGTAGCCACGGCGCGCTATACTAAGTAGCGCGCTGATATAGCCATCGAGAAGCTTACCATAGCGGCATACAGTGTCGTGAAGCACAGCAGGGCAGGCTGTAAGGAACATGTCAGGCACATTTGGCATACGCGCGACAACCTACAGTCTCACGTCTGTTATCCGGAGGAACACAGATGCAAGATCTCCATATCAAGTGACACGAGATGATTTGTAGAGTGACAATTACTCACGTATGCTGACCGGCGAGCAGGATCTGGGCACTAATTGTGGCTTCTCTTCATTTCCTCTAGCCGCAATACGAGGCGTCAGCACTTGAACAGCGTGAACTCGGGGACTCGGGCCCGTAAGGCAAAGCAATGCCTCGCCTCGTTATCTACGCATTGATCCACTTGGCCCAAGCGAACAGTCATCTTTCTTTCTTCCTGCCCTAGAACCTTACCTGATGTGGGCAAAATCAACAGCGTTGGTGTCTCCACACTATTCTCTTTCCTCGGTATTGCTCGTTTTTGTATCAGGAGATCTACGTCCAAACATAGTAGCTGATAGACTGCACCGTTCGCATCGCCGTATGAGAACTCATCATCGCCTATAGATACGAGCACCATGCCATACAAACTTTCCGGTTGGCATCGATCCAGTCACTCGTTTCTTTCTTGGCCCTCGCTGCGGTTTTCTTGTTTGTCATCGCTCAGTTGATACCACCATGGTAGCTTACGCTCCTTATGTTGCCGTTGCGGCATCGTTGTCGTCTGTTTACCACGCGGTTACCCCCTCCTCGTTCACCACTCCTACTGTCTGTCAGGCTGTGACTGCTACTGTCACCGAGTACGCGACTGCAACTATCACCAGGTACGCGACTATAAGACCGACTGCGACTACTTCGACTACTTCGACTACTACGTATAGTCACGGACTGTACAACAACCCTTATAATAATATTCCGCTTCCTTTCGAGTGGCCGGGTAAGCCATCCGAGGGTGAGATCTACGCTCCTCCTCAACCTCCGACACCATACGAGTATGGAGGGCCAGCGAAGGACCGCTATGAAGAGCCGTGCTGGATTCCTAAGGGTGTACACAATCTCACTACTTCCCTTAACAAGGGCAAGCAGAGTGGTAGTTCGCGGTGGGGCGAGATTGATTGTCCTCACCTTCCGGTCGATGGGCTTCCGGGCAGTCCTTCATACCAGTCAAGCTCAGTGCGTCATGCGCAACCACCGTACCCGTATCCCACGGCTTCTGGATATCCATACAACTCTGCCAACGCCACTAGAACGATGTATACCCATGGATCTACTGGCACTGGCACTAGCACTCCACGAGCAGATCCTCTTTGCCCGACCATACCTGACACTGGTGTTACCCGGACGTACAAGCTACATGTTGCCTACCAAACGATAGCTCCCGATGGTGTTACAAGGAATGGGGTGACCATCAACGGTCAGTTCCCTGGGCCACTCGTGGAAGCCAATTGGTTCGTTGCAATCTACCAGTTATGCAAGCAGCTATTGACAATATTTCAGGGGCGACTGGATCAAATTCGAGATTAAAAACGACTTGACCAATGAGGGAACTACTATTCACGCTCACGGTTTGTTTCAGAAAGAGACTTCCTGGTACGATGGTGTGCCTGCTGTTGCCCAATGTCCCATCATGCCCAATGGCGGTACCTTTGAGATGCTCTTCCGAGCGGATCGATATGGTTCCTCGTGGTATCACAGTAAGTTTTTTTACATGCAATGCATGATTATGATGGCTACATGAAACTGACACCAACGAGGCCATTACAGTGGCCAGTACTCTGGAGGTGCTCACGGCCCAATGGTCATCTACGGACCTAAGCACCAGGAGTACGACATCGACATTGGTCCGATTATTCTTGAAGATTGGTTCCACGCCGACTACTTCTCACTTGTAAATCAGACGATGAATGGCCGCTTTCCGCCTTCAAACAACAACCTAATCAACGGCCGCATGAATTATCCTTGTGCTAACACTACACTTCCATGTACGCCTAATGCTGGTGTTTCCAAGTTTCAGTTTCAATCCGGAAAGAAGCATCTCCTGCGACTTATCAACGCTGGCGCCGAAGGCAACCAGAAATTCAGCATTGATGGGCATCAGTTGAAGGTCATTGCCGTTGACTTCATCCCTGTCGAGCCGTACACAACCAACGTCGTCACGCTCGCTGTGGGCCAGCGCACTGATATCATTGTCGAAGCTATTGGCAAGCCGAGCGACATTTTCTGGATGCGCTCCCAGCTCGCTCAAGGATTCCGCTGCACTCTCACCGACGGCATATCGCCCAACGCACTGGCAGCAGTGTACTACGAGGATGCGGACACCGATTCTGTCCCCGCCACTACTTCAAGCGTCACTACCGATCAGCTTTCCATCTGCAAGAACGATGAGCTCACTGTCGCCCTTCCACTATGCAAGATTCCTCTAGAGACACCGGACCATACTGAACGCATTGATTTCGAGTTCAAGTCTAATGGCACTAACTTTATTTGGTACCTCAACAATAGCACATACCGTGGCGATTACAATGCACCTACGCTTCTCAAAGCCAAACGTGGAGAAACAGACTTCAAGGCTGAATCGAATGTCTACCAGTTCCCCGGTGCCCAGCACGTGCGTCTCCACCTCGTTAACCACGGGTTGATTGGCGGCCACCCTATTCATATGCATGGCCACGATTTCCATGTCCTAGCTGAAGGATTCGGGGACTGGGATGGCACTGTGGTCAACTCTGGCAATACCCAGCGGAGGGACGTACACCAGATGCAAAACGCCCGCAACGTCACTGGTACCGTCGAGCCTTCCTTTATGGTTATGCAGTTTGTCCAGGATAACCCGGGAGCATGGCCTCTCCACTGCCATCTAGCGTGGCATGTCAGTGGTGGCTTGTTCATGCAGATTCTGGAACGCCCGGAGGATATCGTGAAGCAAGACTTTGATACGGATGTTTTTGGGTTGTGTGATCTCTGGGATGCTTACTCGGCTGTCAATCCACCGAATCAGATTGATTCCGGTTTGTGAAAGGGTGTTGTGTTATAATGGGAGATGAGGGGGAAGAGAAGGAAAATAGAGATGGTTGAACCGCATTTCATACCAATGCGACAACTCTGTACAATTACTAATTAGTGCTAGGTATCATATTCTATGTTTGCGAAGATAATTTTCTTCATTCCAATCCTGAAAGCCTACTGTCAAATAAATGGAAGCGTTTCAACTTCCGCTCACGTATCGTTATTCCTAGTAATTGAAGCCCATCACTGAACGGTCATTAGGAATCTTTCATACATGTGAATGAATCTAGGAAGTATGATAGCAGCTTCGGTCTTCTAGTGTAGGCGGCGGCGAACATTACGCCTGCTGCCATTCCTCCTTGCGTTTCTGTTCAAGATTTGTGATACAATAGTGTGATATGAAGATAGCCAGGCTACACTATCTAAGAGGAGGATATATTATTGTCCCCTTAAGATTGCGATATTTAGGTGGAGGAAGCTAATCTAGGGGGGATGAAGATAATTGCATTTTTGGGACTACATTACTAAGGCAATAATCAAATTATTTGATGAGAGTAGGGAATGCTCTGATTTGGGCATCCTGAAACAATTATTTGTACGATGCGTGAAGTGTACGGGGTTGTGGGAGCAAACAGCTCAATGACGTCATCTTTTGTATTCTGATGCCAAGACCTAGCGACTAACGCAGATCAACAAACATGCAGATCTTCCAAGCCTAGCCTCTACACTGCAACATCAGACCTCGGGAAGGTATTCTTCTTGCCCCCAATTTTACTACGCCGCATCACCGCCGATCACTAGAAGTCAACATCTCTCCACAAACCTTTCACTCCAAGTCTGCATTACAGCAAGTAGGCATCCAACGTTTGAAGGACAACAGTCGCCTGCACAATGAGTACCATATCGGCTCCGAAAGGCCTCAAGATTCTCCTCACGGGTGGAGCTCGAGGGATAGGTCGCGGCCTTTTCCGGCATTTTCTAGCCTCTGGGCATGAGGTAATCATCCTAGATTCAAACGTGGAAGAGCTGGAGCATGTGAAGACGCGAGCTCAAGAATGGTCTGGCGGGCGGAACGGGAGTTGGCACGCCCTTCAGTGCGATCTGAGTAAGCGTGCGGAGATCAAGTCTGCGGTGGCTACGGTCAAGGAGACGTTTGGCGGGCAGTTGGACGTGCTGATCAATAACGCTTTCCCAACTACGCTGGCCTTGTCAGAAGATCGAAAGATGGAAGCAGAGGGCGAGGACATGGAAAAGGAGTGGGACCTGAAGATCGCTATCGGTCTTACGGCACCCTTCATCCTCAGCCGTCTCTGTATCCCGCTCCTCGTAGCTGGTGCATCAACGCAAAGCTCTCCCGGCACCATTATCAACATCTCCTCAACTCGCGCATACCAGTCCGAGTCCGACCACGAAGCTTACTCGACCGCCAAAGCGGGACTGCTTGGGCTCACGCAGTCGATGTCAGTGTCGCTCGGTCATCGTCACAAGATCAGAGTGAATGCGATTATTCCGGGATGGATCCACGTCATGAACGAATCTAAAACGGGCGATGAGACTAGGGTCAAATGGGAAGATGGGCTCACAAAAGAGGATATCGAGTGGCATCCAGCAGGCAGAGTTGGCAACGCGGAAGATATTGCAAGGGCTGTGGATTATTTGGTCGGCAGTGAATTTGTTACCGGACAAGAGATTATTGTTGATGGCGGGGTAGGGAGGAAGATGGTGTATCCAGAGTAATAGCCTGGAGGGTGGTCCAGGTGGGCTGCTATCCAGGAACTCATTTCCACTTTCACTCTGCAGAATCCAGCCTCCAGGGATCAGGCGGAACTTGGCTCTCGGCATTCCTAATTCCTTCATCTGCCTACCGCTACCTGTTGGCGCCAATTCTCAACTGCTGCATTCCTACACTACGATCCACCGGTGCACCCACCCAACGACTCGTCAAGCGACCACCGTCAATTAACCGCGTTCCCACTCACAGAGAGTCTGCGATTGAGCCGCACTCTATGGTACCTCCATTGCACATACGTACGCTCGAATGAGGGCCCTATATTTGGCCACACACATGGCCGGGAATATCAGAGCGTCATCACCATTGTTGCCATCGAGACTTTCGAAATGAACGAAAACCTCTGCTAACACCCACTTTTGTCAGCTTCATCTCCAATCTCAAGATTACTTGCAGATTCTGATCCCGGCAGCGATCACGCAAATGACGTTTCGGGGGTGCCCCACAGCGGTGTTTCAAACTTCCGGGTTGCGCGCCGGCGCCCAGCAACACATCGCACCACCAACTATTCAAAGTATTCACCACGGCAGCATTCTTTGACGTAAATATCCCCAACAACAATGCGCTTACTAGCCGGCACCTCACATACCGTCTGTATGAATGCATCATTGCGGCACTTTCACAGTGTGGCATGCACCTCATCTTGGATTTCCAGCGGCTAAGATTACGGGGGAGAGGTTCATTTAACCCCGACCGCCACCAGCGTTTCTGTTTGCATGCGCCACAGACCGACAGCACAAGGCGTTCGATAACTTGAACCACCCTCCGGCAAGGCCTCGCACAGGAACTCAGGCGGGGCAGAGCTACGATTTAGTTTCAATAAGAAGATGAACAACGCACAGAGAACACCGGGAATAAACCATAATAACGATAGCCTCGTCAACGCGCCCACGAACGATACTCCAAGGATGGCCAAGACCCCTGCAATCCATAGGATTCTCGCCGCGGCCATAACCAGACCACCGCTATTCCCTTCCGGCTCCACTCTTTACGCACAGCCTTTGATCCACCAATGGCCCCCCTACATGTCACATCTGTCAGGTACTAGCGCCGTTGGTGGTCCGAAATACCTGGTTGCGGTCTAGGCAGGCTTCCTTGGTTCATCTACGCGCATGTAGTTCGAGAAACACAGTGCCCTTGGCGCAACGTTCGAGATTTGGCTGGTGGTAAACGAAACGTCTGACCATGCGGCAGCTAACCGCAACTCGGCTCGACGGCATTAGTTCACCCCTGGACATTGAATATAAGATCGCAACCCCGCCGACTTTCGAAACAGTAACGCAGCTGAGCTGGACATTCTTTCATTCCACACTTTCATTCATTCTCTCTTTCAGTCACTCTTTTGTCACTCTTTAACACAATGAAGACCATCGCTGTTCTCTCTGCCATGACGGCGCTCGTAAGCTCCCACGCAACGTGGCAGCAACTGTGGAGGAACGGCGAGGATCTCGAGAGCACATGTGCCAGGCTTCCACCGTCCAACAGCCCCATTGAGGACTACACGAGCACTGCTCTGCAATGTTAGCAACCCACCGGACCATCGTATTGACTAATGCTAACCTGCGCTTTAGGCAATGTTAACCCTGCTAAAGCAAGCGGAAAATGCACCTATGCGGCTGGGGATTCAGTCTCAATCGAAATGCATCAGCACAATGACCGAGACTGCACTAAGGAAGGCATTGGTGGCGCTCACTGGGGACCGGTCCTCGCATATATGAGCAAAGTCGAAGACGCCGCTACTGCGGACGGTTCGAGCGAATTCTTCAAGGTCTACCAAAATGGCTGGAAGAAGAATCCAGCTGCCAACCAGGGAGATAACGACTTTTGGGGAACCAAGGACTTGAACTACAACTGTGCGTATTCTCTTTTCCTGTTCTCTGCATCACTGACTCTTGCATAGGCGGAAAGCTTGACTTCAAGATTCCCTCAGGCATCGCCCCGGGTGATTACCTGCTGAGAGCTGAGGCTATTGCCCTCCATGCTGCCAGCGCTGCAGGTGGTGCTCAGCACTACGTAACCTGCTACCAGTTGACCGTTACTGGAAGCGGAACTCTCGTTCCCAAGGGTGTTAAATTCCCCGAGGCTTACTCCAAGACTGGCCCCGGTCTTGGTTTCTCCATCCATGCTCCTCTGTCCGACTACCCTATTCCCGGCCCTGAACTCATTGCTGGCGGAACTGAGGCGGCTCCCCAGCTTCTTACTTTCGGCAAGATCTCTGGTGCTCCTCCAGCCGCTTCTGGTGCTGCGTCTGCCGCGCCCGTTTCCTCTGCTGCACCCGCTTCATCTGCTGCACCCGCTTCGTCTGCGGCCGCCGAAGTTGCTGCATCCTCCCAGGTCCCTGCTTCCACTAGCGCAGTCGTCGAGGCAAAGTCAAGTGTCATCGCCGCTTCTAGCCTTGCCACTCCTGTTGCCAGCTCCACTCAGGAAGTTTCCTCCCAGGCACCCACCGAGTCTGCCTCTGAGCCAGAGAGCACGGACGCCGCCTCTACACCTGTTCTTCCAACTGTGTCCGTCCCTTACCCTTCCGGTAACACGACAGCAAAGCCCACTGCCACTGGTGTACCTGTCTTGTCTAGCTCTACTCTGACGCCTCCTGTCGTCTCTGACAGCTACAGCGCCGCTCCAGGTCCTGCCATTCCTACTACACTTGCCACACTTGTCCGTCCTAAGCCAACTGAGGCCGCCACCGGACCCATCAAGGAGTATTTCCAGTGTGGTGGTTCCAACTTCAAGGGTGCTACTACTTGCGCCGAGGGTCTTGAATGCAGGCAGTGGAACCCCTACTACTCGCAGTGCGTCAAGCCAGAGGCCACCAAGCCCGGCCCTTCCAAGGGACCAATGACTTCCTCAGCGGCTCCCTCCAAGACTGCTGCTACTTCAGTTGCAGCTGAGCCCACCAAGGTTGCTCCTGTCGACAGCGACCCGAAGCCCACCGCAACCGCATCTGCGACTGCATCCTCTGCGCCCGTGGCATCGCAGCCACCCGTCGCAGAGGACCCGACCGAGAAGACCTACACTCTCAAGACCTTCATTGCCTTCCTCGAGCAGGAGGCTGGTTCTGAGTCTGCGGCCAAGATCCGTCGCATGATTGAGGCTCTTCAAAACTAAGTGCTGTATGCACCATTGGCGAAGACACAGTATGCCTTCATACGTGTGGTCTAGAGTTGTATATAAAATTTCTCCTTGAAGGAGGGTTCGATTCTTGTAGCGATATTCTCAAATGACATTTTTCATCCAAGAGGCCAAAAAGGTTCTCGATACTTCATCCTGCTTAGACATATTTGTATCCTGTGAGACTGTTACTGGTGACTGATTTTGATGGAGTACAGCATGCATACAAGACAGTCTTTAGAGTACGAAAGAATGGGCTATCTTCACGCGTGAATGAAAGTCAGAACCTCCAACCTTCAAGCGATGCAGACTAGATATGATGAATACTACGCCGGCGGGATGTAATATACAAACGCGTGAATCTCATTGAGTATTGGAGATCTAGGTATTAGAGATTTATATGCTGCTATCTAGTAGCGGAGTATGTTTAGAAGTCGAGGGCTGTCGTATGCATGACCGCGTTGTTTCATTAAGCTAGAATGCGTTTAGGGATTGACTACGACTCTGATGCCCAGGGGTTCCAGCTCTTGATTGACTTGTATATGGCATTGATGTGTGATGGTTTCAGTTAAGTTCGACTTTGGTATTTGGTGAACTGGAGGCATGTAGAATCATGCTCAGGTAAGGGTATATAATGCGCTTTTCCACTTCCTGTTAACTACAGCTACCGCAAAAGCGCCTCTTGCTCATCCTTGCTGATTCCCAACAGATAGAGTATGTCCAGCATACTCTTCGAGTTCAGGCGTGCAGGGGCCTGCATCTGCACGTTTGGCTTTGCGTGGAAGGCCACTCCAAGGCCTGCTACGCTCATCATTGGAAGGTCATTTGCGCCATCTCCAACGCAGATGACCTGGTCCAGCAAAATGCCCTCTTTTTCGGCAATTTCCAAGACGTGTTGGCGTTTCTTCTGCGCGTGTACAATCTCGCCGGTAAGTTCGCCAGTGAGTGTGGTTCCGTCTTCGGAAACGACGAGGTGGTTCGCGAATGCATAGTCCAGTCCGAGTTGTGCGCCCATCCAGCCTGTCAAGGGCGTGAAGCCGCCGCTCAGCACGGCAGTCTTGAAGCCTAGTCTCTTCAGAGCGATAATCAGCTCCTTTACACCTTGGTTCAGGGTAATCCGCGGCTTCAGCGTCTCGAAGACGCTGCTCGGCACACCCTTCAACAACTTGCATCGTGCCCGCAGACTCGCCTCAAAGTCTAGCTCGCCATTCATTGCCGCGGCAGTTATGGAAGAGACTTCCTTTTCCACACCAATGTGCGATGCGATCTCGTCTATAACCTCCTGCTGTATCAGGGTGCTGTCCATGTCGAAGACGGCGAGCCGCTTGTACCTCCGGTATATGGTATCGGCCTGGAACACGCATTCGACGTTCCATTCGCGCTCGTACCTCGAAACTGCTTCATCTCGTCGTAGTGTCTCGAGGGCAACGGCCGATGCGCTCGGTAAGGGGAATGTGACCTCGACCACTCTGCAGAACTTGCTTGTTTCTAGTCTCTTGCTCGTTATGGTGCCCTGCTCAAGCCCGGGTATTATGTTCGCGAGTGTAATGAAGAAGTCGGTAAGACAGCTTTGGCTGATATAGCTTCCGTAGAGGTTGTCGAGGGCATTGGGTCCTGGTGTTGGCGGCTCGAGGGGGTAGTCTTCGAGGTTTTCGGTGGGTACGGCGCCGTCCTTGAGCGAATCGAGCGACGCCGAGGGGATAGCATCGTATGGGCTGCGCGGGGAGAGGTCTGGATGCGGGAAGAAGTGTGGGGAGTCGGACTTGTAGAAGAGCGTAGCGACGAGATGGGTTGGGGAGACATCGAGGGCGGGCGGTTTGGGGGGCATGGTCAATTGCGCTTGAAGCTGCAATGCGCGATGTCCAAGGAGCTCCAAGAGGCAATGCGTGAGTTACGTGAGAATTGTGAGCCCTGAAGAAATGCAGAAGAAAAGTGATTGGAGCAAGAGAGCAATGTTGTAGGCGGGGTCACAAGATGGGATGGAAATTTACGCGGGGTTCAGGAACAGCGCTAACCGCCCCACTGCGACTCTACACGCTGATACCCAGCATGTCTCTCTGCATGCATCCCACCACTTTGCGCACCTACTTGTACGCCTCCTTCTACTCAGACTGGCTAGTCATGCCATCATGTTGGAGCTCCGAACCGGCCTATCGTGGCATGTTGGGACTATGACGCAGGGCGTGCCGGGATACAAACAAGTGTCAAGCTAATCTGGCTCACCGCACGTTCTGTTCACGAACACCCATCTACTAGAAGCCAGTCCAACTTCACAAAGACGCTCCCCGTTACGAATTGCCCTCAGACACGACCTTCGACATCGCAATGGCTACGTACGAGCCCCAGAGCCCCGCCATCCTCCAGTCCCCGCCCCTCGATATTACCGTCCCGTACGACGCTGCCTGGGTCAAGGACAAGGTCATACTTATAACAGGGGGAGCAAGTGGCTTCGGCGCAGGCTTTGTGCGGCACTGGGCGAAGCATGGCGCTACCGTCGTCATTGGCGACGTCAATGTGCAAAAAGGCGACGCTCTGTGTCGGGAGATCAACAAGGAAGTTGCAGGTAACAACAAAGTACACTTTGTACATTGCGACGTGACGGACTGGCAATCGCAGGTCAATCTGTTCAAGGCGGCTGTCAAGCTCAGTCCACACGGCGGCATAGACTGCTGCGTCGCAAATGCAGGCATTGCAGGCCCCGACGTGATGCAGAAGGGGAGCAATCTCGACGCGGCAGAACCGCCTCCGCCTGCGTTCAAAATCATCGACGTGAACCTCACTGGCGTCCTCTACACCACGCACCTCGCCTGCTTCTGGCTACCCAAGAACCCGGGGTCGTCGCCTAGCAGCATCGACTCGAAGCCCTCATCCTCCTCACCACGCGACCGCCATCTTCTCCTACTAGGCTCCATGGCCTCGCTCGCCCCCATTGCCATCCAGCCACAATACTGCGCTGCAAAACACGCGGTGTTGGGGTTATTCAGAAGCCTGAGGGCCACAAGCAGCCTCCAAGGGATACGCATCAACCTCCTGTGCCCCTACTTCATCGACACGCCCATGGTAACTACGCCTGCACGTTTGGCGCTTGCGGGAGGCGGCCTGGGCAAACCAGAAGACGTCGTCGAGGCAGCGACGCGATTTGTCTCTGATTCACGCATCCTTGGTCGCGCACTCGTGATTGGGCCCAAGATGCATGTTCGGCAAACAAGGACAGGCGAGTGGGAATTGGATACACCTGGAGCACCAGGCAGCATCGAAACGGCTGTCTTCGAGCCATATGTGGATGACTGGGAAGACCAAGAGGCCTGGAATCGCAATTTCGTGCGCTTGTTGAACGGGGTACAGGCTGCGAGAGGGTGGGTTGGGTGGGCGCAGGATGTTGGCAAGGCCATTTTGAACGGATTTGGCCTTGTGCGATGATCAGAGGTAGAAGACTCGCACGAGATCGCAGCCTGCTAGACATGGCAATGTTTAAAATACCATTGATGATAGATGCGCATTCTTGACAATTCCGTATGCAAGGCTGAAATACTGTATGCTGGGATGCTGAAACCCGCCCTGTTCCTGAAGGCATATAGGCGAGCCCGGGATGACATCACGGCTAAATGCGGGAGCACAGGGCAGGGGCAGAGGCAGCGCCATTCGCGGGCTTTAGCTTGGACGGGCTACAAGCAAACCGGGAATTGTCCCTGGGGGCGCCTGCAGTGACGCCAGCATGCCTAGTGATCGCCGCCACAAGTACCGACGCCATCCGCCTCCATGTCCCGTCTGTCTTTTCCCTTCACAAGCGATCACAGGCCAGCAATCACAGGCCACTGGAGATTGTTGGCGCTTGCCGAGGGAGACACTCTTTGCCTCCTCCCTCCGTCGACTCTCCGCCGACCCTCCATCCTCGCTCCGCTGTTCCGCGCACCTTATAGGACAGGTTTCGCGAGACACTGCGACATCATCACCACGAAATGGCCGACCGAAGCTATGGAGAAGACCATGTTTCGCCCGTTGGAACGGTCCTCCGCGAACCGACATTTCCGAATATTACCGCCCACCCTTCGAACCCAGGGCAAGGAACGGAGCGCACACTGAGCAAAACAAATGGACCGTCGCCTGCGGATGTGACACGTGAGAAAGACGCGGCTCAGCCTGAGCAATCGACTAGTCTCTCGCAGGCAGATACACAGCAGCACACTTCCGGACCAGTTCGCCCTGCAAAGCAGAGGTTCGCGACTGAGCGACCAAAGCCATCAGTGAGGCACTCGCTGCTGGGCAGGAAGCGCTCAGGTCCTCATACCAACAAGGCAACACAGCTGAACAAATCAACAACGTTGACATTCGATCCCTACTCCTCCGAGTCCGATTCCGCCGACTCTTCAGATGAGGAGACGTGCTACCCGCACAACAGCCTTGGCCACGAGGATGGTCTGGCACGGCAAGAATCTCGCAAGCGACGCGACGCCTCTGGGCCTTTTTCTCGCCTCAAAGTCGCAAACGAACACTTCAAGACCCATGCCAAGGTGTCCAGGGCAGACGGGCGTCTAAAGCTTAGTATACTAGAGAAGGATCTGGACAGCGGATACATTGCAAAAGCACTGGGGGCCGTGTTGAAGAAGCACCCCAAGGATGGAGATGATAGCGTTAGAACCTATGACACGCGTGGACCCGACGCCGCCAAGATTGCGCCCGAGGACGATGAGATGGAACACAACCCTGCACGCCGTATCAAGCTAAACATTGTCATTATCATCATAGGGTCTCGTGGAGATATCCAGCCTTTCATCCGGATAGGCAAGATCCTGAAGGAAGACTATGGGCATCGAGTGCGCCTGGCTACGCACCCAGCGTTCAAAGATTTTGTCGAGAAGGATTCGGGCTTGGAATTTTTCTCGGTTGGCGGAAACCCTGCAGAACTAATGGCTTTTATGGTCAAGAACCCTGGCCTGATACCGAACATCGATACAATCAAGGACGGAGAAATCGGTCGGCGCAGAGCGCAGATGTACGAGATGTTCCAGGGCATGTGGCGCGCCTGCATCAACGCCACAGACGACGAAACAGACAAGGCTAACGCGAAGATGAGTGAGTAGCCCGAAGTCGTTAATGATAAATTGTCGACTAACCCCGTTTAGTGGGAGACAAGCAGCCGTTCGTAGCAGATGCGATCATTGCCAACCCACCCAGCTTTGCCGCACCACACATTGCTGAGAAGTTGGGTATACCACTGCATATGATGTTTACGTACGTATATAAATTACCGATCTTAGTGGCTCCTGGCTAATACCTGGTAGCTTTCCTTATACACCCACCGTTCAGTTCCCGCATCCACTTGCAAACATCAAGACTAGCAACGTTGAGGCCCCGTATAGCAACTTCATGTCATATCCTCTTGTTGAGATGATGACATGGCAAGGGCTTGGAGATCTCATAAATCGATTTCGCACTGAGGTTCTTCTCCTGGAAGTGGTCAGTACTCTGTGGGCGCCCGGACAACTCTACCGTCTGAAGGTGCCCTATACCTATATGTGGTCGCCAGCATTGGTTCCGAAACCGAAAGATTGGGGTCCGGAGATCGACATCTCAGGCTTCGTCTTCCTCGATCTTGCGACGAACTTCACGCCACCGGATGATCTAAAGGCATTCTTGGATGGAGGCGAGCCCCCAGTGTATATTGGCTTTGGATCCATTGTTGTAGACGATCCAGACGGTTTTACCAAACTCATTTTTGAAGGCGTCAGAATCGCAGGTTGTCGTGCTCTCGTTTCCAAAGGCTGGGGTGGCTTCGGTTCGAATGCGGACTGTCCGGATAATGTATTCATGATCGACAATACACCGCACGACTGGTTGTTCCCCCGCTGCAGCGCCGTTGTGCACCATGGTGGTGCCGGAACTACCGCCATCGGTCTGAAGTGCGCGAAGCCTACAATGATTGTACCCTTCTTTGGCGACCAACCGTTTTGGGGTGCGATGGTCAGCAAAGCGAAAGCCGGAGCGCACGAGTGCATTCCATTCAAGAATCTGAACGCGGAGCGCTTAGCTGAAGGTATCAAGCAGTGCCTCACTGAGGAAGCCAGGGAAAACGTCAAGAAGATAGCGGACAGCATTGTGAGGGAAGGCGACGGCGCTTTGAACGCAGTACGCTCGTTCCACAGATCCCTACCACTTCGAGGCGAAGGCAGCATGCGCTGCGACTTTCTCTATGACCGGGCTGCCGCATGGAAGATTAGAAACACGGATGTGAAGCTTTCGGCCCTGGCGGCTGAGATACTAGTGGAGAAGAAGAAGCTCAAGTGGAGCGAACTGCGACTTATCCGACACTACGAGTGGAACGATTTCGGTGGTCCCGGTGAGCCCTTGACAGGCGCTTGGGGCAGCATGGTGAAGACACTGGTAGACGCAGCCAGCGGTGTCGGAGGTGTGCCCGTCGAGATGGGTAAGAGCATTAGGAAGCGGGAGAAAATTCGGGAGAAGAAACGCAGGATACGGAAGCGAAACGAACACAAAACGACTACGCTATCGAAGGCGAATGGCGATGCGACTGATGACATGGCGAACAAGCAGCATGATCAAAATGGCAGACCAAAACCAGAGCGTGAAGAATCGACCCTGTCAAAGATATCGGAACCAGACGAGGACCTGGCACAGGAACTTGGCCACGAAGCTGTATTTGGTTTCAGGAAAACAGGAAGGGCTATCGTTCGTTTCCCCATGCAATTGACCCTAGCACTCCAACAAGGCTTCCACAACGCTCCGCGATTGTATGGCGACGAAACCGTCCGCCGCCCGCCACGAGTCACAGGCGTCCATTCCGGTCTTCGCGCTGGTCGCGACGAACTTCTCCATGGCGTCAGGGATGGCGTCACAGGAATCGTTATGCAGCCATATCACGGTGCGAAGGATAACGGTGTTGTGGGCGCTCTTCGAGGCATAGGTTTCGGCGTTGGTGGCTTCGTGCTCAAAGATATTGCTGCGCTCCTCGGACCGCTCGCATATTCGATGAAAGGACTGGATGCTGAGTACTGGAAGCGCTACCAACCGACCGTTTACTTGCGGCGCGCTCGTATCATGCAAGGCCAGGTCGAGTTGCAAAAGCTCGAGTCGGAATCGCGTGCGGCGCGCATGGATGGAGCGAAGGGAGGCGGTGGGAGCGTTGTTGACAAGAGAGATGAGGCTGAGCGGAACGTTAGTACGAAATGGCAGGCTTTGCAGCGGACTATCGAGGATGGAAATACGCATCACAAATCCGGTGTCATGGCCTCGCTCCTAGGCCAGGGCAAGACGAAAGAAGGGCAGCGAGTGCCGAGGAAGAGCTCTGAAAAGGAGGGAAGGCGGTCGCAGTCAAAGGCGAGGACCACGCCAATTGCTCAAGCTGATGAGCCCATGAAAGCTGTCATTGCAAATGGAGGGCTGAAGCGGAGCAGCACTGCGCCAATCATGACGATGGAGCAGGGCGCAAAGAACGGCCTGAAAGACATCGAAGCACCACGTGCGCCATGCGAACTCCAGTCGTCGAAGCCAGCTGCGCCGGAGAATCCACAGCTACCAGACATACCCAGGAATAACTCAGATCCCGAGCTTACTGATGCATCCAATGACCACGCTGGAGCAAAAGATCGCCCATCAGCTTTGATTGCGGAAGCGAACAAAACCCAAAGGCACTCCACCGACGCGAGCTCTGACAAGACAAGAGTCGGGAGCGACGCCACGGACTGGGCAGCTGTGCGACAGAAAGCTGAAGGGTTGGAGAATAGAGGGCAGGCGCTTGAGGTTAGTGTATAAGTGCGATGACTTGGAAAGACATGCAACGAAACTATATGGCGGAGCTTCCTATTACGCATTTAGCGTCAACACATCATCATGTGCGTTGTACATCATTTTCCCATTGCATACTAGATACCCAGATTCTTTACTATAAATCTTCGCTTTATTACTTCAACACTTGTTACTTTTCCATCCGCAGTCGACCACGCCGACATCCGTGACTAGACACTAAACCAAGATCCTGGATACGCGACTTGCGTAGTCTTCTGTCCAACGCAGATTGAATCATTTCACGTCCCAGTATATCTTCAATACTCATCATATTGATGATCGAAAGTTTGGTAATCCCCCTTGCGTGAGATCGTCGCTGCAGTCCGCGATAGGCGAGTAGTGAGCCAATCACCACACCATCGGCCCCCAAGGCACTAGTCGCTCTAGACCCAGCCTTAGTGTACGTGTAAATGTTGTGTGATGTGACCAAGTGGTTAGTGTCCTTTTAATATGCGGGGATTTCCACCTATCAGCCTACAGTGGTAGAGGGTTAAGATGAGAGCGAAATGAAGTTTTGGTCAGGTCAGTTATATAGACCTCGCGGACTGAGGAAGCCATATTACCAGACTAACATCTCCGTGCCCAAAGTACCTCCACAGAATCAGCGATAGCTCGGGTAGGGCGTAGGCGCTTCTAAATCTTCACTTACCAGACTAATGCAAGATCGTTGGCCTATGAGAGACCGTTGTCCAGATCTCGCCAGATTGCCCAATAATTGTAACTTGACCGACCGCTCGATTTATAAGCTTACTCGCAGGCAGGGGTCTGCAGTAGTGTAGACATGCCACGGTAAAAAACATGGTGGGGTTACTTGTGTCCACGTACATCATCTATTAAATCGCAATGGCTGTTTGTGAACGGTGCGCTGCCATCTATCTCGACGATGGGTGCTTCTACGCGCTTTCGAACATTGGGCGCATGGTGTTGTCCGCATGTCCAGGCTGTCACTTCTTCCTCAAAGTCGTTCAGAGTTACGGCAACTCTATCGAGGAGATTGCGCCGGAGACACAGGTCTTCCTACTCCGGCCAGAGCTCGAAGAAAATCTCGTCCAGGGCCTGTTCTTCACGATGAAAGACTCGAGCTTTACGATTCAGTACAAGTTTAATCTCAGGATGTGTGATGCTTATGGCAAGAATCTTCTCTAGTCTATCGGGCGAGGACGCGTCTAATGCTGAGTTAGGCCTCGAAACACCGTTCTGGATCGACTACGAGCACGAAAATACAAAGTATCTCGGGCGACTGATATCTGAACACTCTGGCGGGGACGAGTGTCTTGATTTAGCAAAGGCTTGGTTTGAGCGCTGCACCAAATCGCATGGCGCAGCGTGTTCGTTGGAGAAAGCGGTTGCGTTTCCGACCCGTCTCATTTACATCCCACGCGACGACCCTAGCCGATTGAAGTTGTGCGTCACACAGGGTATGCGAGGCCAGTATGTTACCTTGAGCTACTGCTGGGGCAAGGGCAACTTTTTCAAGACGTTATCCACCAACATGGAGGAACTCCAATCCAGCTTTGAAGCGGAGACGTTGCCAGAAACACTTCGTGATGCTGTGCGACTCACTCACAGGATGGGCTTTGAGTGGCTCTGGATTGATTCGCTCTGCATCTTGCAGGACGATTTCCCAGACTGGAGTCGAGAGTCGTCTCGCATGGCGCAGATATATGGCAACGCCGCCTTCACCATCTGTGCAGACTCGACGCGTAGTACAGACGACGGCATATTCAGACAGCGAGATGTGTTACAGTCGCATCAATTTGGTCGAGATTCAGCTTTTCGCCTACAGGCCTTGTGCAAGCCGTGGGGAAACATGCCCCAACACCCGCTCTACTCGCGAGGCTGGGCATTTCAAGAACGCATGCTGTCGTCGCGCAATTTGCACTTTCTCAACGGCCAGATTGCGTGGGAATGTAACACGACGTTATACATGGAGGAGTTTAGGGCCCGAATAAACCACCCAGCGGTACACTTCACCAAGAACCTGTTCACCAAATACTTCCACCAGCAACGTCTGCCAGCCGGGACAGAGCCAGCGGAAGGGGCTTCAATTCCGCGCATTGCAGCCTGGAACTCGATTGTTCAGGAGATGGCCGTCCGCATGTTCACATTTGACTCTGACCGTCTTGCTGCTATATCTGGCATGGCATCAGCTTTGCAAATCCCTGACATGGGCACATATTTCGCTGGAGTCTGGTCGCGCAATCCATTCCTTTCGATGGCTTGGTTTATGCGCTTCCCGCAATCCGTTCCGAAATCTTACAAGGGCCCGTCGTGGAGTTGGGTGTGGACGCAGCGCCAGATTGTCTGGCACGACGATACCTGGTGCGAAGATGAGCTATTCAAATCAGAGGCAAATGCCGACTGGAAATCTTGGGACGAGGCGTTTGGACCGCGACTGCTGGAGCAGAAGATGATCTACAAGGGAGTCGATCCTAAAGGTGAGGTCTTGGAAGGGAGTCATCTCGTCATGACCGGATACTGCCGGCCGATCTATGTGGCTGAGATCCCAGACACCGACTCCGACGACAACTTCCAGGCGGTCGCGGGAAGTGTTAAATTGCAGAATGAAAGGGGGAGTAGAGTGTGCATGGACGTGAAGAGAAACAATTGGAACTCCGTGTCATCATTCATCAAGGACTTCTCGGATGCTGAAGCTGAGATTGACGCCAAGAGTGTAAAGGAGTACTTGTGCGTCCAGATTGTGCGGGAGTTGAAGCGTCGAGATTGGAATCCTAAAATCTTGGCTTTGGTGCTTGAAGAGGTTGATGACGCGAACGGGCAAGCATTCAGGAGGGTTGGACTGTTGGATCTGGATGCGGATGCTTCTGAGGAGCAATGGGAGAAAAGGACGCTTAAGCTCGTATAGATCCTGCTTCCATAGGATGTTTGAGTGAGAAGTTGCTGATAGCTGCGCATCATTGCTAGTAAATCAAGCGCCTGACTAGGTGGAATGGAAACCTACATGCCAACCTTTCGTTACCGTCCATATTCCTAAGATTGGGTCAACAACTGGACTATGAAAAGTTTGATTGCATGAATTTGGTAACAATGTTGATTAGGCGCTGCTTGGATCGACAGCTTCCCACGAACTGAGGCTTGCCGTTGTTGGCAATCAACGATAATATAAAGTATTTACAAGAATGATGTTTAGGTGGTTGTACATGATCGTGCTCAGTTTTTGCCCTGTTTTGCCCTGAGCCAAGCAACGAACTGCTTGATCGTGAATTCTTCGGGTAGAACAGCGTCGGAGCCTGAGCCAGCTCCTGCTGAAGCGGTCGGAGCGGCGACAGCAGTGGATGAGGCAGCAGCAGTGGATGAGGGAGCGGCAGCGGAGGAGACGGCATCAGCGGACGAGGCCACAGGAGTGGACGAAACAACCGGCGTCACTACAGCCGCAGCAGTTGAGGATGCAACAGAGGTCTCGACTACAGTCGCAGCTGTAGAAGAGGAGGCGGCAGCGGAAGAGATAGCAGCAACAACAGTGGAGGAGGCGGCAACAACGGCCGTGGAAGAGGCGGCGGCAGCAACAGTCGAAGAAGCGGCAGGCTTATCGGCATCACCCGAACCTCCAGGGCTGTTGACCGAGGTCGTAATGTCGCCGTTCTCAACATACACGCCGCTGAAGAACCAGTCCTCGGCGCTGGTACTACCAGGCAGGCGGAGAACGCCAAGATGCCAATCAGCACCGTTGGACGAAGTGGTGGCGGTGAAAGGACCGGCAGTCTTGGTCAAGGGGCTGCTGCCAGTCGAGTGCCAGAAAGTAACCGAGCCAGCAGCGAAATCGATCTCGTACGCGACGTTGTGCCATTCGTCTGCAACCAGTTCAACGTCCCACTTGGACACGCCGCCCACGTGCCACTGCAGCTTGGTGTTGCTGGTGCCCTGACCGCCGTACTTGAGCTCAGTGAAGTGGCTCTCGAAGAAGGCGATCTGATGCTCGTTGGTCGCAGTTGGGACGTTCTCGGTAGATGTCTTGACCGAGAAGTGGTAGAAGACTGTGCCCTTGTTGATGGCGGCTTTGGTCTGAGGGATGAGCTCGGTCCTCAACATGCTCTGACCATTCCATCTGGCTGTATCATCAATGGTAATCTTGACACCCTGCTTCGAGCCAGTGTCGGTGGGGTTTTTGTACGCGGAATCGAGTTTGACGTATTTGTCAACTGCACCTGAGCCGTGAATGTAGTACTGGTCTAAAGGTCGGAACAAAGTCAATGTCTGTCTCAATGCAGTTCGGACATGGACTCTACGTACAAGCACCGACTGGGTTGGAGAACGACCACTTTTCGAGGTCTGCGCTCGAGGTCATATCATTGAACCGCCCATCCCAAACTATTGTGCCTATTATGCTTGTTAGCTTCACAAACGTCACTGATTGATTTCCATGGCTCACCAGCAGACACGGCGCTGAGGAGCGCACTCAAGATAGCAACTTTTCCAAACATTTTGAATCGAAGGCGGACAGAGACCAGCTGTACGGAGAAAGCGAATGTCTACTACGGAATGAAAAATGAAGGACAGTAGTGGGATAGAGGAGGCAAGAAGACCAAACGCGCAGTATAAAGTGCTTTCAAATTAGAGCCCACTACAGCTTGGCGCGAACATCAGGACGGCGCGACCGGATGCGCTAGTTAATCTCTCGTGGCTGCATGCGCAAGTACTGACAGGAAACCAGATGGCATGACAGAGGTTAGATGGTGGAAACGATGGCGTGAAACGTCTGGGTCGTCGAGGCTAAGCTACATTATACGAAAACTGCCCCACAGTCTACTTGTCTAGGGATAGCGCGCGAAGCCTGGTGATGAAGGGGTCTGTGAACCGCTTCCCTGCTCATAACGGCTTGTTTCATCCAGCAAACGCAAGACCGAGGCGGAAATTAGCCTCCCGTTGTTTCGATTGGCAGGTTTCATTATTCTTCCGCAAAAAAGGTGCGTATCGAAAGGAGAAGAGCGGAGAAGGTGCACAGAGTTGTGGACAGGATGCTAACGTAGCTACGACGGGGGCGTAATGGCGTTGCGCTGCGTCGGAGGGACTGTGAGGTTCGGCGCGACTGTAGGACCGCCCAAGCTCGGGCCACGGCTTCGGGGCGTTCCTCGCCCTCGGCCTCATCTCTCGCGAGCCAGCGCGCGAACACCAGACAGAAGGTCATCGTCAAGGAACAATGAAGGCTCGCTGCGCCTATCGCGAGTCACGGTTCGGCAGAGAGAACAAGAAAGGCACAAAAATTACAACAGCAGGGATTCGCTAGTGGTCACCACCGAACTACTAATCCGCCTATATACACTACTTCTTGGTCGGACACCATGGAAGCCAACAAGTTGTGCGTTTCCAGACATCAGCTTCCTTGTGTTTCGAGCAGAAAGTCCGCCAATAGTAGCATTCAACAAGGGGCGTCAGTGGCGGCTAGCATGCTGTTCTGATTAGGCCTTCTGTGCCACAGGGGGGTTTCGCCTGACTGTTGGATGCTAGCGGGGCAGCGAATTATCCCAGAACGCAAAGATTTGGACCCCGTCAAACGCTTTTTGGATCTCAACAAGAGCTTCGCCGCTACATAATGCTTTTTGTGCATATCGGCCATCAACAGGGAAACATGCGGTATAGCACGACCACACCGCGGCATCCCTCGCCGCTCCCATCAAGACTAGGACTGTGGCCTATAGTTTCCCTGCCACAACTCTGCGGGTTGTGTAAGAGTCGTGCTGCCTGGAGCCTCTGCTATGTACCGGCCATGGTTCCCTGTTTGATGTTGCCATGGCTGAGAATCACTCGTCACTGTTTGAGAGTTCATTCCCTTTGGATCTTGGCCAGGCGGATACTGTCGACGAGAACCACCTCGATCATGTTCTGCATTTCCTTGGTTTTGCTGCGTCTTCTTATTTTTGCATTTGCGTAGGCACACCCACATCAGCGCAGCACCCAAGGCTATCCCAGCAAGGGGCCCTACAACAACTCCAGAAATCCAGGTGTTGCTCTTCGACGATGAACTTGGAGCAGATGTTTGTTCTGTAGACTTTGGTGCGCTAGAGCTCGAGGATGCAACACTGGTGGAAGTAGTGGCGATACTCGAGGACGTTGGTACGGTGGACGTGGCACCTATGGAAGCATTCAGTACAACAAGACTTGTTTTCGATACTTGGGAACCTACTACTCGACCTGACTGCAACTGTGCTGGACGCTTTCACAAGGCCACTGATCTTAAATCCGGGCGATGAGATCTGCTGTGTATACGGGTCGGTAGAGTCGAAGAAAGTAAAGCGAAACACCCAGAAGTCTTTTTCCGAAAACGCATTGGAAGCTATGTTCACGTTCCAATCGTACGACGAGGTCGTGGTGAGATCGATGCCGCCTAGTTGCAAAGTCAGTCTTTTCTGCATTGCGAGAGAGATATGGGGCTTTGCTCACGACCAATCTTGGAGGTGTACTTGGACCCGTTGAAGTTGGTGATCCACAGATCGAGTTTTATGGTATCGCACAAAGGACAGTAGGGTTTGAACGAACTTTGGAGATCTGACTTCCAGAGCAGTGTAAATTTGGCGCCACTCTGTAGCGATGTAGACCCGTCAGGAGCTGCGGGTGCAGTCCAACCATCCTGTACAGTTTGGCACCATACTTGCAGTGGGAAGAGAAAAAAGACCAAGATGAGAGAAGAGTAAAATTCCATATTTGTTGGACTCCCAACACTAAGGGTTTACTACAACGGTGTGAAGAGTCGCGCGGAGAGGCCCTTTCAGATAGAGGACCAGCGTGTGTATAGGGGGCATATCCGACAACAAGGCCGAACGCCACATTTGCGGCACATTTCATCCATATGCAGGAGGTTTGTCTGCTGGTTTCGAGGTCCCCAGCACCAGGCCCATGGCACTGGGAAACGTTACTCATTTCCTATAGAAGCTGTTCATCACCACCCTGGTTACTGGATATGGTATAGTTGGGTGCAACCAAGGCATGCCACGCGATCCTTCGGCTCTCTAGTCTGTATACTTTTACTTCTCAAAGTTCTCAAAGTATCGGTTTGGAACCATGGTTGGCGACCGTCTCGACCTATCTTGGAAGAATCAATGTAATCACAAACATCTCCGCACTTAAAGTACTTTCACAGAACCAGCGATAGCTCAACTAGGGCGTAGGCGCTTTGAAAATCCTCTCTTAAAGTATCCTCAACGTACGCGTTTAATTTCTTCCGCCTAAGGTAGTCTAGCAGCAGCTCTTAACTATAGTTTCTTAACCTACCTATTTTAATAAAAATAACGCTAGCTTTAGTTACTTAATCTCTGCTTTTATATTTAACTAAATACTATTTATTAAATGCTAACTTTTATTATTATTTTAACGCTTATAGCCTATATAGCCTACTTAGCTATTTATTTATTATTTTTTAAAATTATTTAAAAAAAGCTAGGTAGTCTAAATTAGTAGTAGTAAAAATAAAAATAAATATTTTTTATATAAAAAATTAAAATTGCTAAATTTTAGCATTTTTAATATTTTTAACTATTAGAGTATTTTCTAGTATATAGGCTATTAGTAAATAGTTATAAAAAAATAAATTTTTTTTACTAAATATTAGTTTTTAATAGAAAAAAGCACTTTATATAAAAATTACTATTTTTTTTATTTTTTTAAACTATAGAATCCTGCTTTTATAAATATTATTATTTAAAAGCCTATTATAAATTAGTTAAAAAAAATTTAATAAATTAATGCTTTAGTAGGTAGCAAAAAAAAAAAAAATTATTTTATTATTATATAATATAGCAAATAAAAAATAAAAGCTATAGAGCAGCTTTATATATACTTTAAAAGCAAGTAACTCTTTTAAATAATTATATTTAAACTATTAGGCAGATATAATTATAACTTGCATTAGACTTATTAGTAGTTATTAAAAGTAAAAAATCAATATTTAGTACTATAAAAAAATAATAATAAAGTTTAGAACTATAATTAACATTAGCAACTATTTTAATTTATTTTAAAAAAATTAATATAATTATAAATATTTTTATACTTAAAGTACTTTTATAGAACTAGCAATAGCTCAACTAGGGCGTAGGCGCTTTGAAAATCCTCTTATGTATACTTTTACCGTACTTTGGCGAGAGAAACAGGTAACGCGCGCATACGTAGGCAAGAACGAGATCAACCACCACCATCACCACGACCCATCGCGATTGATGGTGGCAGTGATGTGGACTTGCTCACCTTTTTGGAGATAAAACCGGGGACCAATACACATAATTTGCTGCGACGTGGGATTCGTATCAACTGTGTAGTGCTATTAACCGCCAGGATTGCGGCACGGATCGATGCAGGGGTAGGTTAAATTCACTGTACGCGCTGTGTTGGACCTGGCTGCCGTCATGCGCGGCGCAACTCGACACATTTTTATCTCTCCTGCCCCGCGGCAGAATCTTGCAATTGATCACGCTTTAATGTTTGAGAGGCAAGTCATGTTCCTCAGAAGATATAGATGGCCTATTTTTCTTATCGTGGCTTTGGCCTTTCTTGCAACAATAGCTCCGCTTTCTGCTCGTTTCGCACCATCTCGGAGTCCGACCTTTCCCATAAATGATCATCAATATTCCGATCCATCGAAAACACCCTCGACTGGCCCTATTCGAGGCTCTCATGCCTGCCCCACGACGCCGCCAACTCCAGCGCTCAACCCAGACACCCAAGGCCGGTTCGACTGGAGAACAATCCCGAGACACTACTCCGTCGAACAGTACTCTCAATTGCCTTTGGGCCAGCCGTCACCCAGGCCTTCTGTTCAACATACTTTTGGGACAGAGTCGATGGAGGCTAGGAATGAAACTGTCTTGCGTAAAGAAGCCGTGCGAGATGTTTTCCAGCGATGCTGGAAGTCTTACAAAGATCGAGCATGGACAAAAGACGAGCTTGCTCCTATCTCTGGCGGAGCTAGAGACACCTTTGGAAGTTGGGGAGCTACCCTAGTCGACAGCTTGGACACACTTTGGATCATGGAGATGAAGCAGGAATTTGCAGTAGCCGTTGATGCTGCTGTCCAAATCGATTTCGGACCGAAGATAGATGGCGAGATCAACGTGTTTGAAACAATTATACGTTACCTTGGAGGCTTTCTAGGTGCTTATGATGTATCCGGTTGTCACGACGCGCGACTCCTGAACAAGGCTATCGAGGTCGCAGACATGGCATATGCCTCATTCGACACACCAAACAGGATGCCAGTCTCAAGATGGAGCCCCAAAACAGCTGTGAACGGGGAGGAACAACTACCAGCAGAATCAGTGCTAATCGCTGAAGCAGCCTCTGCCAGCGTGGAGTTCACACGCTTATCACAACTCACCGGAGACATGCGTTATTTCGACGCCATCTCAAGAGTGACAGATGTGCTTGATAAGCAACAAGGATTGACCAAGCTTCCAGGCATGTGGCCTATCAGTGTGAACATGCGAAAGCCAGACTTGACTTTTGATGGTTTCTTTGGCCTTGGAGCGATGGCGGACTCCGTGTACGAATATCTTCCGAAGATGCATCAACTACTCAACGGAATCGGTCCTGTAGCAGCGCAGTATCACAAGATGTACGAGTATGCCATGTCTACTGCGATAACCCATACGCTGTTCCGCCCCATGGTGCACGACAAAGCAGATATCTTGATCGCCGGTGGTAGCGTAAATGGAGAGAGGAATGCCAAGGGTCAGCACCTTGTGTGCTTTGCTGGCGGCATGTTCGCTCTTGGTGGCCGGCTTTTCGAGAACAGTACTCATATCGATATTGGCCGTAAGATATCCGAAGGCTGCGCCTGGACATACAAGAATGCGCCAAATGGTATCATGCCAGAAGTCTTCTCCATGACCCCGTGTCCTACGTTGTCGGCATGCGATTATACCCCCCAACCTGGCTCAAGTCCATTCACCGACGTTGGTGACGGGCGGTACGTTCTCAGACCGGAGGCGATTGAGTCGATATTCTACATGTACCGTATCACGGGCGAGTCAAAGTACCAAGATATTGCGTGGGAGATGTTCCAGGCGATTAGCACCCATACTCGAACGGAATTTGCCAACGCTGCGATTGGAGACGTCATGAAGACGCCAGTGGAGAAGTATGACAGTATGGAAAGCTTCTGGCTGTCCGAAACACTCAAGTACTTCTACCTTATCTTCAGCGACCCTGACGAAATAAGTCTGGACACTTTTGTTTTCAATACCGAAGCGCACCCATTCAGCATACCGTAACGATAGTTTTGTGCTGTTCTCAAGACTATGTATCCACGTACAAAGGGACACCAAAGAAAGAAATTGGTTTGCAGCTGCAGAACTCGACAGACGGCAGATAGGATATGTGAACTAACTTCGGCGTCTCATGGGCGTATGTGAAAGAATAGGCTGCTGTGTCTACTATCCATCGAATCTTAGGAACAAGGTCAGGGCGAGCATAAAATATATAATCCTGGTCATATTTTATCTCTGTGGTAACAGCATCTACATTGACGCTCTTTGGCATGTGTCAACACCCAGTCAACCCTTCAGTGTCCTGGTGCATGAAGATCGGTTGCGACTGGGTTCTTGCAGTGTTGGAGACTACAAAGAAGTAAGCGCAATTATCAATGGTCAGCCAATGGTCAGTTGATTCCACTCGTGTATACATTTGATCAATCATTAAATTAATGTGCTTTCAACTATACTTCTAGTTGTTGACCTACTTCAACTCTTGAGCAGTCTGCATAGCCGCAGCGCTCGCCCTTATCTCCCCCATCTGTAATTGTCTTGTAGCTTCATTTTGGAATTGCTGGCGCCGCCTATCCTCCATACTCAAAGGATGCTTCTGCCACCCACCAGCAGTGACGAGCAGGGCGATACCACTGATGACAGAGCAGACAACTAGGGTCTCGTTGAACGCGTCTGTGTACGCTTGTCGAATGGCAAAGTGCTGTACCGGTGAAAGGTGCGGCATGGTGTCGGCCAGTGACTGTAGCTGCCTAGGATTGAGAAGAGCAGTGTCCAGAAGCTGATGGCGCTGCTTAACACCCAAAATAGCTGTCGATGCGGCTATGCCGATGCTTCCACCCAGCATCCGGATTTGGGCCACGATACCTTGCGCAACAGCCGTGTCTCGAAGTTCAGCCTCCATAGCCGCGAGCAAGCTGGAATTGCTGACTGTCAAGCCGAAGCCAAAGCCGACGAAGACTTGAAGCCCGTAGGCGCGCACTTGTGTGGCAATGACATTATCAAGTGTGGAGAGCGCCGCCGTGCCGACAAGCATGAAAGCAGCGCCCACTACCATGACAGGGAATGTGTTATTCTTTTTGCGTGAGGCAGCGCCTGCAACGGTAGACCCGATGGCCGAAGCGCCAAGCATAGGTAGTAAAGCAATGCCCGACGCGAGTGCGCTATGTCCGTTGACAACCTGGAAGCGCGTGGGGAGCGAGTATATTACGACGAAATAAGGAAATCCCACCAACATCGTTGTGACAACAGCTGACATGTAGACTCTGTTTTTAGCCAAGCGCATGGGAAAGAGGGCACCAATGGCGTCAGGCCAGCGCCGCGCAATGAGCCATTCCCAGCCAAACAGTGCCAAGTAGCAGACGGTCCCAATCACAAGCGGAGCGACGAAGAGTGCTGAAGTCCATATCGACTTATTCGAGACGACGTGAATTCCGGCCTGTTGGAACGAGAATACGAGCGGAACGGACGAGGCGATGAGGAGGAAGAAGCCCAGGAAATCAATCTGTTTGAACGTGTGGCGCTCAACACGCCGAAGCTGACTTGAGTCGGGCCATGCGATAATGAAAAGCATCAAGGGACCGATGCCGATTGGCGCATTAATCCAAAAGATCCATCGCCAAGTGGTGTAGTTTGTGATGATACCGCCCAGCACAGGACCCAGGATGCCCGACATGGCGATGACTGCTCCTGCCAGGGCGCCTATCATCTTCAGCATCCTTAGCGAGCTTATTTCGGGGAGTATGATGAAGCCGACTGAGTAGAGACCGGAGCCACCGACTCCCTGCAGAGCACGCATTGCAATGAGCTGGTCGAGAGACTGGACGAAGCCGCAACCAAGCGAAAACGCGAGGAATATAATGGCAGCGGCGATATAGGCATTACGACGACCGAAGACATCGGAGAGGCTTGCGAAGATGGCAGTGCAACCGATGTACGCGAGCGTATAGGACAGTGCAATCCAGTTGACTTTGGATAGGGAATGGAACTCGACACCAATGGTGAAGATGGCAGTGGCGACAATGGACGTGTCCAGGAAGGAAAGGAACAGACCGAGGCAGATACTGGGTGGCGATCGAAGTTAGCAGTCGAGAGTAGACAGTAGAACATGTCGTTGAACCTACCTAATGTACAGCGACACCAGTCTCCATTTTGCAATCCGAGGCTCTGATGCTTGCTCAGACGTTGGGAGCTCAGTCTGGGCTGGAATAGACACAGTAGCAGCAGTAGTAGTAGAAGCTTGCTCAAAATGGGCACCGCCTTTCTCGGCAATACTTGCGGAACTCATCACACTGCTCTAGTCCATCAGCATGCTGGCTATCCTTTATATCAATACCATTTGTGAATTCGAGTTTTCCGGGTCAGCAGTTTTGTGGCGAGGATGAGACCCGAGCCAAGACCTACGGCCGTAAATAGGGCTCTCACTTTGTTTCCACATGGCCTATGTGCTTGACGCAGCATTATTCTACCACTAAAAGTATTAGCCGAGACTTACGGCCGTACACCTGGTGCTCCTTTGCTGTACCTCGGTACACTGATCAGCACACGTCAGGCCAGCACCTTAGGTATGCACTAACCAAGCCATGGCTGAACGGGGCGGTGATCTGCCCTTAGCATAGGCTGAAGGTATACAGGGATGCGAACCGAGTGCGAAGATAGTGTGCCCCACCCCACGCCGCCCCGCTACAAGGATAAACGAATTACCACTGCAGCGAATATTACTCGCGAATCTATGCTCAAAGCTAGGCAGCGATAGATAGGAAGTCTTTCTAATGTCCCCTTTAAGCAGCATGTTACCCAGCGTCTCTGTGTCGTAGCAAAATGTGCGTTCTTTGCTTGTATGGCCAGGGCTCGAATCCCAACTTCCGCAGTTGATAGCGGCACTGTCGTCTCACTATACGTTCGATTGGGTGGACGTGCCCATGGCGTGCTTGCCCGGCCTCGATGTTGGCGACGTGTACCAGGGCCCTTCCTACTGCTTCTTTGACTCGTACTCGCCCGGGCGCAAAGATAATACTGTCACCCGCCTTCACAAAATCGTCGAGGAGGTTTCCACAGGAGATCACCCAGAAGAAGCGAGCTTCGAAGGCTCAATCCCGCTTTACCCACACCAAACCCACGCTATGTGGGTTGACCATCTCATGTAACATGTGACCTTCGTGGTCGACTTTCAAGCTGCTGGACCATGCTCTCGCTCGTGCTTGTTCCACCGTTTCTCCTTCTTTGGGTACAATTTCTACTCTCCAATCGCTAAATAGAACGGCTAACACAGCAACAAGCTCAACTTGTGAGAAGCGTTTGCCAGGACAGACACGCTGACCCCACGCCCATGGCATGAAGTGCTCTGAAGTGTCGGGGGCCAGTACTTCAGCCTCGAACGAGTCTGTGTTCTGGTGGTTTGAGACGATGATATGTTGTTTCGGATTCCAAGCAAGAGGATCTGGACCCCAATACTTCGGATGCGAATGAAGAGCTGGAAGAGAGCAGTGCACTGAAGTTCCTGCAGGAATCATATACACCTTGCCGTTGAATTTCAACGGCTGCGGAGTAGGGCCGGTCGTTTTAACTAGCTGAGAGAGCGGGTGGCATATCCGCAGCGACTCCATCTTTACAAGGTAAGCCATGAGAGACGGACAGGCCGATTTTACGAGATGTAACTTACAATTACAGCGCTACAGCGCTTCAAGTTCTTGAAGTTGTCATAACCCCATGAGTCGGAGTCACCACTGGGCGTGTAATGATGCAGTTCTTCGGCAATCCAATCTTGCGACTGGGGATTTGCCGATAAATGAATGATCAAATTGGTTAGTGCAATCGCCGTAGTGTCGTTTCCAGCAAAGGCATACACGAAGAGATTGCTGATAATTTCTTCCTCGGTCATGTTTACCTTTTTGCTCATGGTATCCCCGTCCGCTGGCCTGTCAACACTTTCATCAGACCCTTGCCCTACCTCGCATGCGCGCACCAGACGCGCAACGAGATGTTGATGGTCTGTCTTTCCTTGCCTCAAGTACGATCGCTCTTCATTCATCAAGCCTAGGATGTAGGAGCGGAAGGCGACCATTGCTTCCGCGGCGCCCTTCCAAGATTTAGGCGTCCACCAAGCTTTCAAGCCTTCTTCTCCTAAAATGAAGATTTGGATGATAGAGCCAAGAATAGTCGAAAGGGAAGCCCGGTACATATAAGATTTGTCATCGACGTGCCAGCTCTCACTCTCTTCAGCCCGTCCTTCGAATGAATACACCTTGTTGAACAACGCTGCAGCAAGAACGTTGAGCGTGAGTACCTTGGTGTCTTCGGCAGTGGAACGAATAGGTTGTTGAGATCGTTCCGTCCAGTACTCCAACATGCCTGGCAGTTCTGTAAATAAACGAGTAAGTTTAGTTTTGGGTGGAGATCATTGCGTACCTTTCGCTTGCATCAATGATTGTTTCCAGACCAATTCATTGTTCTTTTCTGTGAACGTGACACCTGTCATCTTGCGATGTCGCTGCCATTCTTGATCGTCTGTTGTCGAAAGATTCTTGCCGTAAACGTTCAATACCGCCATCTCCTCCATATTTCGTCGGAAATCGGTGCGCCTTTGTAGAATCTCATAGATGATGCTGGCATCTGCTACACAAAGTTGGAGACCACCCGGATGAACCACAAGAACCACATCGCTAGATGCGTACTCGTGGACTTCTGCGCGCGCATTGGCTTCCCAACCGTACGAGTAGATGCGGGAAAAGTTCTCGCTGGCAATGCCAATGCGTTCGCAAAGTCGTACGAAGGAGCTGCCATACAGCAACCAGAAGGGATTGATTGGGGATATCCAGCGCTCAAGATAAGGAAGGCCAGTTGCTTTCGCCGTTGCCCGGTTTTGAGCGAGTGATTGCGCAGTCCAGAATACCAACGCGATAGGAAGGGCGAGAAGTGAAAACATCACCGTTAGTAGTGCCATGATAGCTGTTGATCTGGTTTAGCAACAATGACGATAAAAATCCCGAGTGAAGTGGAGAGTGAATGTTGCATCTACTGACTGTCTATTAAGACGTCGTTTGTTTATGAACGACCTGCATCAGCTCGAGCGCAGAAATTTCAACGACTCCCATGCAACTAGCGGCTCAATTTACCCATTTGCGAGCCGTGGTGATGTGAAAGTCGCCTAAATGCACGACTGAGGCGCAGAAGCTGCATGTTGGCGCCGTATCTTCAAACAGCGAATGGAAACCCACGCCACTCAAGTTGATCTTCACGTTTTTCCCTGTTTCGGGCGAGGCAAAAACTGAATATTCAGCTAGTTCTCACATTGCTGACATGGTGATCAACTGTGGTTAGCGCCATCCTTCCCGGTCAAGGCCGCCCTTGAGGAGTAATACCGCAATCATGCATCTTGCCGCTGATTAGGCCACGCCGCAATAAGTTTCAGACAAGAAAACAAACTACTATATATTGCCAACACTAATCGGGTGGTCTTCGTAGGTCTAGCGCTTTTTTCGCCTTTCTTGCTTCCGAATCACAGTCACTCCCCCAATCTTAATAGGAGGCAGAACTCGTTTCCGTTTACGTACTACTTGTCCTTAACGAACAAGATCTGGCTTTCTTGCTCCAATTAATATTCGGCAGCACTCTATTCCTCTCAGATAGTGTAGCCTGTATGTATTCAAACCACTTTGATATATTGACTAGAAGTCGTAAAATTGATTGAATCTATCCTGGGTATCTTATCAGAGGTGAATTCATACTCCGTTACTCAGGAACGAGCGCGCGTACTACAGTAGTAGATTGGTTTCTGATTTCCCAAAACTAAAGCAACGTGAAATCCAAACTCTCGATACTGCATATAACTGACTGCTCAAACCCAGATTTCAGAGCGAAGGCTTACCTACAGAGCCGATATGGTAAAGACAAGCTATATCCTCGAGAAACCCAGAAACGATCTCCTTGTGCAAGACCTGCTCGCTCCAATATTTTCTCCACTCTTCCAATGACCAGAGCGTGTGTGCTTCAAAGAAATTGGTTCCGGTTCACAGCTCACGAGGGCCTCCGGAAAAGCGAATAAACGATGTCTCATTGACAACATGGCGAACCGCGAAAGTTCGGGGCCATATGCCACGGCAGAGGAGAACGAGAGTGACTATTGGTATGATGCATAGTCACGGGCTCTGGGCAGATCTCGTCATACTGAGCGTACTCATTCATGGGCTTTTGCATAGCGGCGCATATTTAATGACCTGCCATGCTGCCACTGACTCTCGATTCGTGCCTTCGATGACGAGGAGAAAGAACTGGGGAGACAGTCCAAGTGCAGGTAGCAGCATAGCTTCCTCGATCCAATTCATCATAGCTATGAGCCAGTTGCCAGTGGGAATGTGAGTCGTGTGGAGACATCGGTGCGGGCTTCTCTTTCTCTCTCTCTCTCTCTCTCTCTCTCTCTCTCTACCCACTGTTGTCACGTGATGGTTCTTGGCTGACGGATCCAATTCACATCCGTGCCCGCCGCTAGCGCACGTTTTGGCCTGCGTTGAGCCAGAGACGGGTAAGAGGCATTCTGTCATGGTTTCGGTTATTAGCGTAGCAGTCATAACCACGATAAGAGGCTCCGTTACACATTTCAGTGGGGTAGGCCAGTTTGCTGATGTGGCTAGCTCACCATTCGGATTCGCCAAACTTCCGGGATCGTCTAACCACCGTGATTGATCGATCAACCAACGCCCCCATCTAGCGCACAATGGAAGCCCGTTGCGAAGTCTATAAATTGTAGCCATGGTCCTGTTAATTGACTTGAAGCACAGTTCTACTATCGCCTCATAATCACCTCCGTCCGCATCATGGCTCCAGGCTCGCTCTCCGTCAGCAACAACCCAATTCCAGCATTCGCACCACCATATACGACGGAAACGAACGATTTCGCCGACGTCTCTTTACTCATTGTTACGTATCGCACGTCCCTCGAAGATGTAAGGAGTCTGGTTCCCGAGTTCTTGGAACTCGAGGAGGAACCTCTCGTCACGGCCATGATTGTTACGTACGAAATGAGCACTGTTGGGGCTTACAACGAGTATGTCCATCAAGTGGAGGTTGTTTACGACGGCAAGAAGTACGACTATTTCCTCTCGCTCATTCTCAACAATGAAGCTGCCATTTTCTCCGGGCGGGAGCAATTCGGCTTCCCTAAGACATTCGGAAAAGTGACATTAGAGCGGAACACAGGAACTGGCCTGCTCCTGGGCCAAGTAGAGAAGCCAGAAGGTCTTGCTGTGGCTAATTTTGGATTTGCGCCTTTGAAGAAACTTTCGGAGATGCCCAAACCGGATACACCAAAGCAGGGCTTGAACCTCCGGATCATTCCATCACCCATCGCAGGCGCTCCTGCTTCTCTGAAAGAGCTTATTCCTAGCAACTTTGAAGTCACGGGTGGCTCAGTGTGGCTTGGTCGTGGCTCCATCTCATTTCCAAACACTATGGAGCACCACCCTCTTTACCGCGTTCGAGTACTGCGGTACGAAAACTCGGTCTATATCCATAAAGCATCCGGAATCTTGCATGCCCCTACGGCTATCTTCACTGTAAAGGATTAACAAGATACAACCTCTGTAGCGTATGTACAATTGACTCCAATCTCTGAGCCCCCAATGTGCGGTGATGAGTGTGATACACTGTATAATTCGTGGTTTGTGTTCCATGTCGTTGAGCATGGTTTGGGGTGACAGCGAAGGTGTGAAAGTCGATACGCGAAGAGGCGGAGGGGTATTTGGGTGGCTCAAGAGCAAAAGATGTAGTGGCTTGCAACTAAGCTCCTTGAAGACGCTTCTGCCTTAAGCAGCGTGTCCGTCCAGACTCAGGCAGCGTGCCCACCCAGGCTCGGCAGCGTGCCAAAGCCAGGGCTGTAGACGTACGTAGTCCAGCCATTGGCCACCTCCCATTAGTATCCCATGACTTCTAGCTCGAACAGTGTACTACGAACGAGGGTACTACGAACGTGGGTATTGCGTGCTCATCGTTCCAAAACCCAGCAGCTTCTATTGGGGTGACATCGACGTTCGCCTCGGGGCGGCGTGCTGTTGTTGGCGGTTGGTTGCGTGCTGGGCAAGCCCAGGAAACGGTAGCTTTGGCGTGAAAGACCTGCTCTTCTGCTGATCAACGTTCTACGGTCCGTCCTACATGGCTGTTTTCGACCTATCGCGTACCAGGCCCCAACACAGTGCGGTGTCCTCCATGAAAGCCAAAACCGAAATCTCGGGATGCCTGGTACATCCTGATTTGTATTTTCCTTGATTCGTTTGAATGAGACCCCTTCAAAAGTTGTGTGGTCGGCTTGAAGGGCGGACGGCTCGGTTCGGAGGCTATAAAGCTCGTCGGTGTTTGCTTGGGGTGGACAGCTCTGTTCGGAGACGACGTTGGCTTGGAGAGGGCATCGCCAGCCAATTCAACAGCGCAAAGGCAGCATGTTAATCCGGCCCTCGTGCAAAGGAGGCTGGGATGGCCATTGTTGTAGTGTTGCATTGTCGAGTGCGACTGGGTGTGAGGCTGCCCGTGCTACGTCTGCTGCGTTGAGCCCGTCGTAGAAGCGGTCGAGCGTGAAGATGCCAGCAGACCGACTATTTCGGTAGGCGCACTAGTCGGCCTGGTAGCTATACGGCTTCATATGTCGCATCGTTCCGATTGGAACTGCATTTGTGTGTATGTGTGTGAGTGTGTTGTGCGGGATCGATAAGTTGAGGCATGGCCTTGGAGCCTTGGCGCTGCTCGTTCGAGTGGAGGTGAATGCGACAGCGAGCGCTAGAGTATCGGGGGATGGCGTATATGTCTTCGATACCTTTCGATTTATCTAGTAGTAGTGGGTCCAGATGCTTTCGCTGTGCATGGCTGTACCCCCGTGGTGTACGATGGGCACAAGACTTAGGGCACGGTGAGCGCCGCCCATCGGCGGACCGCCACCACAATGGCAGATCAGCGAATTGCCACCGAGGATTAGCAGATCTCCACCAATACAACATAAAAGTTTAGGATAATCATTTTGGGTAACTCGTATAATAATGGCGCATCTTTTGACTCCAAAATCCACTATCAATATGCGTAATACTAGGAGACATGATATTCCAGGGTTAAGACCATAGGCTACAGGCCGGCGCATGGGCTGACTGGCGGAACCCCACGCAGATTAGCGGATTCTCTACCACAGATTAGCAGATCTCCACTTCCACGACATAACGGTACAGGATTAGTCGTATTGGTCAACCCATACAAGGACGGCGCATCTTTGGTATTAAAAATCCATCATAAATATGCGCAATGTTGGCAGATATAAAGGTCAGGGCATAGGGAAGCGTAGATATGAGGCATCATCCCTCACAGATAAAGCAGATCTTAACAACCACGACGTATAAGCAGCGAGATTTAGTACCAGTCGATTCATATAAGAGGGGCGCATTTTGGCTGCAATATCCAGGAAAGATTTACGTGGGCTGTGGACATGTGCATGTAGACATGCGCAGGTCTGTCACGTGCATGCAGTTCTGCGTGAGGCTCTGATATGGGCCAACCGGCGATTCGCAGATCCTTATTCTCACTGTATAAGACTAGGGCATTTATAGGCAGAGTACAGCACATCCTCGTCCTCGGTTCAGATATACACAGATCCGACTAGATTCTATGGGATGCGTGGAGAGCCGATGATCTAAAGAGTCTACGGGTGATGGGTGTGTTGCGACGCTGGCCCCCACTCTGATGCCCAGGTGCTGCTCAGGTGCTGCCTCAACACCAAGGCTCTTGTTGGCGGAGACACCCTCACCGCAACCCACCCCCAACTCGCTCAGTCCTGTGTTATGCAATAGACAGCAAACCTAGAAGTTATGTGGACAGCAGCCCTGCATGCTGGGCACTGTACGACTGCGTCAACTGACCACACTCTGCTCCCACTCCCACCTATGACGCAAAATTACAAGGGCATTGACGGCGGTGTGTGCTGGGGCAGATGAAGGCCCCACGGTTGGCTACGGAGTTCTTTTTTTGGGGCCTCGAGACTCGAAACAATCTAGCATACCCTGCCGTCGTTCAACCACATCACTCTCGCAGTGAAGTCGCCCTCCTTTCCACGTCGCTTCTCGACGGCATCTCCCCTTTTCGAAGACCCGAAATTCGAATAGAAGCATCTTACCTAGTGGCACTACGTGCAAGGAGAGAGCATACAGGAAAGGCGAGACGGGCATCATCACCCACCATGACGGGCGGCAACGACGACACACCTCATGGCCATTATACGGCGGGCACCTATATATGGGCCGCTTAGCCCTCCCTGCTCGGAGACATGGATGACAATAGTGGGGAGGAGGAACACGACGGCCGTAGCATCGGTGGATAGAGCAAATATGGTAGAGCCAGTCAGGAGAGCGACTACCACCTCATGGCAGATCGAAATGCTTCTTCCGTCACTTGACAGCACACCCGCTCCTGTGCGTCAGTTGGTTTCGCCATCTTCGTTGAGCGTTACTCTGTCCGCTCGCTTTGCTCTTACGCCAGCTCTCCTTCCATCCTCTGAGCGAGCGACGAGTAAATGTACACAGGAATGTATTAACCCCGCTCCATCATCGATGCCGTGGATGATGTATCATTGTCGGTACCTACCGCCATGGCTATCATGTCCTTTAACGACACACCGACCCCGCCTCTAGTTTCCGTAAGGTTGATCTAATTCGGAAGATCACAGCTCACAATTGTCACCATGGATAAGCTTGACCACGCCTATGGTTCCCAGAAGGTTGATCTGATCTGCAAGATCACACCGCACGGCACACGGCGGCCACATTAGACGAGCTGAGCCATCTCATCCTCAAGGTTACAACGCATTGCTTTGATAGCCACTATCTGCACCGGAAATGCGAGTTCGCAGCGATAGCATGCTCGTCATCAGTGATGACGACGACTAAGGCCCAGCTGTTTCTCCACCACCGCGTCACTGACCAGAGCCGCGAGAAATGGCCCAGCACGCACGCAGACAAAAAGCGGAAAACGATGGCTTCGGCAGCCTACGAACCGGACTGTAGCGCACATCATACTCCACTACGCAGACGCTCCATAATCAACATGACCGCCCCCGGCTCGTCATGGTCACAACGATTGCCATTCTCCTCGTCAAGCATACGGTTCCTCCGCAATGTACGACCTGTAGCTTTCTAAGAACACACCCGAGATCTGTCTGACTAGTAGCTCCAACAACGCCATGGAGGGCTTTTATTGTTCCGCCGCTTATATACTGCGTTGATATAACAGCTTAAGCGCGAGCAGCCAACCGGACTATTGCAGTGAGAGTTTTCATGGAATCGAATCTGGACCGAACGGAAGATCACTGCTTTACTTGTGTCTCTCGCCAGATCTAGTCCTAGTTCGACTTTGAGTAGCACCACTACGTTTTCACCATCGTTGTTACCGTCGTTGTCACCGTCGTCAATCCTAGCAAGCGCACTATACCTGCTTCTTCTCTAACACGAGCAAGTGCAATCGCAAAGACAAACCCCTACCGGGACCTTGGTATGATATATTTACGCTTATCAAATTCAACTTCTACCTTTCTCGCACGTAGCTTCTGTACGGCGCTGCGCCTCCACGTGCTTCATCAGGTGAGTAGGTGTCAGCGGAGCTACCATGGTTCATCTTTCAGCACTCTTATCAGCATGTCCTCTCCCGACTCCAGTCTCTCCTACTAGCATGTTCGCTCCACGACTCCAGTCTCACTTCACCCAGCCGTGTATTTTTCTCTTGAATGCCGGCTGCTTAAGGACTGGTCATTTCTGGATCCTGGCTGCAGGCAGTTTGGGTATGATAGGAAGGCCTTGAAGTCAGCCGGCACGTCATTGTATACGCTCGGTCTGCAGATCAACGTTGTTAAGCTGCGAGTGTCAAGAGATGCGGATACTCAGATCACAGGATTTTCGTGCAACACCGCTTTTGCGATTTGCAGAGAGCTCTCCGAACTTCACAACTTTCTCTTCTCTCTCCCCCGTGCCGAACGACCCCGGGGTAGAAGCTGTACATTTTGCTTAGCAGCATTGAGAAGTGGGTTGAGCATCACCTCAGAGCTTGGATCGCGTTGCATCTTAACGATCCGAATGAAGGAGCAGCGCTCTCTGAGCACATCCGGATCACCTTTGATTCTTTGACAAATCCCTTTGTTAGAAGCTGCGAGGGTTCAGCAAAGATGAACAGCGCAACACCCTCATCGGCTCGTCGAGTACCTATAAGGCAGGTAACAGAACCGAAGCGACTCTGTTCCTCGCACTTCATCATGACATCTGCTTGCTCCCCTGTACCTTTTATTTACTCTATTATCTCACCCTTTTCCTCTCTGCAAACTGTTGAAACGCTACTCGTTCATTACATGAACTTTCGCAAACCGTTAGAGCTGCTGTCCTCGTCCATCGCATGAACTTTCGCAAACTGGCAGATCGCTACACCTCCACCGCAACATGGCATGCGACAATGATCGCTTACTATGCGGCCAGTTGACTGATTGATTGTATCTCTAGTCGACCGGCGCCAACTAGTTCTAAAATATCCTCTTCCTTTGTAAACCATTCTGAGCCGCTTGCGGCACGACAACACAGCTCTATCTACTCTCTCATACTAGTCTAAGTGTACAACGGCATGTAAGCCTTAACTTCGAACGACTCAACGTTAAACGCGTTTGCATAGAATTCGCTTACTAGTCACTCGCACTTCGGCTTGGAAATGTGCTCCTGCGATTGGAAGTTGAGCGTGACGTGTTGTAGACTCTTGAACCCGTACCTCTTAGTCGCGAGATTGCTCAAGAAGCGTTAGTCCCTTGGTTGACTGTCCTGACCGCACGCCGGCCAGCGAGACTCGTAGTTGACCTCGAAAGTTATGCTATTAATCCATCGATTGACACATCGGAGCGGGTTCTTCCACGCGTGCTCGCGACGAGTGAGGGCAAAGGTGTTGCTCTGAATAAATTGCTGCTAGAAATTTGGGATTTTGCAGACGCTGTCCATGTACAACAGGCTGCGGTTCTCAAGCCTGCTGAGCGTATCACACGCGATCGGGGCGCCTAAATTCAAGCAACTGTTGAGGATTATGACCAGTAGTCGGGAGAGGAGGAGAGCGCCCGCCCTCTTGATCCGGAGAGTTTTGCCGTGCTTACTTCGGTCGGCGGTCCTATGTGCATAGCTCATCAGGCAGTATTCGTTTAGACATGTGGATTGCACTTAGGGCCCGAGAGAAGGTGGACTTCAGCTGGGCGGACAGTTTTATTAAAAAGCTTCATAGCGCCATCGCCGAAACAACAAGCCCAATTTAGCAAGCAAACTTGGCAACAGCTAACTGTACCTCCTGTTGCCCGAGGCGTCGGGAGATAGACATCTTTGCTTTCTTGCGCTTGGCTCGTCCTCGTCCTCGTCCTCGCCCTCGTCCTCGTCCTCATTCTCGTTGATGAATGCTTCTGAAAATAATCTTCCTTTCTTCACGCATTCCAAAGGAAACCAACCGTATCTATCATCGCCAATGATGTGCCCGTAAATCATCCCATCCCAACGCCTGATGTGCTCACAAACTTCCGTGCCAGCTTCAAGGGAAAAGCGATGACGACTCCGACCCGTTGAGGCAACGCTTCGAACAACCCGATGCGTCTGGACATGGTATGATATGGCTCGTCTCACCCAAACAGGAAAGTGACATTCGAAAAGAATAATAGCCCCAGGCGGTGCGTGGAGGAGTCTCAGGTAATCTCCCATCGACATCAGCTTGCGTTTGTAACCCACGGCCAGGCTCCCTCTATAGAAGTGCAAATCGATGTTACTGATGATTCTGGGCTGTCCCATTCGGCGAAATTGCTCGTCTGGGTCGCCAGAAAGATACGCAGCTGTAGCTTGCCCTTGCGGGTCTTTCAACAGGGTTTCGAGACAGCTCAGAGCTTGTTGTTTCGTTCTTAGCAGGGGCGGCGCCGAATCAGTATCCTGAACATACAAACTCATGATCTGGACCCAATCTTGATGATATGGAAATATATCGTGATGCGTTCTCGCGTACGTCATGCGTAGGAGCCTTTCTGGCTTAACTGGGGTCCAAATGGATGGTTCCTCGAAATTGCTACCCTGGAACGAACGGTACTGTGTCCGATTGGCCGACTTCCGCGCAAGATGCTTGACGAAGTCGTTGATAGCCGTACGGTCTTCCTCCACCGTACTGGGGTAAGCCACTGCCGACGCACGGCTCCTAATCGTACCAACTTCCTCGACCACATACACCATAGGGTCATTTTTGGAAAGAAAATTCTCCGTCGCTTTCCTGTGAAAGCAACGCGATCCCCTTTGGTTCCTCAGCATACAATGCGAAGATACGGATGCTGAAGTACCCCTCCAGGCAAGCAAATGTTGCTTATCTCTTCCGTTGAGAGGCTCAGACGAGTGTCCAACATGCCATGAACCTTGCGTTACGCCGAACTTCTCGAGGTTGGGAAGATATTCATGGAAGTGGGCAATCATTTCACGCCAGCTTCTGTTGAGGTGAATGGCCGTAGATTTCGTAAAAGGTTCCACCCTCATCGAATTTCTGCTATCTCCCAAGGACGTCGAGGTAATGTCTTTGAAAGTCCGCTCAAAGCGTCGATTTTCCTCAATACTCACCTGCCCGCCGTATGTATCGTCGCTTTGAACGACCAATTGGACTAGTGGGCAGCTGTCGAGATATAGTTCTTTCAGTGTTTCTTTATGGGAAACAATCCAGTCGACATGTCCATGTGAGCCCAAGATAAAGTTGCCCAGGGTGAGAGACTTGAGTCCAGGCATGCGCCACTTCGTTGGAAGGAACGTCACTAGACCTGGATTATTCACCGAACAGTGTAGGGTGAGTTGGGTCAACACCAAAGGCAACAACACTAGCATCGAGGATGGAGAGTCGGCTTGTCTCAAGGAAGGATTCAAACCCAAAGCCTTAATGATGAGTCGATATGATCTTCTGTCTTGACACATGGGCACTTCGACCTGGAGCGCAGTATGCTTCAGCGCAGGGAAGTGATCAATGTCCGCAAGAACTGGCAATCGCTTGGGTGCGAGCGTGGGCCAGCAGACACCTGGCAGCCGAATTACGATTGACACCTACTGGGTTAGGGCATGAGGCGTGAAACAAGTGTTGTTCAATAGTTACCTTACGGACAAATCTCCTGGCATCTTCATCATCCTTCACTTTGGAAAATGCCGATCGACTTTGGGTAGAAGTGGTCAGAGTCAAGGTATGGAGTAGAGGTTCAATTCCGGCGCGAGCAAATCTCCTGCAGGCCAGGCGACTATTCTTGAGGTCCTTGGGAGGGAGGAAGCTCATCCAATGAAGTAGGATCTCATCTGGAAAATATGGCAGAAGGTTGGGCTTGGTTGAAGAGGTCATTGTTGAAGAAGGTATACGAAGACAATTATGGCTTGTGTAGAATATCAGGCTGCAGTTCTCGTATAAAATAAATATGGAGATCGATGCCTTAGAATCTTGTACTGTGTTTCAACAAAGGCTTTATACAACAAGTTTTACATCAATCTTGCAAAACCATTTGATACAAGGGCTTTCGTGTTTCGCTATGCGTATACAAGACGAACGACGTAATCCGTCACGATTTTTTGCATCGTCAAAATGTCTCCGGACGTTCATACCGTCTATGGCTTAGCTTCGGCTGCAGAGGTGTGGCCATAAATATGCGGGGGCGAAGCGAGGCGAGCGGATCCCTAAATGCCAAGCCAGACCCCAGAAACTAGAAGAGATCGATCGACATGGGTATCCCTGAAGAATCCGTATCGGCAATCCCGAGCGTTCCCCGCGTTAGCAGTTTCCGATTAGAAGGAACTCGCGATGTTCCCCTGTTACCCACGGCACTATACCCTAAAACACGCTCCTCCGTACCCAGTTACAGTCATTAGCGAAAGAGACAGGGATCGCGCTTCCTCGGGGTATCATACGAGTCGATACGAGTCGATGTCCACGTTAAACCTCGATCTCAACAGTATAGTCATGGATGTGGGCTTAATCAAAGTTTGGATCAGCATCTACCGGCACCACAAGTAACCGTCCGTTAGCGGTCCCAGCCGACAGGTGCTAAAGAGGTTACTACCCACCCGCCTTGGAGCGTCGCACTCGCTCGAGTGGAAAGCATGCTGAGTGCAGCGCTTGGCTCGAAGCCAAGCATGCCCGACGTCGGGTTGCCAAATCCAGCTTAGCTTCAATCTGCAACGTTACTGTGTAGACGTGTACGCGAGCTTGCCACGACGACAAAAAAGATAGCTCCATACATCATCGATGCTCAATGAAATTATCTCCAAGTCTCATCTGCCAGAATACCGGTTCTTTGCGAAGTAGAGATGTTTTGTAATATAGTGTCTCCGCATGCGGACGTAATTAAAACAGCGTGCCGTTCTCAAGATGAAGAAGATTCTACAGAAGACTGGAGTTCTGCAACTTATGCAATGCTCAGCACGTCTAATGTTCATGTATTGCAATCTTAGCCCGCGCCTTGAGCCAACACATCCAGGTCTGGGTTCAAAGGCCCGTGAGCCGATATCTCATGATGGAGACCATCTGCTGTTACGATACCTAGTATCTGGTGGGCCTCAAGAAAATATTGTTTTGAAAAGCGGGGGGAGCCTTTGGCACTCACGCTACCAGTTCCATATCACATGGCTCCGGCCTACCTGATGACGTCCCAATGTTGATTTCGGATCCGGGAGGCAGATCGGCAAATACTGTATACTCTAGACGTGGAGCTATGCCATATCTCTCCTGTGCATTCTAATCCTGTTCCAAGCGAGAGCATGCGGCATCAAAGAAACCTGATCGATTCCTACATCGATTCGGTACACCGATCTCCCCACCAATACAGAGGAGTGATGCATATGCGGATGATGGTCATACTACGCAGTCTATCGATCGGGCTTCAACAATAGCGTGTTGGGATTCCTGCACGGTGTCCGTTCAATGCAAGCTGCATACAGTGATTGTTCCGCTTCACATTCCTGCCGGAAGTTCGGTAAGGTTATTGGTTAGAAGCTTTGATTGATAACGTCGAATGCCTGATAGTCGCACATGACAGATGACTGTCAGCTGCATCGGCCTAATGAGACACGGGCTCGGGATAACTCTTGACAACATGCGCCTGGGTGCTTATCAGCCGATGCTTCACAAAGGTGGGGAATAATGCACTAGTTACAAGTCTGGCGCTGTTACGTGGCTAGAATCAGTTCCATGGTTCTACGACCAGGTTTTGCGTCACGGTACCGTACCATTCATTTTGTTGCAATACCGCTTTTACGATTTGCAGAGAGCTTCCGAGCTTTACAACTTATTCTTCTCTACAAGTCTGGCATGCTCTTGGCATTGGCTGCGTACCCAAAGGGCAGAACGGAATAGCTCCTAAAGTGTGTATCGCACCAGAATCTATATCTAGCCAAATGCAACTCAAGGGTATAATCGGCATACACTCTATTTCGGTAATCGTCACCTGAGTGAAGGTTAGCAATACCCTAAATTGTCAACTATTGGATCTAGACTGTTTACCATAAATCAAGCTGAGTGCATAAACACCCTGCAACGGAAACTTTGCAGGGTTTGAAGAAGATGGCAAGAAGCGAGAACTAGTTCAGCCAATTAAAGGTGTGTCTTGCACTCGCCTTGTTGTTATGTCGTCTTTCAAGGCCCCCTGCAACGTTGCAAATTTTAGTGTAAACCGACATGCAGCACAGTCACACAGCTGTTTGACAAATCAATCTGCGCGGAGCTCAAATTATAGCTAGTGAGTGATATGTAGGTCCTTGCAAAACGCAATGTGAAGCAATATCCTTACAGCGTGATTCTTTGAAGTGCGCCGTGAGAACCAAAAAGACCGACATATTGCCGCAATAGTAGAACGCCACCGTTGCACCGGGTAGTAATATTTTAGTTGAGCAGCTGCACGAGCGGGTACAATCGATGGTCCCACTAAGCGCTAATCGCGGCCCCTGATCCTAGCCATGTGAGGCGAGTTTCAGACTAAAGACGCCAGACCTTCGTGCATGCATCTGTCGTGGGGGGATTTTGGCCGTCGGCCATGTCTGATGGGGCGTTTTGGGGACGGTTAGATGCCGAAAATCATGATACAGCGACTATGATTATGAATGACGCCGTACACATGCACGATATGCGTTTCGCTGGCTACTTTGCTTTTGCACGTCATCAGGTTGCCCGAAATACCCAGAGTTTGTGTACTATAGGACTGCGCTGGAGGAGGTACAAACTCACAAGGCATCATTGAAGAAATCCAAATTCACTCAACTCGCTGCTTTATACTCAATGACGCGAAATCCAAGCCAATTTTCTGGTAGGCGTTCACGAACGTCTACTGTAAGTGTCCCTCCTTCGATCTCGCAGCAAGCGTCGCCTTTCTCTTCACAGGAGTCAGCTACCTCTGCTGTTCCGGAAACACCAATCCCATATTCAGGTACTTCTCAATTCACTGCTTCTCAAGCATCTCGATCCTCATCCCAAGTGTCGGGCAATCTCTCAGCCTCTGAACCACCGAGACAAAAGACCGACCATGCGCACCTCCTGGAAATGTTGCCGCAAATGCGTCGACAGTATCATGGAAACGGTCTATGGAACTGTAAGAGACCCTCCACAATTAGCTCCCATGAAGACGCTAGGTTAACGCGATGTGTAGGCAAGTGTTCCGATAAGCAAAATCCGATGGACCAACTCTGGCCACATGCCAGGAAGGCAGGCGGATCTTGTAAGTTCAGCAACTCGCTGTGTATGCGCACATATACTAAATCTCGTAGACTTCAAATGCGCAAAGCACTTCCAGGAAGGCTGTGATTTCTCGCTTGAGTCAACCGGCAAGGAGTGGTATGAGGAAAAGTTCAATGCCGAAATTCTCGACGGCACTTTCTTCAAGCAAGTCAATGGGGTAGCAGCGCCTAACAGAAAGCGGTTCATTACGAATGAGTCTCGTGTTCTCTTAGATCCATCTTTTCATATGTCTGTAGGAGATGACGATACTTTGCGCACGCCGAAGAGAGTGAAAGGAGCGGCAGTTTCCGCAGCAGAAGAATTGAGAGAGCCAGGAATAGATATAGGAGAGACCAGGGTGCCTTTCCCAGCACAATTAGGAGCATCTCCGGCCAGCGCTAGCAAGAAGAGCGGCAGGAAAAACGCCACAGGTGGAGGTGGCAAGTACTATGCGGTAAGGAATGGTCCTCGACCAGGAATCTACAGAACTTGGGAATTGGCGAAGGTGAATATCGAAGGAGTCAGTGGTATAGAGCAGAGTTCCTTCAAGACTGAAGACCAGGCCAGGGCTTACCTAGCGGAGAGGGCTGTGCTACCCCGTGGGAGCGCAACATCTTCCGTGCACTCGCAGCTAGCCAAGACATTTCTTGAGGAAGCCGTGAAGGCAGTGAGCACGCTTGCAGCGCAAGACCTATCCAACAGCGTTTTAGATACCCTCAAGGAAGGCGATATTGTGGTCTCTCAAGAGCAGCGAGAGGCCTTGAGCGCTACGACTCTCAAGCACACCGAGGCCTTTGAGAAGGTTAAGAAAGGGTTTGAGGAGGCGAAGTCGAGTTTGAGGGTAAAAGAAGAACAGGTTTTGGAGCTTGAGCACCAAGCTGAGAAACTGAAGGAGAGCCTTGCAAAAAGCGAGCGCTTAGTGGTTGAACTTTGGGAACAGACCTTGGCCATGGACCGCCCCAGCGTCGATTAAATGCCTCGAAGGGGCAACAGACGCTCCGGCCTTGTGTGTATTCTGCTTCCTCTCTTGTCTCCTTAATCACTGTCCTTAATGCGCAATCCTGTCTTCGCACAAGCTTTATCCTGCCTTTTGTGTCGCAATGTTTGGTTAGGGGGAAACGTTGTTCGGGTGGTTGGGTAGCCTTATTTCAGAGCACAATCAACGGTGTCATGACCATGAGAGTATGCCATAGTGCATTACCATAGTGCAATGCTGGGCTAAGGGCTCAATCACGTCGCTGTTTGAAATGAGGTTCTATTATTTCGTAGGCTACTGTAGAGGAGTGGTGGCTACGTGGCCCTCGGTAATTTAGTCAAGCCCCCTACCCCGCCTTTTCATCACCGCTTGACATCGACCCAAGGGTCAGCATCTGCCGGTTTGCGACAGGTGAATACTTATACTTACAAGAATCCGTAATGTAACACTAGCAACTCACTAGATATTTCAGAGAATTATACTCCCTAAGCCACCGATCTTGTGATGATGTAAATAACTGTATTGAACAAAGTTAAGCCAGTAGCTTACTTAGCATTTAGCAAGGTACTAAGGTAGAACAGCCAATAAACTGCAGCAGCCGATAAACTACTTTAATATTAAAACAAACTTAATATATTATTTTTAAACTATAATATATTAACTACTAATAATTTAATTTTAAATATAATTGCAGTAATTAATTTATAAAATTTAAAAAAATAATTTTTATACTACGCAGCTGCAAAAATATTTAATATTAATTAAATTACTTTAGCATATTAGTATTAAAAGAAAATATAATTAAATACAATTTTTTTTAATAATATATATATTTTAATTTATAATAGGAATTAGAATTTATATAGTTATTATAGCTTAGGCTTTAGCCTAAGCTCTAGTATTTGCGGACTAAAGACTTTAGCAAACTTTAATAATAAACTTTTATAATATATTACACAGGCGAGTTAGTCGCCCGGTTAAATTAGTTATAATACTAAAATTTTACTAAAATTAGTACTATGTACAATAGTACAGCACTGTAAAAAACTATAGTAGTAAATTATAATAAGCTAATTTATTTAAAAACTATTTTTATTTTTTATTTGTATATTTGCGCGTTATACCTAGCTTTATTATAATATTTATAGTGCTTTTAAAAAGGCTTACCTACTTTAGTATATACTTGCTTTTTTATTTTTTTTTATTATTACGCGCTTTAAACTTTTTTAAAATTATTAATTAAAAATTATTTTTTATTATAAAAGTTTTTTTTTTTTATATTTACTTTTTTTTATATAATTTTTATTATATAGTAGCTTTATTAGCTATTTAAAATTTAGTAATTTTTTTTTGTATTAATACAAGCTTATGCGCAACTATAGCTGCACTTTTTAAAATTTTTTTAAAAATTTTAATTATTAAAATAAAAAAACTATTTAAGTGCTTTTAAATTTTTATTTTAATTAGTATTAATTAAAATTTAAATTTTAAAATATTGCTTAGTATTTTTAACTTTTAGGAACTATTTTTAATAGTAAGTAGTAGTAAAATACATAATTAAATATTAAGTTTTAATATTATAGTTTTAAAGTTAAAAAAAACTAAACTAGTACTTTTAAAGCTACTTAAAATATTACTTTTTATAATAATAGTATTAAAAGCTAGTTTAAAGCACAGTAAAAACTTAATTTTAGTAATATAATTAATACTATTATATATTAGCTTTTTAGCTTAGCACTTATATACTTTTTTTAAAAGTATAAAATAATTTATATTAA